AATCTAATTAATAATAAATTACAAATTCGCACTTTTTCTGTTTTTTGATATTTTTCAACTTCATTGTAATCTAACAAGTTTGTTTTCCTCCACAGTCCTGTTCTAATGATTTTATTTCAATCCAAGAAGAGGTCATGCAGAACCTGTTTATTGATAACATAGAAGAAATATGGAATAACGTAATCCACTCCAGCATGAGCTTCACTAAAATTATTATTGAACATAAACCGATTTTCAAAAGGGAAATACTCTATAAATACAATATTCAGAAAAGTGCCTGCAAGTAAATAAACCTTTTCTAACCTAATATTATTTTTCAAAGAGTTCCAAGAACAAAAGACATAGAAAAATGAATACTTACGAAATCAGCAACATGTTCAATAAATATATTATCAGTAAAGTTAACAGGTTCATCCAGTATTGAAGAGTATTTCTCTTTAAAACAATTCATTATTTGTTGTAATCTTTTATTAGGAAAAACATCTTCTGTACAAATATATACAGCACCTGTTAGACAACAATAATAAAAGATATTTTTTCATCAGTTATAATAACAGAATAAAAATAACCTTTATTAATTTACAATTCATTAATTCCTTAAACAAACAGCTTTGAGTTTCTTAATTAATAACTTGTGCTAATCAAGCAGACCATGTTTACTCTTTTCAAAACATCAGATGTTACTTCTCTTTGGAGGAGTCCAATACTCTTTTACTTTTACTCCCGGTTTTGCTATTCTTTGGATGAGATTTTTGATTGACGGAATTGTCTTGCTTGTATGGATGTTTATTACTATGTCATTCAAATATTTAGAAGTACACTACCAATTTTCAGCGCGAAGGCTTTCATTGGCCATCTTTAATCTTAAAGAAAACAAGTCCATAGCCTCAAACAATCTGACATCTCTAGTTCAATTAGCGATGGTTATCTTTTTCAATCTTTCATTAGAAAAAAAAATTATCAGATGGTGCAGCTAATGCTTTAAAAGAATCAGTTTTGAATTCACATATCCTTAGCTGCTAACAGTCATAGACTTTATATGTTGCAATTGAAGATGAACAAGATTTTAAAGGTTTTAGATCATCTAAAAACAATAGAGCTACTATTGATTCTTATCAATGTACTAGAACTATTTGGTATGCCAGAAAAGTGGATATAACTACAGACAATCAATAATTAGTCATTCAGCTAATCACTGTTAGTAATTCAAGGCACAACTGATGAGTCTATCCCATTGTTGCCAAATCTCAAAACAAGCTATCCTTATAAAGTTTTTAAAAAAAATTAAAAACCTCTATGAGATGTGAAATTATTATTTAGAGGACACAATGCCTGTAATCAGGGTAGTTTAACCTAGATAGGTGATAGGAATGACAACAACTGGTTAATATTGTCTGTAAAATATGACATATTGATTGGTAATATATAGTCAACATTACACACATTATTATGATATATGAATAACACTGATATTAATATACCTTAAACTAGGTCAATTATTAATGATTACATTTACTAATTGATTACAGCTAACTTGTCACATTCTTCAAAATAATACAGTAAATATAGAAATATTTATATTAATATATGTTTATTAAAATATCATTAAATTTTGTTTTCTCTTATTATGTTACAGAAGACCTAACCATTTACTCTCAGAAAACAAATATCTTTGAAATAGTGTTTCAAAGTCACACTTCATATACAACATGTCAGGCATGGTAACATATGTCAACATATGCTCATTTGTTCTTCTGTTTATATTTTGAAATAACACTTTTCAAAGTATATGAACCTCAGATTGAGTTTGATGTTGAGTTCATCAGAGTGATTTTTCAATGCAAATACGATAAATATGTATATATGCAACTAAACAGAGAGTCACAATGAAACTGCTAAAACCTCTGTTCATTTCAACTAAGTTCTCATTTTACCAACAACATGTTGTAATCTGCAAATTCTTTAATTAATTAGCCAAAAAAATTAACGCTGATTTGGAAGACAGATATAATGCTCAAATTTAGTACTTTGTTTTAAATCCACCAATCCAAGTTGTAAAATTACCTCCATTTAATCCACCATATTGAACAGGTAGTTGAACAGATAAACACAACTGTAAACAAATCTGTGTTTTACCACTGGCACTTTCACCAGATATTTCTGTTATACCTCTAGATAATATACCACCTACAAATATATGCATCTGTTTCTTTTTTATTTGGGCAAGTTAATATTTCATTTAATTCCATATGAAATGGGACAAAATGAAGATTAAAGGAAGAATAAAAACTACTCAGTCAATGTTTTCTATCCTAGACCTGAACATTTGGGCGAGCCACACCTTTCTGTCTCGAAATCTAAGAAACTTGCCACAAAAAATTCATTTTTTAAAGAACTTTCATTTAAATCCATACAAAATGATGATCCATCCAACCATCAAATACAGATTATTGTTTTAGTGGAATAAAAAACTTTGAATATACTTTTACTCTACCTCTAAGAAACTCATCAAAGACTGGACATCCTAATGATAATTTCTTTAATTTCAAATTATCACTACAATTGCCCTGCAGTAAATCTAAAGCTGAAATATTAATGAATAAAATGATGGTGATATTCATTATTCTTCATTAGATTAATAAAACTTTTTTTACTATTGACGGCACAGAAAATATTCTTTTGGCTTCATATATTTTTGATATGTTGGTCCATTCCACCAAAAGTTCCCCATAGTTATCAAATATCAAATATGCTCAAATCTAACATATTCCTTGATATCTTGTTGTCTCTGAATAGAGTTTAAATGATATAATCACTTAATTTTTTTTTTTCCAGCTGATTGAGGCCAATTTCAGCCACAAAAAATTCAGATTTTATTCCTAAATTTGCATGGATTTCTGAAATTTCGCATTATATGGTCAACTAAGTCACTTGACTATTTTGCCATTTTGGGGGAGTTGATTTTAGTCTTGAATATATGTAAACAGTCTCCAGAAGTACTAGAAATGTACAAAAATTCCTTTAAAATACTTCAAACTACTAATTTTACTCACTATTTCTATGTCTTTTCTATATATCACAGAGTATCTTAAATTGACGAGTTGTCATTTTAACATTCAATAGCAAATAATTCTGGACACACAGATTTGAAAGCTCAAATGTCGATTGTGAGATGTAAACACTATTACTGATTAGCTCAGATAAAAAATTCCAGTTTCTGAGACTAAAGTATGATTGGTCAAAACAATTGGCCTACCTGTCCCTTTAAATGCATATGAAAATTATTTACAAATGATATTTTTTTTAAAATTAATCTGATACCTTTAATCAATGTCAACTTTAAAGGGATTTTCTAAACCTTTTAAATTACAACATTCCAGTTTTCAGTCAAACATCTGTTGCTCATGCAATTCCACTAAAATCAAGCATTTTATTAGGACCTTTGTGATAGTGACGCATAGTTTAAGTGGAATTGCAAGAATCACAGATGTTGGATTGAAAATTGGGTCGGTGAAAATCGATGCTATCAGTGTGCCCTTTACTCCAATTACTCCTTTAATGAGGTAGTGAATCATGCATGTGTTATATACTGATGAAGTTATTTACCTGTACAAGGAGAAGGTTTGGGTATTATTTCAGCTACTGCCTGTTTTAAAGCATACACATCACTAGGTGATAATTTACAAGTTCTTTCTATGTCAGGTCCAGATAAACTTAATATATTCTCAAAATTTTTTAAATTGGCTGTAAGAGATTTTTTCAATTATGCACTTTTACAAGTAAGGTAAAGCAGGGAGACTTTAACAGATTATTTAAAAAATACTTGAGAATGTAGCCTTGGTTTGGCATCCATAATTTTAATACCAATAGGTTTTAAATAACCCAGTGAGAGAACAATTTGTTATGACATACTCATTTCGTCCACATTTCTCCATGTAAAGGAGTTGCAGCCGCCAAATGCGTTGTCAATAAATCTTTCGAAAGAATAACTAAATGCTGTGACTTTCAGATCTTTAAACAGTATTTTATAGAATATTTCAGTTTTTACTAATTTCTGCACCTATAATACAATGAGTTAAATTTTTACAACAATTGTCTAGCCAAAATGTGAACCGAAAGTCAATTTGAGTTCCAAGTTGGGGTATGTTTGACTTTGCTAACTTTTGACAAAGTTATGCATGATGAAATACCTGTACCATTTTGATCTACTTAATACTGTCACAGGAATTCTAAAGTACTGGTACCAATATTTAAAGTTTAATATTTTTTAGCTTCGTTTTAATCAGCCAAAGCTTATCCGACCCTCACTTCAGTCTGTATTTGCCATGTGAATATTATATGACAATGTTCTTAGACATTTAAATGGTTATTGATGAGAGGTTTAGAATCAATCAATGAATGTTTATTCAAAATAAATAACCTATGGATTAAAAATCACAAACCCGGTTATGTTTCAGGTGAAGCAACATTTTTTGTAGACCAATTTTATGTGAAACAGAAAATACGTTACTTTATGTGACTGAATAGGGAACATTTTTCAATAATATTTTCTTAGATACTGCTCATATAGCCTTAATTTGGTTTAGTTAAAACATTTAGTATTTACATTTCTTGACAGCTACCAGGATCCTGGGATTTATATCCAGGTCATCAAAGTTATTTGCTGACATTGCATGACAACAAAAGTTCTTAAGAGACTATCTATCAAAACTAATATTTTTAGGAAAAGTTATCGTTTTTAATCAACATTTCAACTCCCGCCATTTGCCTTCATATTCTGTTATCCAGCATTTTTTCTTCTGTGTAGAATAACTAGCGTCTTGACAATCAAGCGTAATGTCAAAGTGCATAGAGTTAATATTATCTCTAAGTCAAAGCGATTAAAGGGGAATAACTATATTAGACATATAGACTACAGTAATTTCTTCTTTACCGACAATCAACCACCTGTGTAATTTTCCTTTCTGTGTAATTTTCTAATCTATGTAGAAAGACATTTGAAGTGTTTGGATTTTATTAAAGTAAAGAATATATTCATTAAAATTGATTAGAATCTTGATTATCAAATGTCTTCATTAGAATTCATTGCACTACAAAAGTAAACCATGCTGTTTTTTTCAAAAAGTTACTATTTCATTGGTGGACAATATTTATTGCCTTTTGTATCTGGTAAGTGAACACAGGGTACATCCCACATCCATGGTCGGTCTGAAAAATAAAGACCAACATCTTAAAACAAATATCTTTAAAGAAAAGTATTCAGAGCAAATCATTCATAGATTTTTTATATGAATTAAAAATGTAAAATAAAACAAGTGGTTGTCTAGCAAGAAGCGACCACTTCCAACTCCGTTTGACAATTCTGTGGTATCTACTACCTCACCTAATGATTCATAGAAAGGCCACTGATCTTACCTCCTTTATTATATGTAGATGGTGGTAGATCATAGGGTAGGGGAAATATAGATGATGATGGGAATGTATTAATATCAGATGATACAGGGAAAGTTTCTTCACCAGTCTAAAATATGAACGAAATAGAGCTTTATCTACTTGTTACTTTTATGTTCCTGAATTTAAGTTCCTTATGACAAAGGACAATTAATTTTTTGTGCATAGTTTCGAAAAAATATCTATGCTGGGATCCAACCAGCAAGTTTCAAAATCTCTTTTTTTTTTAGATTTATTCAGTTCAGATCACTATTGATTTCTCATTTTTAATGAAGTGAAGTGAAAAGTAGGTGCACTAGCATCAAAACGGACTGAATATGATAAAAATATGTAATATAAAAGTAAGTCTAGATGAGAAATTAAACTGGTTGAGGCTCTCTCACTTAAACATATAACAGTTGGTAAGGTGAGTATGACCATGATGAAAGCGAAACAAAACAACTTAATTTCTCCTGTTAGAACAATAGGAGTTTGGCCAATCTCCTAAGAGAGGCTTAATGGGATAAAGTTTGTTTGTGTCTTCAGCAACCTATCTTTGCTGCCAACGTTGATGGATAGAAAACCTAATAACAGACTTAAAGTGAATTCAGGAGACAAAGATGGTGAAATATATTGGAATGAATAATGCATCTAATAATGTTTCTATCTCTATTAAAACACATACTAAAAATTGAGGAAGAAATAAAACTCCAATCTCATATGATCGTATCATCAGTTGACTTCCATTCTTTTCTAAGACTCCCCAGGCAGCTTTTGATAAATTCGCACTGAAACAACGAATTAAAAGAATAATTTCACAACTGATGTTTAATAAAGTGATAGTGTCTTTTGTTGTTTCTCATGTTTTGCAAGAAACTAGTAAGTACCTTTAAAAATGTTAGTTGCTTTAACAAATACATTGTATTTGAAAATCAACTCAACATTTCTAAATATCTTTTAAGATATATCTATGAAAGAGTATGAATGTACATAAAGAATCAAACTAAAAAATGATTTTATAGTTAAATGACATTAGCTTAAATAATCATTATACCTTGTAACTAGAAACCATGCTGCTTTTTTAAATTGAGGATCTGGACGTAGATAAGTTTTAATATGTGGACAAGCTTGACTTCTACCTCTTCCGTCTGATTTCCACTGTCTATAAAACATGACATATTGGTTATCAAATCTTGTATCCATTTTAAATCAAAATCATAACATATTAAGATTAATATAAAAGTGTCACACAACACTGTTTTTCGGTATGTAATACAGGTCCATAAAAACGATATGTAGCACAGGTCAATAACTATGTAAATTAGGCTTTGGAGTTGACAGTAAGGGGTATGAGATTTATAAAACATTGAGACTTATTCCATGCTGAAAAAAAAAGAGACAAGTATGGTTTTAGTTTTCATTGCAGTTTACTGATGCTTAGAATAACGACTACTTATTATGTAGGTTGATGAGAAACAGTATTACCTGAAAAATTGATGAATATATTTTTGTTTTCTGGCTGTTTCTATACTATAAGGTACGGAATTACCAGCCCCGTAACCTTCTAGACTCATCCTAATATTCTCTACTGACGGAAATACCTACAAAATATACAGCATAAATTCACAAATTTTAGTAATCTTCAAAGCTGACCTGACATGCTGCACCTCCTAAATGGGATTCTCCAAAATTAAAATACATTTTCATTAATTATGAAATTATTTAGCCACAAACTCTAATAAATCTATCATATTCATCAACTTTGAAGTCAAAAAAACTATGTAACTTGATGATGAATATGCAAAATGAAACCAACTCACCAACTGTAATTTACTACAATAATCATATGGTGCCATTATTCCTTTTGATGCTGACAGTGATTTGACCAATTCACTAGAAACCCAGGATTCTACAGTAGGACCTAATGATCCAATACTTGAAAACTGACCAATAATAGGCCAATCTTTGACCACTTTACTGTCTGGACCATGTTTGTGTAATATCTTACGTAACTTTAAATGCCCCCAAATATCCTTCACTCTATCTGTATGTCTTCCTGGTACAGAACCTATTATAAACACTCTGAAATTAACCACAAACAGAATATCTATATCTTGTGTATTTGGAACAAGACAATATGAATATAATATCTATTTATATTGGACAAATCAGGGTACTACAGAGTAATACAATGATATACATGAAGATCTTGTATGGTTGATATATCATTGTTAAAAGTTAAATATTCCATAGTTATTAACTATCTATATGAAGTCCAGCCATAAGATCATGATAAATTGAGCAGCCTGTGAAGCCGCAATTGCCTGGTTCAGACTGCCGTAGAACTGCCGCCCAAAATATATTTGTGGGCATATAAAAATTTAGTTTGTTGCCGCTACATTCATTTATTTCACTTACTTGGCAGACGACATATCATGGGCTTTTAAATGTTTTTCCCATATTTTTAACTTGGCATGTCTATAAGCTGTTATGTATTGACATAAATCTTTTTTAAAATTTGTAGAAGAATCTCCAATATCTAGACCACCTTCATCTGGTAATTTGGGGAACACTGGACTTATCCATACACTATACAATAAAAAATTGGTGATGTTAAGCTGATCTCAGTTTGCAACTGGGTTTGTTAACTAAGTATCTTTTCAGATAAGTCAACACCCAATAAAAATATTCTACATGTGGAATTTTATATTGGGAAATACATGTAAATGACAAACACGTCAATATATCTTAGGCCTAACTCTGTATACATGGCCATGAACAGACATGCTGTAATGTCTAGGAAGTTTTACACAGTCGCTGAATGATGATTCAGTCTGAATCAGGTAGTCACTGAATCAAACCCTGACCTAAATCTCTGATTTTGTTTTTTGATATTACCAGTTAGAGATCTTGGCAGTGTATATATGCGTATGGTATTTTTAATTCAACATTTCAACTGGCATAATGGAGCAAAATATGTGCCACTCACATATCAGTACAGTCCAAGATTTTCTGAAAGAGAGGTCTTCTTCAGGAATAGTATGTATAATTAATTGTTTTACAAACCCTTGTGTTTTCTGATGCCAGTCACCTTTGATACCATTAGCTGTTGTTATAACAACTCTTAAACCATTGTCATATAATAATAACATCATCTTTCTGTAAGTAACATGATTATAAATTCAAAGGTACACGGTTTGACTGTTTGGTATCAAAAGATTCTTCATACCATGGTAATTAAAGCTGACAGAACCATACTATGTTTTGTTTACATGACCTTCTCCCCTTCTTCTTTTTTGTTCTACCTTAAAATAGCACCAGTCTCATTTCAAACGCCCACAAAACAAAAAAGTTAGTGGGCTTAGTTCAATACTGGTTGTTAAGACTATGTCAAAACCCGTACAATGATACTTACGTATGATGAGTTCCATACATGATCTCTAGTTTTGCCTGAAAACAAGAGAAATCAATGTACAGTTCGCAACACAACTTTAAAAATGCCAAAAAAATCAATTTCATCTGAATGTCTTCTTCAGATTATAGTGAAATCTAATAATTATTTTCATTAGTTTTTTTTTCTTGTATTTGTCTTTCTCAATGACTGTCTATCTACAGATTACCAACCTGACAAAGTGATACATTGGAATATCTTGAAGCATCCCTTTGTAGATCAGCTAAACTACCTCTCTGTTCACCATGCACAATTAATAATGGTTTATTTCTAAAAAAAAAAAATCTATAGTAAGTGAATATATCAAATGTAGAAATGAGATCAATTTGACAAAATAATATGATATGAAATAACATTAATAAAACTTGGTTATTGGTACTCTAGGAGAACTATAAAGAGCAAAAAGTAAAACTTGCCTAAAGGGTTTAGGATATTGTTGTATAAGCCAGTCTATATCAAACATATAATTAAACTGAAAATATAGAAGTTTCGAATCAATTCATCAATTAACTATTCTATTGCTATAATTTTAAATTCTAAATCCTGGATCTTATTCTCTAAAACTCAACTGAATATAATTCAAGTAGAATAGATTTATAGTTTGTTTTATTCTCCATCAGATTACAGATCTTAGTTAAATTTTGGAGAATAAGGTCCCGGCTTTTGTGAAATAAAATGAAATCAATTGAGTTTTACATCACCATGCGGGCTAATGAAGACGGTCTATGCCATGCAGGTTGCAATGAGGGAAATTTTGCCAGGACATCGGCATTAACCTGCTCTATCGAGGAATTTTTTAACATGTACAGTTTGTAGCACACTGGGTCTCCCGTTTATTGTTTCATCCGAACGACTAGATGCTTTTTCCATGAAGGTTTATCCCTGAACCTTCAGGTCAGCAATCAAGCGTCTTACTCACTGAGCCACTGCGGCTCCCACAGCTGCTTTTGTGCTATTGAAACTAGGATACAAGAAATGTGTTTATACCTGGCATGATTCTACCAAATTCCCCATTGATTCTGACAGAATATCTGAATTAAAAAATCAAAATAAATTTTACTATGTATTTATTAAATACAATCTTCAAATGAAATAAAGTTGTTAAATTCAAAAAACTAACTTTTCAATCCAGGCCAGTGGTCTTATTAGGATTTCCACCTCAAATGACTAATTACTCACCCTGTATATGAACAGCACCAACATTATTATATTTATCCTCTATACCAGTAACTTTAGTTAAATAAAAACTATAAGGCTGGTTTGATTTAAGGAAATCAATATCACAGACATTTCTACTATTAGAACTCTTTAACCTGGATGTGGAAGGAGAGTGGTCAGTTTTCTGTCTCTTATAATGTGACCCATTCCCTATATCTTCCCCTTCAAGTTTCCGTTTGGATGGAGATTCTGTAATATATAATTATAGTTTTAATCAATCAAATGAGTTATTTTGAATATAAAACTGAAGGAGCCAATCATGTAATGCTCTGTCAGTTAATTTAGGTTAACCATGCCCTATTATCAATAAGAAGAGACTATGGTGAATTCATTGTAGGAAAAATATCAGCCAGATTTGAAGCATAAACATTTTTTTACCTTTAGCAGGATGATAAAACTCTGCAATGTGAGAAGGATTTTTCCTGTAACATTTGGGGCCAAATTCACATGTTGGTTTCCAGTTACTTTTTTCTTTTTTATTAGGCACTTTTGAATTGTTAGTTGATATCCTCTTCAGATTCAATATTTTTTGTTTTAACTGTTCAGTTTCAGAATCACTATCTGATTTATGAGATGAGTGTGGAGTGGAGGACACATTTGCTTCTTGTTCATCGTCAGAAATTTCATGGATTAAAGGTTTCTTGTGTAAAGTTAAGCTATCAGGATGCTTTTGCTTTTGTTCATTTTCCCTTTGATTTGATTGTTCCTTTCGTTTTTTATTCACCCCTTCCTTCTTTGCTTTTGGATTCAAAACAGGTTTCTTTTCATCTTCAGGTTCTGAACTTTCAAACAGATCTGGAGAATTTTCATAAGGCTCAGGTTCAATTGTTGCATCAGAATCTGAATCTGAACCAGACATAGAATGGGCACCTTTTATAGACATTTCCCCCTTAATGACAAACAGCTAGCTAAGTTTCCCCTATATTGATCGATCACTAGGCTTTACCTATAATAAAGATATACAGTTACAGTTAATAAACTAAGCAGGAGTTCTTTTTCTCCAAATAAGTGTATTTTTTTTTTTCATTTTTACAACATTTTTCATATCAATCACAATACATTTGATAGTGTTTAAATTTCAGTTAAACTTGTCAGTGTTGGTCAGTAGAAATGGGGACTTATGATAATATATCTCAGTGATTAAAAATCAAAATGGTTTTATTACCTGTCTTTTGTTCTTGTTTCTTTTGTTCTTGTGTTTATCAATAACAAAAAACAGTTAAATTAAAAGAGATAAGGAGATAAAGTGAGACCTCGAGATTATTGTTTCCATATTGCCCAAACTCTACTTTCAGTTTAAAGGTCTAAAAGGGCCTGGTTAATCAAAGAAAAGCAAATTAAGATGGTTTCGTATTATCAATCGATATACAGAACAGAAATAGCCACTATTTCATTCGGGGTTAAATCTATGAAAACAAAATTAAAATCTATTAAAAATTCATATTTTCACACAAATTATATTCAAAAATAAACTTTTAAAGTTTGACGTTGAAATCCGAAACAGTGGTCAACATTAGAATGTAAACAATAATGGTTGACAAGTGCGAGAACATTTCAAAGAAATTGTTTTCTGTCTAATCATACTTTATTAATCAATGAATATCTAGAGAAGAGTGAGTGTATAATTCGGTCCTTGTCACCTGGTTGCCACATAATTTGTTAATTGTAGACTTTATTTAACAAAATAGTGATATTTATCATTTTGGTTTAGACTTAAATAATCCATCCATGTCCCAACATGTCTGTCACTGTTCTCCATTTTCAAATTTCATACAATTTTATGGTGAAACTGATAATTGTGCAGGTGAAAAACTTACTGGAGATGGAAAACCTTCTCATGAATATATATTACACTGTCATAATTGTTTCCAAGACCTGCAAATAAAAATACTGCTTCATATTTTATTTAACTATTTTGCAACCTTATATTATACCGGTAATTTATTGGAAACTTATACTTATGTGTATATGGAACATTTCAGATGGGTGAGGTACATGTAATTGGTCAAATAGTTGGTGCCTCAGGGTTTCCTGATCATAGTTTATTTTGTAAATGGGGAATACACACAGGTAGGTACATATGAGAGCTTTTTGATGTGTCTGGTATTTTGAATATTGAGATGTTAATGTTAAATATAATTGAAAATTGATAAAATGATGATTGATGATACAGAAAATTCTTTCTCCAGAACATTTTAAGGCCTCAATTCTCAATGACAATTATAAATCAAGTAAGTCAGCCTGATTGGTTGAACACCTTTTCTTCTCAATTTAAGGTAGGCTACCGTCTTGATCTGATCATTACAAAATATGATATAATTATCTTACAGGTGGTGCATGGAAAGTTTTATCAGGTTTAAGAGAAGGTCAAACACAAGTTGATAATCCACAAAATCATGAAGCTGCATTCTGGTCACATCCCATAGATATTCATTTTGCTACCAAAGGTTTACAAGGTAGGTTTTATACTCAGACGAAGAAAAATAATATTTATGTATACATCTATGAATATGGGAGGCTACTTAGAAACAATATGCTATTGAACCATTTGGATTCATGTGACTGATGTAACTGAATGAAATATTCAATTAATATGTGTATTTTTTAGGTTGGCCAAAGATTCATTTTCAAGTCTGGCATCAAGACCAATATGGAAGGAATGAGTTGTATGGCTATGGTTTTTGTCATCTTCCAACATCACCAGGAATACATGAAATGGAATGTTCTACATGGAGACCCACTGGTACTTTCTTCCAACAAGTTTCACAATTTTTCTTGGGTGGTGGTCCACAATTAAAAAATCCTGATTTAATATACAGTGGTGCTGACAGATATAAACTACATACAATAGCCATGGGAAAAGTTCATCTACGGTTAGGTTTAATTCTCAGAAACTTTGATAGATTTGGAATAGAATGTTAAAGTAGTTTTTCAGTGAATTGAAAATACTTTTCTTATATTATTCATGAAACGTGACATTGTAAGAACAATTTAGAACAATAAAATTTACAATCGAGATAGATATTTCATTAAATATGCCATAAATACAGTTTCTGATTGATCTTAATATCAGGAACTTATCTTATAAAATTTCAATATCCCAAATACCAATTTATAAAAAAATATACATGTATAAATAAACTACACACAATTTATTTTATTATAATACAGTATGAATATTTTTAATTTAATTGTTATTCTTGTAGTTCACTCAACATTTGTTATTGTATATTGTTATTATCAATGTGTATATTGTAATGATTACTACACAAAAACATTTTTTTAACGTATCGTAGTTGTTTCTAAAAAATGATGGCAGATCATATATCCTTGCATTGTTATTATTGATGCAAATCATTTGAACACACAACCTTTTCGAGTAGAGGTTGCATACGTTGAATTATCAAGCTAATGAATTCAGAAGCCCCCTCTTGTCACCACTTTTATCTCCTTTTTTATTTTAGGAGCTTTATGTGTGGAAAAATATGTCGAGATGTCTTTTCAACACATTTTCTTTATTTTTTACTCTCTAGTCATTTTTTTATATAACAACCAACATCTTGTCATATATCTTGGTGAATAACTCTCTTTAATCACTCCTGATAGTAGAATCTGATCCTCAATTTGAAACACCAGACCTAATTGTTCCTAAGTTTTCAAACCCTGCTGGAACATAGTCTTTCTGTTTGCCCTGCGTGACCCCAAGAAATTGAAACCTTTGACCCATTTTGTCTGGATTAATCAACATATCATAACCAGATAATAAATCTTTCCATCCATCAGCATTAACATTCTGTAATAACACCTGAAAAACATTTCAATGAAAATATACTCTGCTGTATTCAAGTTATTTCATGGGATGCACCCTGATGAGTTTCGATTAAAAGAAATTTAATCAATAGTAAGTGAAGGAGAACCACACCACATAATAAATAAAGTAAAAAAAAAATGTCTATATTCGTAATCATGGTCACTCAAAAAAAAAGTGGCCAATCCACAAACATTCAGGGCTATACAGAGAATGCTGTTACACACAAATATTGAGTTTAGCACAGGTAATAAATTAAAATAATTCAAATACTATAATCATACTGATAAGGCCTACATCCTTAATTACTTGAAGTGAACAGAAAGCACAATTAGATAGAGAAAAAAAACAAATTGACAAAAGGGCTGACATACTGATGTAACACCTTAGATATCTTACTTTCTGGTCAAACCATTTTTGGTAAATATTTTTCCATGTCATTTGATCTGACTTAATATTATTAAGGGGACATAATGAAATTACCCCATCTACATTATACCTGGGGAAAAAACATAGTAATTTCAAAATGACCAACCTGTAATCTTATGCCTATTCCCATATTTATTAAAAAATCACGTTGTTCTTTGGGCCCACAAACACTGACTGAAAAGAAAAAACATGTGCTATCAGTTTAAAATCATCTAAAGCCCAAGAGATGTTAGACTATATATTTAACTTAGATCAAAAACAGTTTATGAGCATATCTTCATGCAATGTAATATGTGTAATATATTTTGTACCTAGTCAAGAGCTAAATGTTTCTTGGTTGGTATTTTGGAGGGAATTATTCCTGTATTATCTAACCAGCTGCTAACAACTGAACTACACTACTCACTACCATAAAATGACTGATTTTATGTCTAGTGCATGTGAATTTGAAGCATAAAATGTATGTCTTTACCTCCAATTTGTTCAGCCATTTTCCTTAGATATGAGAAATCAACATCTGCAGTAAGATCTGCTGTACCAGGATTCAATAATACATCATGCAGCTGATGATTTTTAAAACCCTGAAATATACCAAGATGGACTTTAGTATGGCTGAAGGTTTTGCATACAACCAATAAATGTCAATTGTAAAGTATTTACTATTATTATTAAGTACTATTTTAAAGAAGGACTTCAGAGATGGAAATCAAAAAGAGCAGCTATCCACAATATCTTTTCTACATAGTGCTTAGCAAATGAAAATCCATTTAACTCAAATTATCGACACGAATATTCATCATACCCTAAAAGTATCTGTTTTAGTACCATCATGACCATAATCTCCTATTAATAATCCTCCACCATTCTCTTTTATTCTGGAACATATTTCCTGCATTATTACCCCTGATTCTGGACTCACTTCAATATGATCTCTTGTATCATTAGCATCTGGCTACAAAATTGACAAAAGTCAACTATTAACTAAAGAGCTATAATTATCCAATAGCTATCCATAACATTTTTCAGAATTAAAATCTGAAGTTACCTTAGGCACAACGTTCCATGCCAAATTAGACGGCTGGCACTTTCATTCACTTTAAATTCTTGCTTGCAGTTATAATACCTATATCATGACATATATCCCCCTTAAAACTTATTCTTCAAAATTTCCATTCCTGCTATAAGTAAGTCAGTATACCTGTAAATATGTTAAACCTGCCGTTCTTCTTCCTGATAGAACAAACTGTATTTCTTTACCATCTTCTCCAACATCATCTTTTATATCAACTAATATTTCTTGCCAACCTTTTTCACTTTTCTGTTTAAAAAGAGAGTAACTTAAGTTAAATGTAGTCCAATAAACTCTTCAAATTACATATCATTTTATTTGGACAGTTGCTAACCAGTAGAGTTAATAGTATCTCTTCAACAAGTGGTTGCCGAGCAAGATACACCCACTTCCCTGATAAATTATAGGTATATAAAAGGCGGTCACCAATCTGTGTCAAATCATACCAAAAACCAAGGGCAATAACTCCAAACCCGGTCATCGAAAAATCTTCATATTCGAACATGACCAAGATCTCATCAATATAAATGATCACACCAAATTTCATTCAAATCTGATAAGAATCTCTATTGTGTTCACAAGCCAACTGTGGACGGATGAACGGATTGACTGACGGACAGGTGCAGCAAAACTATATCACCATAATATAATGTGTATTGTATTCTGTAAAGTGCACATGAGATGTTACCTGTCCAATACATCATTTTAATTCTTAGTCCAATGAAATATCAATAGGAGTCATCCTTGACTACAATGAACATGTAAAAATTAAAACCTGTAAAGTTTGCATAGGGTAATACCCATTCAATGTGTCCAACACTGAAAACCAGTGAAAAATTGTCAGCTTTGCACAAAAAAGCAAGAAATCCATAACAATGATAGTCAGTGGTGTACCTAAAAGTCTCGGGCATAAGAGTCCTTTAGAGCCATACATGAAAACTATTAACATATTCACTTTGTGGAAAAATATCTGTAAAAGTCAAACAACAGAAAAAGAGATAAATGATTATAAGTATATACCTGAAATTTATGAATAGGTAAAGCATCAAAGAATTCATGTGCTATATAGTACATATGATCTTTCGGAACATCTTTTATAGAATGATACCAATATACATCCTGATCATATTTATTTTTCATACTGTGATAATATGGATGGTTCGATGTCTTGGGTGTCATTTCAACTGGTTCATCTAATCCTGATAACTTTGCAGCTTGAATTCCACTTAATGTTGGACTGACTTCTACTAAATGCATAGCAACTTTATCTTTTAATGGTTTAAAGTTGGTAAATATCTAAATAAATTCAAATTCTGCTATATTATTCTTGATATTTATAACCATAAGTCCTTCCCAACATTTTTGCTACTCTATTCGGCAAGTATAGCTATATCAACATCCTAGCTTGATACTTATCAAGCATATAACAGGAACAAGACAAAGTTGATTCTTTAAATGGGACTAAAGCAAATAGTTTGTTAGAAGATGGGCCCCTTATCTAGAACAAATCTATATTGCAGACTATTGGTTTTAGGAACTTTACTTGAGTTTTATTGGCCACTAAATGTCACCTTTCTGAAGATATTTGCAAGTAATCAACCCATATGATTAAGATTTATTGAAACTTACTCTACACATATCATCAACTAATGTGCCACGACCAGGCCCTAGCTCTACAATATTTAATGTTCCAGTTAGTTTATCTTGTATATATTCATTTACACACCATATCCCTATTAACTGTAACAAACACATATATTTCAAAACAATTTATAATTTCTAAAGTAGCTCTTTTTTTCTACATTTGACAAATTAATGAGTAAATGAATGTTATCTGATGTTCACAAAAAAGATCACTCCCGCTAGTGATCATACCAAAAAAGGATTAATTGATGACTGATGTTGTTTTGAAGCCAGCCAGCCCTTCAAGAAAGTTATAAACGGGGACTTAAATAAATTCAGGTCATCTGAATCCTTGTGAAGGATGAATCCTTTCAATTATATTCTTTAATTTTTTATCTGTAACATATTATTTACCTCACCAAACATCTGGCTTATTTCAGGACTAGTAGTAAAATCTCCTTTTACACCAAATACATCATTATTCATATAATAACCCTGTAATAAATATTTATATAACAACTCGACTCGACAATGTAATAAATATTCCAAGTATTATCAAGCTTATAAATTAAATATCTAATTAGAATTTGTTAATGAAAAACAGGTGTTTATTTCCAATCAAAATCCAACTATTTTATATCACTCAATTGGTTCTCTCCTCACTATCTTCATAAGTAAAATAAGGAGGAGCATATGAGAATTTGAACTTAATGCATCTAATTCTAGAGTAGTAGACAATTCTATTCCCTACTAACTAAACCATTCCACTAGGGGCAATTGATGTTTCAATAATCAGAATTCAATAAGATACCTTGATCTGTTTGCAACACAAAGAAAACTTACCGAGACAGGGTTTATTAAAACTTCTTTCATATACTCAGCTACAGTGATGGGTCCATTTGCCTTGATTCTGGCCTTCAGATGTCTTAATAACTGATTTTTATTAGTTGATGTTGATGTTGTCATTCCACAAATACATGTTCTGATATGTCCATTAGGTCTACCTATAATTATTTTAAAAAATTGTATGCTATACAGAGACACGCAATATCAAAGATTGCCAGACAGCAAAGTTAATATATTTCCAATGAAAATTATTGTTAAGGGCAATAATTCTAAAAACTATTCAGCAAATTAAGTTGTAAAACCTTAACATGTCCAAGATCTAATAAGTTTCAATGATCTCGCTGCTCTGTGACCTAGGCCAACTCAAGTAAACAATTTCAATTATCACATTTCATCAAAACTGATAGAAAACTCTATAGTGTTCTCAAACTGTTTTTAACTTTTTCAAGATAATAACATAAATGCTTTTTTATAAAAAAAATTGTCTAATTGAAAGATCTCAATCTGAATGATCAAATTACATTTCTTTAAAATCAGATGAAAACTGAAGTCTCCAGCTTGTATACTTTCAAGATGGATTGACAGAGAGACAAAGGACAACAAACAATAATAAATGTCTAAATTTTCACAAAGTCATATAAGCATATAATTGATCCATCTAAATGTTGAATTTGATGAACTGTATAGAAACTTCATACAATAACAAAATAGTTTCACTGTCACTATGGCTCAATGTATCAATTGTCATTCAATATGGAAATATTACAAGAACCAGTGGCAGTAGGCTTTCGCTTCTCATTCTAGTTCTTGTCAAACTACAGAAGTTCAGGGAGGGGCACAAGCTGAAATTGACCAGTTGTCAGAAAATCACAGTATTATTTAGTTACAACCTGTTTGAGGGTGTGATCTAATATTTCTAACAACCTTGTTATAATACATTCTGAGGCAATTTGACTAGTTCCGTTCCGTTTTGACCATTTGTTTTGTGATTAATTTGACTTCAGGCGTTCTTCCCATAAAAATGGCATTGCCATCCTATTCCTAACCTCAGTCCTCAGTGTAGTAACAAACACATTGTCATTAGTGCATCTAACGTCCAAGATGGCTAGATAGAGTGAAAACATTTATCTGCCTACACGATTTCGCCAAAATAAGCTTAGTTGTGCATTTTTACATATATCAGATACCTATTAATCTACTAAGTGACCGTAGATTTCGAAAAGATCTCAAGCTGCCCATTTTGACATTCACATGTGTGAGGGATATCCCAATATGTTAATGAAGGGAATTCCGTCCTCCTTCTCAATCAATTCGCCACGTCCAGCTTAAACCAGATTAATACGCTTAAATATATATTGTTCAAGACAAAATACTATTATAGATATTTGCTTAAGCACGATGATTTAATAAACCATGGAATTTGCTGGATATGAATTTTAACGTTTAATTACAAAAACACGCATATCTATTCCTGAACTATTTTACGGCTTGGAGCCATTTCCGTTTTTTTTTTAGTGACGTAAAGAGTCGTGTGGAAAAATGAAAACAAACTCGGCAAAAGATGACAAGCATTTAGATGAAATCCATTGACTGACAGAACTATTTCGTGAATTTACAATGACTTTATATATCACTTCGTTGGTGTTTTTTCTTTTTATTAATGGTACCCTTCAAGTGAAAAACCGAAGTTCCAAGGTTGCAGATCGATGTTTTTGCAAGGTAGGTTTTAGCATTATGACATGCCATGCTACAAAAGATAGTCTATTATGACTATATGATACGTGCAACATTGAATGTACACAGCAATTTAGTCTTATCCAAGCCTTGTGAGTAATATGTTGATCCTGTTCAACTGACAACTGAAATGATGACTGATGAGGAGTCGACTTGTAAAGACAAGTTATTAATGGAAAGTGACAACATGCATAAATAGTACAGCACAGGGCCTTGCCTTTCTCTGAGTCTTTGCTAATGATGTCCAAAAAAGGAATATTACATAAATATTGTATTTATTATTATCATCGTTTCAATAAGATACAAACAACTGTTTTTATACGCTTACCTGAAATGGGGGACGTATATTGTTGTCACCCATGTCCGTCCGTCCACAATTGCTCGTAAACATTTGAGAAGGCGGATTTTGACTAAACTTGGTATGATTGTTTGTAACCATTCACAGATAAATGCTATTGAAAATCCAAATTTGTTATCATCTAAGGATAAGCCCTATCGAAAATCAGAAAATTTAAAAAATATTTAGTAGGAGTTATTGCCCTTGTTCTTGAAAAATGTGTTCAATTGTTAGGTCTTAAACTCTCCAGAAGGTTGAATTATTGACAGATATTGACGAAACTTGGTGTGAGTGATTGTAATTACCCAAGGATGAACCCTATTGAAAATTAAAAGAATCAAAAAATATTCAGTATAAGTTACTGCCCTTTTGAACACGTTAAATTTTTAGCTCATAAACGCTCTAGAAGGTTGAGTTATGGACAGATTTTGAAGAAACTTGGTGTGAGTGTTTGTAAGCATCCAAGGATGAGCCCTATACTCCCATATGAAATGGGGCTTTTAATAAAACTTTTGTCAAATTAAACCATTTATTCCTCCAACATTTCATGTGTCTAAAAACACACTTCTTGAGGCAGTAAATGACTTCTTGGTTACTCAAACAACTATCTTCAAAGTGAAGTCATCAGTGAATGATGCAAAAAGATAAAATATGATGTCATGAAAAAAGTGAAATATAAAGTCATTATAATGGAAATAATATGTAAGCACAGAGTGCTATTACTTTGAAAAGTTTTTCATTGTATCAGGATTGTATTCATTTTAATCCCCTTGGCCAAACTGTGTCAAGTTTATAAATCTAGATGGATTCGGCTAGATCTAATTTTCTTTTATCTGCATCATAAATTTTCTGCAGAATGTCCTACTCCAGGTGTATTAAAATGCTACTCTTGGGGCTTTACCTGCTTTGTTAGATGTTTTACCTGTACTTAAGTCTAATGCTCAAAGGGGTAGTAGTTTTTCCAACATAGTGCATATGACAGCAGGAACAGGTCAAACAATAAACCACAAAACTAGAATAATCATACTTGTTTCATTAAAGACAAAGATTCCAGTTTTGTGGTTTATTGTTACCTCCTACATCTCCTTTTACTGTTCAGTACTGGACGGTACCCTCACGGCCCTGCTCATGTCAGTAGGCTACACTTTAACATCACAATCGGGTATCCAACGTCAAAGTTACCTTTACTCTCATTTTCTAATCGTCCCTTATTAAAATAAAATCTCTGGAAAATCAAATTTAAATTGAGTTATTGTCACTCATTTATTTCTATTATAGCCATAGGCATAGTCTAGTTCTAATCTACTACTTAAAAATGGAAATATATGAAGACTAACTATCCATCCTATAGGTCACATTGACTGTTACAATTTGTACCTTAGGCTGTATTGCTTTCTATATGCTGTTAAAATATTTACTACAGGTATTTGTGTTGATTGTCACGTAAATATATTGATATTTAACTACCTGGGTGTACCTTAATATATTTCAGTTAAATGGTGAAATTGATGATTGTAGCTGTAAAGTAGAAACATTAAGTGTTTTGAATAATAATAAAATCTACCCACGTATTAAAAGTTTACTCTCAAGAAATTATTTTAGATATTTTAAAGTAAGTATTTTCAATTTTCATGTAAGTTGCATATTGGCCTGGTCTGAATTAAAATTTAATTGCTAACGTTTTGTTTTTATTTACATTAAACCAATAATCTTATTACTGGTATTTTTTCAGTATTTAAATGTGCATAATTTACTCAGTATTAAAATAATTTGACATCAAAATCAGCTCATAGCTAATTAGTTATGTGTACCAGATAATTCTGGAAATTTTGTAACATATTATTATTGTAAGAAAATGTTGTAAAAGAACAGACTGAAGATGTTAAACTATTTGAAACTATTCAATTGTGTGGTTAAATGTCAAATGATCTCGAAGTGTGTTTGTAATAAATCGGAAAACAGTCTATTTTAGGCTAAATAAACAGTTCTAATACAATGTCAATATTGTAGAGTTACCTGATAATAACAGGTTTCATGTAATCAGACCCTGTTATTTTTTGTACTGTAGTTCAAATAAATACAATTCAAACAAATCTAAAAATACCCAAAATATCAGCTTTCATTGGATTTTGCTAACTCTGTATAAAACATCACTTAGCATAAGTTCAAATTGCCAAAGCAAAATGAAAATTTTGGAGAATTTGTTGTATGAGGTGAAATTGTAATCTACAACTTACAATTTTAAAATCAACATCTGCAATCGTGTTTATTTGATGATGAAGATATAAAATAAGATAAAAATATAATTTGAAAAACACAAGTAATGTGTGAAATTTGTTTTACTGTAAAACTAATGTAAGATTGTGTTATAAAGATCAATATTTGAGATAAAACATGCACAGCTGTGTAATGATTTTTTATGATATTTTGTTAGTTTTATTATATAATAAAAACAATCCTAAACAGGAAGAACACTTTTAGTATAGGAATTAGGTAATAAAAAATATAAGTAAAAATCGCCTTGAAATGGTACTTATGTCAAATAATTGAAAGATGAATTAAATCTTATAGGTTAATTTGAAAAAGAAGTGTCCATTTTGGCATGATGATAGTAGATGTGCTTTAAAAGATTGTCATGTTGACACATGTAAGGAGGTAGGTCATTTTTTTTTACAGTATCTAAACAGCTGTTATAGCAATGATACAAGGATTCAATTGTCTTTCTCTGACTGCTCATAAGAATTTCGTGTAAAGCCTTTGTTTTATATCTTTGTTATTTCTAGGCCTTAAGACAGAAATTCATTTATGTTTTACAAAAACTTGTTTGTAGGAAGAAATCCCAAGTGCAATTAAAAAAGGTTCAAGTGCTTATAGATACAGCGAAGAGGCTCAGAAAGAAGAGAGCTGTGCTGAAGAAAAAGAACTAAGTGCATTAAACACAACCATAAGGTAATTTTCATGCTTTTACCTACTCTATTCATAATTTACTGAAGTAATCCTGAGTCTGCCTTGATTGTAAATCAACCTTGTGCCTGTTGTCAGACAGCTAAAATTGAATTAGATTACCAGTATCTCTACCATGAGATAACCATTGAAAGCTGGTAATGATGTAAATTGATACATATGACAAATTTTGTCCCTTTATCAGATGGCAGATACTGTATTACTTTGTGACAAAATGCAATCTGGTCTGTTCTATTGTATTTTGACAGTGATGAAAGTATACAAGCCTTTAAAGATTGGAAAGAACATGATGAATCTCAAGATTTATTTTGTGATATAGATGGTAAGGTTTTTAAAAAACTTCACAGGTGAAATATGCAGTACAAATATTTGCTACAGACATGTTTATAAGACAAAAACCTGATGATAGTCATATTTAGTGTTTATATTTATATATTTAGACTATTGGAAAAAGATATCTCTATGATTTCAAGAAGAGGGTATGAAATATTCAGCAAATTATGATGCTTTATTCAATTGCTTGTTATCATTTTCTCATCTCTCCTTTAGATGAATCATCAGCTGATAGTGAATATGTAGATTTATTGTTAAATCCAGAAAGATATACTGGTTATAAAGGTGAATCACCTCATAGAATCTGGAGATCTATTTATCAAGAAAATTGTTTTAAGTAAGTTTTTCTCTACAACATGAGAAACTAAGAAGCGTCTCAAAGTTACATTTTGTTAAAATAGTCCAAAATCATTAATAAGAGTGGAAAAGGTATTCTGGACATGTGGATTTCTCATTAAAAATTAAACTGCATAAGAATTCCTAATTGATTTCTGATTAACCGCATTGGTTACAAAAGTTGTGTTAATTTTTTCAGGCCACAAACAGAGTATATTTATGGACCATCTAAATCCTCATCACGTAAGTTGTGTTTTCTATGGTGAATAGCAGTGCGTGTTAAGATTTAAAAATGCTTTGCATGATTAACCAATAACCATGGAATAGAAGAGTTTTGTTGCTTGATCATGTTTGTGTGACATGCATGATATTGGTCCCTTATTCCTTGATATAGCATGTAGTGACATTGTAGTGGTAAATAAATAATATAATAAAATACATAGTTTTCTGAGCATTCTGTACTGATATTCAGCCATTTAGGATTTTTATATTTGTATGTTTGAAAATAACCTTAGAAATGATTGTCAGCTTCAATGTTTCATTGCTTTTTAAAACATTCCAGCTAACCAAATAGAAGGTAATTTAGGTTAAATATATCACAATGATTGTTTGTGTTAATATGTGCTGTGTTGTTAGTGTATACACAATGTTTATGTGTTTGGTTGTCGGAGTCATACACATTTGTTCTCTTTTTAGGATCATAAATAAGTTTCTAATCTTTTGATTTATATAAGGGACAATATAGCAAAATCTGCAAATGAAATCTGTGGGCATTTTATGTCATAAAATGCTTATTTTTGGGCTGAAATTTGAATGATGCAAATTGATGCTGACAGCGTCCAAAATACAACAGAAGGTTTAGAAGCCCTTTAAGTAAGAGATAACTGTCAAATGTCCATTTAACCAGGTCTATGATCATTATGCAAAGCCTAATTCAATAATAGGAATGTTGGTTTTAAAATCATTTGTTGTTATATAGATTTGGATGAATATCATTCAACAGTAAATGAATGTTAGTCATTTACATGGGCAACCATAACAAGTATTGATAAGGAATAAATGGAGAAAATTTTTTGCACACTTTTTGCCAAAATGGGTGGCATATTTCTAGATTTAAGATCACAGTCATAATCAGTCAAATATAATTGTGTGCAATAGTTATTTGTAATGCAGGGAATGGCTTTGTGTCAACTTTCCTCTAGTTGAGGTAGTGGATCTGTGAACTTTTACTTAATTCTTGAATAATGACTATTTCTGCTGTCATCTATTTATCTTAAATACAACAACATAATAAAAATTTATTATTATTTTGTCATGAGTAACTATAGTATTGGTTATTAATGTTTTTCAATACCAGCTTAATGAATATTGAGCATATAATGATAAAAATATAAAATATGTAAAACTACTGAAGGCATCATTTGTTGTTATACATGCTTATTCTTTAAAGGTTCTGTTCAATGTTGGAATATTCTGATATTAGTTCTCTTTAGGTTTAAGTTTTGTGTTAATATTTCTACCTACTGATTCTTATAGATGTATTTTGCCATTAGAATTTGTCCACTGTAATTTGATCAACATAGAACACAATACATGGCTTCTCTTCTCTTAACCTCATTATTTACCTCTGTCTATTTTCAGCTTTATGTTTAGAAAAGAGAGCATTTCATCGTTTAATATCTGGATTACATACTAGTATTAATATTCACCTTTGTGCTGATTATCTATATCAAGGTAAATATTATAAACTAGAAGTTCTTACCTGCTTCTAAGTGGACTTTGTTTCATGTATATGTAACAAATTTTTTGCTTCTTTATGACTGTTTTCAATTTCAAACATTTAAGCTGTATGAAATGTTGAATTGAAATACCAAAATCAAGTACACACTGTCGAGTATCTCTCCCAAAAAATTCAACCAAGTAGAACCATATTTAAAGATCTAAAGCACTGAATTGAATTTGAATTTCATACAGACATGTGAAGTATGAAATATATTGAATAACAAACATCATAAAGACATGAATTATTGTTTAAAGTGTATGATTTTTAATTTTCAGAAAATTTAGGTTATGGTATGAAAGCACATTGGAAACCAAATGTTGCAGAATTTCAAAAGAGATTTGATCCTCAAACTTCTAATGGAGAAGGTCCACAGCGATTAAAAAACCTCTTCTTTACATACTTAGTAGAATTAAGAGCAATAGCCAAGGCAGCACCCTATTTACAGGAGGTAAGCATGTTATGTCATATTGTCTTGAACATCAATGTTTTGTATTAACAGTTCAGGTTTCCAGTATCAGCCATTTATAGCAGGGTAGGTAAACTGGAAAATTATCACAAGATATCTTATTTATGGACATTAGCAATTCTATCAAGATTTATATCTAGATATTTAATTATTTTTATCTATAGTCTTATATATTGTTACGTTCTGTTTGTAGGAAGATTTTTTTACAGCAGATAGTGATGAAGATAAAGATGTTAGACAAGGAATAGATGATCTATTAAATATTATTAGGTATATATTCTTAAATGATTTATGGAAAGAAACTAAGTACTAAGATTCACATCTGATAAATTGGAGTATTGTACTTGGAAATTTCTTATATTTGTATATTTTTAACTTGAATGAAATAATGTTATATTATCAAATAATAGATCATTGGCTTGATTACATCTGATATAATACAGTCACATTTTATCTTATTATTTATATTTCAGTACGTTTCCAGACCATTTTGATGAAAGTAAATTATTTGCAGGAAATCCAAATGAAGCTAAATTATTGAAGGTAAGCAGAGAAAAACATTGTTCCTTTAACATTTGATGTTAGATTTGTTGTTCTGAATGATTTTATAGAGACACCACCCACATATTATTTGGTATATTGTACATATTGTATATTATGTATCAAGTAATTTGTTAATAATATTTAATATTTTTATTACCAGGATGAATTTAGAAATCATTTCCGTAATGTTTCACGTATTATGGATTGTGTTGGTTGCGATAAATGTAAATTATGGGGCAAGTTACAGGTTTGTACTTTTATTATCTGGCACATAATGCGGTTAACCAAGGTTCAACAGCTTCAAATATTTGTTTCGTGATGACTGTTTGCACTATTTGTGGATATGATATGATATACTGGGATTTTTATGGAAAACCTCAATGTTATATATTACAAATATATTTACAGACTCAGGGTATGGGTACAGCGTTGAAAATATTATTTTCTGGTGATGATATAGGACCAGATTCTACAGTTAACGCTCAACAGAAAAAACATTTCCAACTCACTAGATCTGAAATAGTTACTCTATTTAATGCCTTTGGACGGTAAGTTTTATCTCTCTATTTAAAAAGTTTTCATTCAACCCATTTAATTATTTTAATAATATGTTCAAAAGATCTGTCAGTGTCTTAGCTTTACCTGGATATTAGAAATATTTTTCATTTTACTTGACTCTAATGTTAATTATCTTTTATTTGGGTTAATTTTTAAGTTTACTTTCTATTTTTTTCAGATTATCCAAGTCTATACATTCCTTAGAAATGTTTAAATCTTTATTAAGTAAATCTTAATGTTTATTAATAGTCAGTCAGCTGTGTTTACTAGTATGTACATCTTTAGTCTACTTATTCAGAAGGTGGATAAAAAAGAAAACTGAAACTACTACTTATTCTTTCTCTTACTGTAGTTGACTTTTATATTCACAGAAATCTATATTTATGGCAGACTGACTAGATAAGACTATTGTTTTTATTTGATACAATTGTTACTTTAAACAGTATGGTACTCTTACATAATAAATAAAGTAATAAGAACCATAGTGTGAGAAAATCTAAGGTTTAAAATATGCCAAAAATCATATAGGCAATGATTCTGTGTCTATATCTACTATTTTATTTGTAAGGCTGCAGAAGGACTCTTTGTGAAATGTCATGGGTAACTATGTCCTATCGGAATGTTGAAAAATTAAAGTTCTGTTCAATCATACCATTGTGATGACAGTTTAAATTTTGTTATATTTTATATATTTATCCCACCAAAAAAGAGAAATTGTCATATGATATCTTAGACATCCAAATGTGAAGGTCAAAAACTTTGCTGCCTGTAGAAGAAAACCCTTATATGAAATGTTGATCAAACTGTGTTTGGTTAACCACTATGCAATAATTTGTTAGTTTTCACATTATGAGAATCTAGGCAACCTTTTATGTTTTACTTTTCTAAAAATCATACCTTTCATTCAATATTTTTTATTTAAGTCCTGCAGTTTTTTTCTTTGAATATGTTAACTGAAAATTATTTTTTGATTTCAATCTACAGGATTTTGATATTTCCTTTTTGTTTTGTTTATGTATAAAAAATTCTGTAAGTTATATTTTGTTGTATATTTATTTTAGATCTAGACACATTGCTTTTTTTCTATCAGTATTATGCATAACATATTTCTTAGTTGCTGTAAATTTTCAAAATTCCTTGACATTTGGAAATCTAAAAACTAATGCAGAGGTCTTGGGAAAATTTTTATTCATAGCACACAGCATGTGCAGAAAAGTAGGACAAACACACCATTTTATTTTTACTATATTTAAATTAAGGAGATTGTCATATTGTGTATTTTCATGCAAATGCTGTGTCATCATCGTTAGTGGTTGACAAAATATTGTTTTTCCTGAATTAATTATGGATGTTTAAAAAAAAAGTTTGTGTTTTTATGACTGGGTAAAGCAAGCTGTGATAATCTAGAATAATGAGATATCTATGAACAGCCCACGTTTATTATTTTATTATTGTTTGGTTATTGTCAGTGATCAGATAGAAATACAAATGTAACCAAAAGTTAAGTGAAAATTCATCCCAACAAAAGTCAATCCTTGTTGTAGGTTCTATTTTGAATTAAAAGATGGATTATACATATTGTATAGTGTCAGATAAGAAATTGAAAGTATCATCTGTTTTGTTATGACAATGTTGTTAATTGTTGTTAAAAGACTGATTTATAATAAAATAATTAAATTATAACTTTGCTCTTCCATAATGAATTATTATAAAACAGAAATATGAGGTACTATACAGCTTAGTAATGACTAATCAGCATGGGAATAATTTTCAAGGAACATTTGCACATTTTTCAAGGCTAATTCCATGAATTTACCATTGGTTCCAAATAAAATAAATTGTTTATGTTAGTATTATAAGTCATGGAATGTGCCTTGTTGATACATCTTGCCATTGTGTTTCGGTACCATAATGATCTGTATAAAAATAAACAAGACAGTTATGACAAAATTATGATCTTTTAAAATTCAGTTTACATAATTACAGTAATCAATTAATTACCAGTAATCAACTAATATTTCAACTCAATATCAAACAATATAACATCACAATGATAGTTTCAGATGAAAAATTTTTCCAAAAAATACAATTCATCTCCATTTTTTTTTTATCAATGTAGACCAAAAAATCAAAAATAAATCTGCCTTCCAGCCTCTGATATCTATTTTGAAAGTTGTCGGCTGGTGTAGACAGAAAAACTAGGCCCTGTTGTGTGGGGATGGTCTGAACCTCCGCACCTTTGTAATACTAACAAAACACAGTGATTTACAATCATTGTTGAGGATATTTTTAATATAATGTTAGAGAAAATGCATCTTCAGAAATATGGAAAATCTGTATAAAACAAGACCTAGTTTTTCTGACTCTACTCTGATAACTGTCAAAATATCTATTAGAAGCACATGTTTATCAATGCTACAAATGCCAAAAATCAAAATTAAAATACTTGGCACTAAGCCATGTCCTCAGTCAAAAACTAACTGACTTGCCTACTTTAAGAGGAAAATGTTTTTATTGAAAAAATTGTCCTTAACCTCAAAGACAAAGATATTTTGCTTTACCTCAAAACATTAATTTGTCACATTCAGCTGGTACTATTACTTCAAGGTCAATTTGTGTTCTACCAATATAAATGCAAAATTATATGTAATTTGAACTTCAATATGATGAACTGACATGGATGTATCTAGCAGTCAATGAGTTAAACTTGTCCAACATCATCCAAATAATTCAATAGTTAGATTTCACCCTCTAGATTTTTAGTAATTATATAACGTTCAAATTCATAAAATGCACCAAATCAAATATACATTATTAATATTATAGATTACTTGTGGAGCAAATATAAATACTAACTCTAGCAATCAAACATACCGGTACATGTTCAACTTGTTTTAAACTAAAAAACAATAGTAATGGCAGAGTTATTGTAATGTGTATAACGATATATAACCTTAAATAATAAAAAATGACACAGTGACATGATATACAGTGTTTTTGAAAAGTTGGGTGCAAATAAGACACCTTCATTCTGTCTAACTTAAAATAAAAAAAAACTAGAAAAGTGTAGAAAGCATTAAGTAAATAAGCATAATGATACAATAAAAAATATGATATTTACAACAAACACACCTTTTATATCATAAATTATTTACCTTGTATTTACAAATCATTATTGTAGCTTTTTAGGGGGTTCTTTTTTAAACAGTATATTGGTTTTGTTGTTTTTAGTTTTCTTAATCCTAATTTGGTCCAAAGAAATACTGGTTTTTTTCAATTTTATATCTTCAAACCAAAACAAGTAACTTAAGCTAACAATTTAAGGTTTAGTGACATCATATTACAAAACTCTTAACTTCTATGATATGTTTGGGCTGCGAAGTAGGACATCTCAAAACAACCGTCAATATTTTCATTAAAGTCAGGTTGGCCCTAAGTGTGAAGATAGTCTTCAGAACTCATAACAATCCCTTTAAAAATACCTCAAACAAGGAATTTCACTATTTCATTTTTTTCTTTAGCTAGTTTATCTACTGCCTGAAAGTTAAGATTTTCCGAAAAAGGTGAACCATGGCCTTTAAAGCTTCATTTCAAGAAAACATTTCAAATTAGAGTAATTTTCATTTTATACATTCAGATACATTATTATATGAGTAATACAATATGGGTACTAGTACTACCAAGTAAATTCAGTTACCAAGAAACTTCATATATTACTACATGATGGACTGAAATACCATGCATGGCTGCATAGATTAACAAATTTGGATAAACCACATCATTGATGTTCAAGTTTAAAATAATCCAAAATGAGCATTTGTTCTGTTGAACGACAAAGAGTGGTAAATATATAAATAAATGAATTAAAGTAAAATATTTAATGGAGTTCTAAATAATATACAATCAATATGAATATTAATAGAAATATTTGCATACAATTTAATATCATATCACTAATTTATTCATAAAATTTTGAAATTCATAAATGTTTCGATGATCAGTATGCTGTATAAGTAAACATGCAACGTAATAAATGATATAATTGAAAATATACAAATTTGTTGCTGAAATATCTCCTGTTAAGTTTGATCTTGAACTGTAATACTACCTTATCATGCATACGTCTTATAGTTTTGATTTTTACAATTAACCATTTAGATGCACATTTGAGCCAGCTCAGAAATCAGATTCTACATCAAATGTAAGGTTAATATCATAATCGTTCTGGTTATGTAGAATAACTGTTGATTACTTTTGAGTGTCTATAATTTACATTAATAGAAAAACTTTATAAATTATCACAAATAATACCATAACAAGCTTGATATTGACTAGCCAAATATATTCTGCTATAAACCAACAAAAATATACATATACCAAGCAAAAGAATAAAATTAATAGACCTGGATATATTTCAAATATGAACAAATAAAAGTTTCAATATATAAATGACATTTTCTTCTCTTTTAAATCCAAATATGAGCTATACCAGTAATGTAATCCTTGGAAATGACAAAATTCTGAAGCAAAACTATCAGACAACTAATTTGGAATGTTTTGAAAAAATAAATAAACTATATAAACTTTAGTGAAATATATGATATAAGTTTCATGACTTAACATTAAATGGAACTCAATTAGACAATAAATAAACTACCTGGAATATAGCTGTTCCAGAAAATTTGCTATAGAAGTTCTGATACAGCAGCTTACAATTATCAATGGCTTGATTGAGTGCCGAACAGTCTGAAATCAAATGATGAACCTTCACCAGATATTCCAATCTGAAGCAAATCTGCATAAAAATGAAATAAAAGCTAGTCATTAACACCAGTCAGTACTAGACAAGACACTAACCTCTGGTTAACAATCAAAACCCAATCAAACCATCTATCCTATTGGTTCTCCTATTGTTGAAATGTTCATCTGTTCCATTACCAGGTTTACAACAATTACTTATGTGTAGGCAACTAGTGAATTAAATTACAAAAACCAAGAAACAATCAGGTAACTGAAAGATGGAGGCAAGTATCCACCCTAAAACTGACTAGTGTTCAGACTAAATAAAAGCTTATACATAAATAAAGGGAAATAACCCAGTTTATTGTGGTTGTTGAGAAGAGATTGTATTATGATGATGATATTGTATAGGATTATGTATATTAGTATGATGTACACTGGGAGAATCATAACGACCATAACTACCACTCATTACTGTACCATACCCTATTCTACCATTAGTCATAACGGGTGTTCCTCGTGGAGTACCATGTGGTGTTCCTCTTGAACCACTACTATTTATAGAATGTGTGTTACTGACTGTTATAGGACTGAAATGAATAGAAACAAATAATACTAAAACAATGGTTGCTTGATTAAAATAGTCTATCAAAAGTATAAACACAATCAATGAAATCAGAAGACACTCTTTTGAAATCATTGATAACAAAGTGTGTTAGTCAAAGCTCTAGCTTTCTCGTAAAAAGAACCAAGTGTGCCTTCACCCTTGTCATATATCAGAGGCTGATAAGAATACAACAAATTAAGTTAAGAAAAACAGACTGAATTAATCACTGACCTTCCTGGTATTTGCTCAACTATTCTAGATAAATCATCATCACTATCATATCTTCTAGGATTATCAAAGAAAAACACCTTCGATGTATGACTATGGGTAGATTCAGCCAGTGACTAAAGTAGAAAAATATCAGCATGATATAATGACAATAATTACATTCACCCCTTCTTCTATACTCACATTATCAATAAATAATGAAAGAATTAAACTATCTATTTAGATATATGCACATATTTTCCTTATATATTGTAAACTTGGAACATGCCTCTATTAACATGGGTACAGAAATTTGTCAAAAAATATTACCCGTACTTACCACTGTAGTGACAGCCCGTCGCACACGAAAAAATATAACAACAACAAAAGTAGGGAAAACTTCCCAAACAAACAAAACAACACCAAATGATAAATAGGCATAGCCACCATCTAAATTATAAGCATCAGCCTGAAAAACACATGATTGTGGAGAGGTTTTGTTAGTCATTATTTATGAAAAAATATGAAAAAAATTCTCAAAAAAAAAAATCTACTGTGTTTTTAACTTTTTGTGTGTATCAGGGACACTAATAGCATTGAATTGCACCACTTTTATTTTCAGGCAGGCTAATTTCACTCATTCTACTAAAACAAATGTTAATAAACTATCGCAAAGGCCCTTAGATACTCCTACCCCAGAGGAATTTTCATAAACAAAACACAATCTAAGACTGTTATAACTATTTCTGAGTCAACATTAATATACCTTTAATTTATTATCAAAATGTCTGGGAAAAAATTAACAATTTAACAGTACCTAAACTACCTTACTTATTGTTACGAAGAATGCTACTCACCTGATCAGAAACATTGACCCAATCATAGCCGAATCCAGGTATCTTTGATCTTTCTTTGGGATAAATAGCAATAAAATTATAAATAGCGCGTGATGTAAATAATAAAGTAATCAGTAATCCAGCCGATATAGCTTGACACATTGTTGTTCCCTGCAATATCACAAAAAATTGAAAATAAAATTAAACACTTTATATTTTGTAAAAGGGTAAGGTTTGACAGCACTGGCTGTGGCATTAGGAATTTTCTTACCATGATGTGTTATATGAGTTACTCTCTAGAACTTGCCAAGGTCCTAAGTAGAGATCATGGTAGATTGTAAAGTTCGCACTGAATTAGCATACCATTTATAAAAACAAAACAGAAATAAATTTTTACCTTGGCTTCTAAAACTAAGCTTGAGGAAGACATCTTGGTCATTTTATAAATACAAACAGAAAGTACAATAGCAAATATCACAAATAAACTGTCATTAATGGCCACACGAACATATAATAATTCCATAGGTACTGACATATACTTGGCTTCATGGTATTTTACAATAACAGCACAGCCAATATTAGATGCAATAAATACTATAGCAGCAATACCAACTAATATCCGTACAGGTCGTCTAGAATATAAAACACATGGAAAATAGTTTGAGAAAGACTGATAAATAAATGTATACTTGATACATTATCAATCACATTCTTCGATTCGCTCCTTAAGACAAAAAAAAAAACCCAGATTTCTGAAAGGAAATTGAGTAACAAACTTATTTAAGTTTATATTTCAAAGACTACTATTAATATTTTGAAGCTGATATTTTAACTCATGCCAAATTATTCATTACATTTTATTTATTGACGAAAGAAAGAAAACATCAGCTACTTTACCAATTAATTTCAAATAAAATATAAAACTTACTTATATTTACTTGGTTCATATTTTGCTCTTGCTTTAAAAACTACCTAAAATACACAAATTATAAACAAAAATTAAAATGTATTATCTTAAGCCATGGTATGCAAGATATAATTCTATAACTGAATGGTCTATGGTGCAATTGGGCTTAATAATTATAGTTATCAGCTACAAGATTTGGTGATTTTAAGTTGAGAATCATAACTATATCTTAAAAATCTAAAGTTAAAAAAAAGTTGGTTTTTTTTTAATACATAAAATTTAGGTCAAGATACTAAGATTAGCTAAGACATGGTGGTTATTATATCATTATTGTTGGCAATTACTTGAAACAAAATTGCTCATAACATAATAATATACTGAAATTTGAGAACTTTAGCGGTAAAGTAGAGAAGATGATATTTTCAGACTATGTATCCAGGTTTAACAATAATAATAATTATCATAATAATAATAAGTGATACCGGTATAATCACTGATGGTATAATCACTGATAATAGGTTAGCTTATCTTTAAAAACCAACTCATTCACTGGTGATATGATAAAGCCAATATTAATAAATATTATTATTGATAATGTAAGAAAACAGTATTATACTTCATTATATAATATTTTGGCCTGACAAACCATGCATCCTAACACAGAAATTGTTCTTCTTGAAGGTATTTATCATTGAGGCAGACGACAACCATTGACACACTGACTCATTTTCTATTTCAAACATTTGCCCTAAGATCAAATCTGTCAAAAAAAACATAAGCTTTAAGAAACCATCCAATATCAACATTGTCAGTAAATCCAAAATAATATCCTATAAAATATATACTGTATATATAAATCATCTATCAAATATTTAATAAATCTGCATCCAACAATAAAAACAATAATTATACATCAAGGAAATTTCAAAATATCCACTGATTCAGGTGTCATGAGTCAAAAAAATACATTTCTTTTAATTTTTGCTTGAGTACTTTGAGGGAACATTTCATAAGTGATATATGTACATCTTATTAGTGATTTGCAGCTGAATCTGTAAGTTGGCATATATTCTCAGAAATTACCTATTAGTTACAAAGGTACACATCATAATATATCAATTTCACATCAAAATTCACTAAATTATTCATGATCTATCAAATTTCAATTCATATGAAATTTTAAAAAATAAAATATTAAAAGCATGTATTACAATATCATTTCCTTATAATCTTAGCATGTGTTAATAGTTTACAAATAAGTTATTTCCTACAGTCAAGTAGTATTACTAATATATCTCTATTTTAACATTAAGGCAAGATTATTCAACTTTTTCTTATGGTACTAGTATATCTCAGTCTTACTCTAGAACAAGAGCATTCTATATAAAAATTAATAAGTTTCCACCAACTTCTCCATACAAGATATCAAAATACATGTACTTCCATCTAGACTAATAATCAAGTTTTAAATATTTCAACCTTAGTTAAAAAAGTTTTTAATATTTTTCAGAGACAGTTGTGGTCAGAGAAACTATGTATTAAACTTTTAATAGAATACATGAAAAACAAACATTTAAGATAAAAAAAAACAATACTATTATGGATACTACTACTCTTTCCTTTATTCATCCAAGTATGTTCTACTTTTAAATGTCATTCAAAGATTATCAGTAATTTTGTTAATGAGCTTTTCTTCTGAATATAAAACAAATGGTTTGAAGAGTTCAATCATTGGACTTCAAAGTAGTGTTGAAGGGGTGTCAAACTTGATTGGCTAATATTTCTATTCCTGCTTTGTAGAGCTGTTCTTCAAATTAAAACAGGGAAGGATGTCAAGATTTTCTTATAACTTATAACAAAGTATCTCCTTAACAGTCCACCCATGACATCACTAAAAAATCTAAATTTTCACATCAACTTTTTTTTACAGATATTTTAATATAACAATCTATATCAGCCATGACTGGAATGTTGTGATTTAAGTTTTCTAAAAGAAATTGATTCATTCTATTCTAAATCTTGATATTATGCCAATATTTCTGGTGGTTTTTGTTTTTGAAAGTCATCATGACTCTCACTACTTATCCTAAATGTCCTTTGTTTGATAATAAAACATTGAAATTAATACTTGATCTACATTATAATAATATATATTGGCTGTTACTATAAATAGTGTCTATGATAGGTATTGATTGAAGATGAATATCGTCTACTGCGTTTTATAATTAATTAATCTTTTATAACAATAGCTCCCCTTCATACAGATCAATTATTTAATAGAACTAGTAAAATATTAGTTGACCTACACCAATATCTTGTTACAGTTTACATCAACGGATTCTTGGTTATGGTTCAATTTGTAGACTAAAGCCTATTGATCTTCAATATTCCATAGTTATAGGACATTTAAACCCATTAAGATATGCTCAATGAACAGGTCTATGTGACAATTATAGCAGACAGCTATTGAGAAAATATAAATATACAAACCTGTGCAAAAAATAAAACCAATAAACAAAGGATAACAAATTGTAAACAAACAGGTAAACAATATAACAACCAATATATTACACCAGGTAAATTGTTAGCTTCATCACAATCATTAAAGTAAAAGGAAAACAAAGTTGTTCTTAATCCTGACCACAATAAACACAGAAATAAAAACACAGTCTGATAACTGAAACGTTTATGTCGATAATACCATATCATCCACAACTGACAATAAACCAACAAAAACAGTAGCCCATATAATACAATATAGGCAATAGTCAGACTCAGTTCCACACTGGGAGATAAAGCTCTATTCACTGGACTTGGAAAAACTGGAATATCTTTGGTGATTATCCTTCCATCAGGATCCGACTGTTCTGGTATGACATTGCCGACATTTGCCAACAGATTGAGTATTCCAGAGCTTGAATTGTTCATCGACATACCGACCACTTAATTCATTGTTATTTTAACATAATTTTCGGATATTTTATGTTTTCCCTAGTCTGTCATTCATCCAGTATCCTGTGATCAGCTGCGCAACATCGACGGTCCTCCCATGTGAACTTTGACCTGCATAAATTGGCCTTGACATTGATAATGAAATTCACTATTTATTTTTCAGTTGCTAATAAACTTAGGTTTACTTCTGAATATTCTTGCTATTCATTTATTACAAGGAAAAACTAATACTCATTGATCAGAAATTTACTTTTGTATTTAATTCTTTTTTCTTCAGAACACTTCCTCTGTTTTCTGCTGAACTTCAAATATGTCAGCCTCCATGAAGATAAACAAAGTTAAAATGAAGAAAAAGATTCCAAACCAAGTGTAGTTTTAGATATCTGTGTGGATTTGCAAGTTGGAATTGTCATTAGCTAAAAATGAGAGGGTATCTTTGGAATGGAAATTATAAACTGACATCTCACTTTCAAAAACATTATTGTGCCAGATGGAAATCAAGTGAACACAAGAGTAAAAGATACTCAAAAACACTTATTTTACCAAAGTCCAAATTCAATTCTACTCTGAGAGATGGAGCAGCAATTAAAAGAGAATTAAATATTCAGAAGGTATCAATAGTAGTATCTTTTGTCTATCAATTGATACCCACTGTCACTATAATGGTAATGAATGTATCAAAATACCTTATTTGTTTGTAGGCATGCAGCTTCAATAAATTATATTCATGGCAAAGACAAACAGATCGCAACAAAGAGTTTGTTTTACATGATGGACCACCTTATGCAAATGGAGCAACCCATGTGGGTCATGCAATTAACAAGGTATTGGTACATGCATTTATTTATTGACTAATACTATACTGGTATTCTTAAAAAGCTGTTTTATCTGCATTCATGGTTCACCTTGTTTTTAAGATTGTTTTTCTAAAAATATAATTGTCCATCCAAAACTCTCTCTTAAGCTGTTATGTGTTATAGATTCTAAAAGATGTTACAAATCGCTACAAGTTATTGAGGGGTTACAAGATTCACTATGTGCCTGGCTGGGATTGTCATGGTCTTCCTATAGAAATGAAAGCTTTAAAAGATGGAAAAATAGATGAAAGGACATTAAAGCCCTTGGATATTAGGAATAGAGGTAGGGTTAATCATGTTTTCTTCTGCTTTAAGTAGTTTAAAAGTATAATCTGAATATATATAGATTTTGAGAAATATTTTTAGAGTGATATGCATGAAAATCGTTGAAGCCCATAAGAAGTCAAAGTTTATTGATATATTGCATTTGATTTCTTCTAATCCCTTCCTTTATATTACAGCACTTAAATTTGCCAAGAAGGCTATAGAAGTACAGCGTAAATCATTTCAGCAATGGGGAGTGATGGCTGATTGGAGTGAAGGATATTTAACCACTGATTTTTCGTATGAAGCAAATCAGTTAGAAGTATTTTTTAAGATATATGATAAGGTATAAGTGATTCTTTATACAGCGAGAAATTCATATTCTGTCTAAGTGTTTTATTATGCATATTATTTGCAGTGTATCATAGATGCTCTTGTAGAATATAGGCCCTTTTTCTGCTGTTAACATACTACTAATATTAGCTATTTTAACTAATACTTTTTCAGGGTTTGGTATATAGAGAATTTTTGCCTGTATATTGGTCTCCCTCTTCAAGGTGATTATTTCTCATTTCTATATATATTTACTTATGATGTAAAGAGAAACAGCACAGCTAAACCCCCTAAAAAATATCTAAATATCCATTTCTGTCCATTGCCAAATTTTCCAAAAATATATGTGTGAGCACAGCAAACCTAAAAGTTGATTATCTTTATTTTGACTTAGGACAGCCTTAGCTGAAGCTGAATTAGAATATAATGAAAAACATTGCAGTAAATCAGTTTATTTAACATTAGATGTCACAGAGATATCTGACTCTATCAGATCATTAACAGGTAAATATAGATCTACATACAATTATTTAACACGAACACAATTATATGGATAACAATTACTTTAATAAATAACTTGCGACGTTTCGACGATGATTCTTTCGTCTTTATCAAGCAATGATGCATTGCTTGATAAAGACGAAAGAATCGTGTTAATATCATCAATTACTAAATGCCACTCAAGGAAGATACAATTATTTCTTAGTTTTTCCTGTCTTTTACATTTCTGTTCATTTCCAGAATTTTATTTAGAAAGCGTCTTAAAAATCAACCTTACAAGATATATTTGAGTGGTAACTAAAACAAATTTTGTTTCTGTAATTCAGTAGAGACCTGTATTATACTGTTGTTACATACATATATGTGGATAAAGAAGCTATCATTTCTTACCAATGAAATTAATTTATTTTCCAGATAAAAGAATAAAAGCTGTTATTTGGACAACAACAGCCTGGACCATACCATTTAATCAACTTGTTTCTTATCATAGTAATATACAGTTAGTTACTTTTTACTATTTTTTTAACCACTCAATTTGGTGATATATTAGAAAATATATGATGGTGGGCTAGTTTGGATGCAATTTTAAATCCCATTTTGGGATTGAAAAACCACAGGGGAGTGTAATATCAGTATTATATATAAACAGTGTTAATATTTATTTTCTGTATTTGATGGTAGATATCAGCTGTTAGAAAATCATAATAATGGTGATGTTTATCTGTGTGAAGAAAGTTTCAGTGTTAAATTATCAACTTTACTGGGATGTCAATTAAAAGTTATTTGTTCATTTTCAGGTAAATCTGGGTTTGTGACTTACATTTCTCATGGGTGTTGATTATTACTCAATAGGAAAAGATATAAGAACATTGATAAACTCTTGGTACACAAACTAAAATTAATTCTGTCCCATTTCTCAGTTAATAGGTATAAAAAGATAATAATATCTTGTTTTCCTGATGTAGGTGATAACTTAAAAGGAACAAAGTATCTCCAGCCTATAACTAATGAAGTATGTCCATTCTTACATGGTGATCATGTGAGCAGTGGTAAAGGTACAGGATTAGTTCATACAGCACCAGCACATGGCCATGATGACTTTGAAATGGCTCGACAGTATGATTTACCTATTGTACGTACACTCCTTTCAAAGATTTTAATCCCTATTTTTAATCCCTATTCTCCCAGAATTCAGTGGAAATCATAACTGAGGACTGGTTGATAGTGTCTATCTATGACATACACTGAGCCATAATTAAACTTCACTCCGTCGACATGATGCATTTGTCTTGATTATTGCTCCATATACTAGTTCCTAAGCTAGCAAGTTTTACAGACCATTGTTTCAAGGGTTTGAGGTGATGATAAACAAATGGGAAATGATAATTGATTTAAGATGTTATCTATTTTCATGTTACTTGTTACTTATTGTAGGAATGTTATGTAGATGAAGAAGGAAAATATTTGAAAGAAACAGGACCAGAGTTAAAAGGAAAAACAATAGGAGTTGATGCAGAAACAACTGGTGAGTTAGTAATTTCATTTATTAATCAAGCAATGTTATAATTGTCATTAAGGGGACAATTGCGCCATTTTTTGAATCAATCATATTTTAGTTTTATAAACTGTAATTTTTTTTGTGAAACCAATCAGTAATAGCTCACCGTCAAAATTTGAGCCTTCTATGAGTGTCCAGAATTATCCGTGTTTGCATGTTAAAATGACGACTCAAGAGTAAAGCTCCTAGTTTGAAGTATTTTTTTTAAGATCATACATTTCTGGTATTTCTGTAGACTATTTACATATATTCAAGACCAAAATCAACCCACCAAAATGGCGCATCTTTCCCTTTAACTTGAAGTTGTTGTATATTACTGTTCAAGATTAAACCCCCCTAAAATTTACCAGTTCCAAATCTCTTATAGAATAGGTTTGTACAACAAACACATTCATCTGACCTTAATAAGAGGGAGATCTAAAAGTAATATAATTGTTTCAGTGGTGAATCTAGTGAAGAATAATATAATAAAGATAGAAGATTATATACATAGTTATCCATATGATTGGAGAACTAATAAACCTGTTATAATACGAGCTAGTAAACAATGGTTTGTTAATAATAAACTACTCAAAGACCAGGCTCTAGTAAGTTGCATTTACTAATACAAAATGTGTCATGACAAGTTTGGTCTGTTTAACCAGAAGTACCTTATAAGGATAACATGAATATAAGAAATATAAATAATTAGTTTCAGTATTTAGGGCAAGTTGAAATTTAGTAATAATTTGCTAATTGATGTGTTGTTCTTGATATTAGTGTTGTTCAATATGATATAGATAGTAAATATTTGTTATTATATAGGAATGGATAGAGAAGATAGATGTAATACCAAGTTTATTTAAAAATAATCTAAGAAATAACATAGAAAGTCAGACATATTGGTGTATATCTAGACAGAGAGTATGGGGTGTTCCGATTCCAGTCTTTTATGATAACAAAACTGATCAACCTATTGTTACACAGTAAGAATTTTACTTTTTGTTCAATTCAAAGTTTAACAATAATTGTCTCTAAACTTTTGAGTCGAAACTGTACATTGCAGTTAGAGAAGCTCTCAGTTACCTTATATTTAGAGAAGCGGTATATCACCTTATATTTAGAGAAACTCTTTTAGCACTAAGCAACATTATATCTAGAGAAGCTGTTAGTCACTTTATATCTAGAGAAGCTCTTAGACACCTTATATCTAGAGAAGCTCTTAAACACCTTATATCTAGAGAAGGTCTTAAACACCTTAGATCTAGAGAAGCTGTTTGAGACCTAATATCTAGAGAAGCTCTTAAACACCTTATATCTAGAGAAGCTCTTAAACACTTTATATCTAGAGAAGCTTTTTGTCACCTAATGATAATATCTAGAGAAGCTCTAGGACACCTTATATCTATAGAAGCTGTTTGTCACCTAATATCTAGAGAAGCTCTTAAACACCTTATATCTTGAGAAGCTCTTAGACACCTTATATCTAGAGAAGATCTTAGACACCTTATATCTAGAGAAGATCTTAGACACTTTATATCTAGAGAAGTGCTTAGACACCTTATATCTAGAGAATTTATTAGACACCTTATATCTAGAGAAGATCTTAGACACTTTATATCTAGAGAAGATCTTTGAAACCTTATATCTTGAAAAGTTCTAAGATGCCTTCTTACTTTAGAAGCTGCTGGCATCTTATATCTAGAAAGGCTCTAAGTCACCTTATATCTAGAGAAGATCTTAGACACTTTATATCTAGAGAAGTTCTTAGACTCTTAATATCTAGAGAAGTTCTTAGACATCTTATATCTAGAGAAGATCTTAGACACTTTATATCTAGAGAAGATCTTTGAAACCTTATATCTAGAGAAGTTCTAAGACGCCTTCTTACTAGAGAAGCTGCTAGGCATCTTATATCTAGAAAGGCTCTAGGTTACCTTAAATCTTTGTAAATGCCATGTTTGTTTATGTTCTTACTAGAGAAGCTGCTAGGCATCTTATATCTAGAGAAGCTCTAGGTTACCTTAAATCTTTGTAAATGCAATGTTTGTTTATGTTTTGATAGAGAAAGTATTAAATATATATGTGAACTAGTGAGAAATAATGGTAGTGATATATGGTGGAAGTTACCAGTAGAACAATTAGCTCACCATTCTTTACTAGATAAGGTAATGTAGGTTTTATTATGTTCTAAGTGTAAAAAAGGATAAATAATAGATGAATTAAGTTTTTTGACTTATTTCAAACTTGTCTTTCAATAATTGAACTTTAAATGTGGCCCCTCCGTTAACTTTCAAGCAGTAGACAGTAGACTATAAATAGGTGACCTACTTATTGCTGATTGGCTGTTCTCTAGGACGTCTCTATTGTTAGTATCAGTTCATTAACGTTATGTTAAAATCTTATGTATTTATGCGCCAATTTTGTGCCTTAGTTTGTTGCTATTTTAGATAAATATTTAAACACGTTTTCGAGTTGATTTAATTATAAGGAATGACCTGAACATTTTTTCAGTTTATCAATGTATAAACAGAAAACACCTGTGTACGCTGTATAAATCCACCTAGCAGTTTATACGTAAGTGTACACAGGTTTTTTCTGTTTATACATCGATATATATTCCTTAAATATTTCATACTAGTAATTGTTAATGTACTGCCAAATATTTGTGTTTAAATTCAAAGGTGCCAGTGGGCGTATATTACTTTACCTGGCAAGCTATTTTTAATTGTTTATTGAAAACAATTTGTGAAACATGTGAAATAGATTTAATTCATACATTAGTTTGATCATACATAAACTGAATTGTAAACTTATATATTGACAGTTTGGCAGTGAATTAATAAAAGGTACAGATATATTAGATATATGGTTTGATAGTGGTACATCTTGGGCTTCTGTTTTAAAAGGTATTTATTATGTAAGGATTTTGAATAGTCATTGGGTATATCAAGAGGTTATGTTTTCTGAAAAGGACAGCAATTAGGTCAGATCCCAAAAAGAAAAACTACATTGTATGAAACATCAAAAGGTATTGTGATAGAGTGACTTTGGCCAGTATTTTACAAATGATTTTTATTAACTTGTTCATTCTTATTTCTGAGTGGTTGTGCTTGAAATACATGTACTTGTCATTTAGGTATTGTCCTGATAGGTTTGCAGGATATTGGCAAGATTTTGAGATCATATTGCCAGTAGCTAATGATTGTTGAATTTAGTTACCAACTGGTGATACATACCTACAGTTATTAAAAAGAAGTTTGAATTTGTTGAAGAGAAGTATATTTATACTAGTGTTATGTTACAGATAATAACTATGAAGCTGATGTATATTATGAAGGTATAGATCAATGTAGAGGATGGTTTTTAACATCATTATTAACAAGTATAGCTGTAAATAGTAAACCACCATACAAGTAAGTTTATCATAAAATGGCAATATGTGAAGATATTTGTTTGATGTATATAAAGAAACTACTAAAATTCTAAGAAATCCTTTTTCCATTGGTTGACATTTCATCAACCCAAAGACTTGCAGATGTAATTTGGAGTTGTTATTTCTATTAATATTATAATGATTAACAAAGTTTGATGTTGTAAACATTGTGGGTGGATAGTAGTGAAGATAATATTCTGATGTCTGAACATGTGATAGGATGCTTTTGTAGAAATCAGAAAAGGTAAGTAAAAATTGAATATTTTTATCTCAAAACCTGTTTTGAATATTTTTTATACAGGAAGGTGATGATACATGGTTTTGCAACTGATGAAGCAGGTAAAAAAATGTCAAAATCCATTGGAAATGTTGTAGATCCAGAAATAGTGGTACATGGTGGAAAGGTCAGTGATGTTTTACCGTTGATAGTTAATAATCTAATCATGTTGGCAGAGGGAACTGGAATAAAATTGACAATTCAAACTGAAATTACCAAAGTTTGTCAAATAAAAAGAATAAAATGTACATGATGGATACAATAATTTGGTTCTCAATTTCAAACATTTCAAACAAAATGTCCTTTCAACAGATAGATAGATATGAAATGAAATTTGATATTTGCCACTGAACTTTTTCAGGATAAGAATGAAAATCCGTCCTATGGTGTGGATATTCTTAGATGGTGGGCAGCTCAATCTCAAGCTAAAACTAATATAATGATAGGAAAGAATATATTAAATAGAATAACTAATGAATGTGTATTCCCTGTAAGTACTTCTGTAATTTGGTAAAATCTCTCATGATAGATAATATGCACTCTGTCCTGACAAATAAAATCTGGCCTTATGCATAAACTATAATATTAAGTAATCCTTCAATATCATATTAGAAGCACATGCATATAGGTTACATTCAACGGTTCAATGTGGTTCTCACATCGCTATCAGGAATATAATATATATTAACATTTATATTCCTGAAGACTATGTGAGAACCACATTGAAAGTAATAAAAATTCTAGGAGTATCCATCCATATAATTGTCTTATTTATCATATTGAGTGGTAATAGGTTGGTTCAAAGTTAGAATTCGTAGATGACACATGAATTAAAAATATAGAATGCTTTGTTATTAAATGAAATGCCGAGTGTAAATTAATAATGAATGTCTTAGTAAGTTTTAAGGAAAATTGAACCAGACCTCAGTGAAAATATAAAATTACAAGGGAAGGAATACTATTGAATACAAACTGACGTGGTGAAAGCTAACACAGTATGGCAAACTCTCAGAAAGACTGGCCTTGGCATCAGAATTTTTCCTTCAGGAGGATTCAAAATCATAGTACCGTATAACCTAGCAGACGACAATACAACTCTTTACCTACTGAGTTTTTCCTCCGACACATAATTAGAGTAGACATTGAGTAATTAATATTAATTTCATCATTAATTAATATCAATTCTAAAAAATTATTTTCAGGTGCGCAAATGTTTTGGATTTTTATTAAGAAATTTATCTACATTTGATCCTTCAACACAATGTATAGAATATTCCTTATTATTACCACAAGATCAGTATATGTTACTACAGTTGTATCAATATGGTCAAAATGTAAGTACACAACAGTTTATATAAATTCCTCTAATCTACAGGTATTTAGAATCTAGAAGATATTTTAGTAATTAATGAAATCTATACTAATTCATATGGATGTTTCCATACTCAATGGTATGATCAATTATTATCAAGAGGTTTTTTAGTGTAGAGTTTAGTTGGTAAATGACAATGGGTACTCTTATGATATTATTATGGGAGTAATTTGTTTCATAAGACCTGTTGTAATTTTGAAATGACTATTTCTTGATGTTGAATTGAGGCATTTTACGTTTTCAGATTACAAGATATTATGAAGAAAGTGAATTCAATAAAGTCTTACTGGAAACCATCAAATTTGTAAATGTACATTTTTCATTTTATTCAAGCATTATCAAAGATAGGTAATGATCTTTTCTTTCTTTTATAAAGCAAATGATGAATATATGATAATCTTATCACATTAACAGACAATCTGATCAAGATCCAGTTCAATTGTTTATAAAGAGTATCAGTAGGTTTGCTATCACTGTTTTCTCTCATTGCATTTTGCATCTATTTCATATGAAGTAAAATATCATTTGTAGATGTTATTGTGAAGAGAAATCTAGTATTAAAAGACTATCCAGTTTAACAGTACAGTACTATATGGCTGATATATTAATTAGATCACTAGCTCCTATTGTACCTCATTTAGCTGAAGAGATTTATCAACATCTACCTAAACATTCACCTGGTAAACTAGTCTTTATACTAAAAAGTTTATAGCATTGTTTATTTTCTATACTGACTCAAACAAGGCTTGATTAATTTAAAAATGATTTGTGTTTTCTTCTGTTGAGAAAAAGTTGATAAAAATATCAAAACAGAATTATTGTTTGAAATTATGTTAATTGGCAATCTTTTCAGTTAACTTCAGAATCAGTCATGATTGTTACAGTGTGTTTTAGAATGATCCATGAATTGGATAAAAAATACTCAGTAAATCAAACAACAATATTTTCTAATGCAAAGAGACAAGTTATCAAGTTTTGATGTATATTAAAGAAAATTACAGTAATGATTTATTTATAATTATTATTTAACCTTGATCAATTTCAGCTGAAAGTAGTATATTTAAAACAAGTTGGTTTGAATTACATGATGAATGGAATAATACAAGTTTACAGAATATTATTAAACCTGTATTTGATATACAGAGTGATGTACAGAGTGTTCTGGTAACAGAAGATTCTATGGAATACGATGTAGTTATTTATGCTAGTCATTCCTTGTTTGAAATATTGAAGGTACCTACTATATTCTAAACAGTACAAATAGTATTTAATTGTGGACACATGAGTTAAAGCTAAAATGATGTATCCTCAATCAGTTAGTCTTATAATACAGGATCATATTATTGTAAAATCCAGGTAAAAGAGAAATGGCTAAACTTCCTTAAATTGAAACAGTTTAAACAATGGTAAGGAAAGTAATTGACCTGTGTCTCTCCCTGTTTCTTCCATGTAGATATTTATGAAAGACAGACACATGCAGACAGAAATGTAAAGCTCACAAGAAATCTGATTTTGTGTCAGTATAGGTTATAAATTTAGTCTATTGGTAATTTTTAAAAGTGAATGTCTGTTTTTTCAGTTATTTCAACCAGATGAAGTTACATCCAGTTCTTCACCATTAAATGAAATGTTACATACATCACATACTAGTTTACTATCAGAACCACCTGCTATTATACCTGATGATTCTCAACTAGTAGACGGTCTTTCTACTGTTCTTCAAAATGGTATGTTGTTTATCATAATGGACTATTTACTCCAAAATAGTAAAGCAGTTGAGATAAAATGCTTTTTTTGATAACATGGGCTTATATTCTGACAGCGATGTCATTTGCAGAAAATTGACACATGGGCAGCCTGTTAAAGATTCTCTGACAGTTGGTAACTGAGCTAGAAAAGTACGATTGGCAATACTGTTCTTATTACACAATGACTTGCTTTGAATCATGACCCAAATTATAAAGCATTCCAAAAAAAGCTATCTTATCTAATTTATCAAATATTGCATATGAATTGACCGTAGGAGATATAAATTAATTGAAATGTGTTATGACTTTGTAAGCATATACTAAGAAATTATGGCTATTCTCTATAAGATTACTGTACACATTGTATTTGTAGGTATGAAAGTTCCTCAGCATTTTAAAATAATTATTATGCCAGCTATGAAGAATATTTGTGAGAGATGTAGAAGATATACAGCTGATCATAGTTCTACACCATGTGAGAGGTGTCTCACTGTTCTCGCTCATGACTGGGCTGAGTGATCTGATCTTATTTGAGTTTATAATTTTTAAATTGAATTGTTTCCAGTGTTATAGAAGGCAAGAATGTTAAAGCATACTTTCTGTTTCCAAGTCCAAAACCATCATTCTTTAAAGGTTGTTTTTTCGGATAGGAACAAGTCTTTTTATTTTGCTTTGTGTTTCTAAGATGTTATTTAAACATTATGTGCCTATAGAAAAGTTTAGTAATTGTTATGTTTTGTTGTGTGAGTTATGTTTGTTAAAGAGAATATTTTTATATACATGTTGTAAAGTGAGTGAGTTTGAAAAAGTATTAATCATATATTATTTTGTTTGGCTAACTGATAAATAAAAATACATGTTTTATTATCAAGTAGAAGCTTAAGTTTATTTCATGTTTAATAAATAATATAACATTATATACAGTTTTAACTTCTCTTTCTAAACTGTTTCAATTATCAGGATAAAAAACTCTCATTATACAACTACATAATCATTTCTTTATCATAATAATACAAGGGGATTTGGATATGCTTTTTTTTTTCATACATGGTCATTTAATCACTGGCTTCAGTATTCAGTATAACATTCTACACAGTACCCAGTAGAGATGTCAGATCACAGAGTACACTATATAGCATGTACACTAACACAAGCATGCATTTCACATTCAATTTACAATAATATACAGACATCATTGGCAGCATATCATTGACCATTATGTACTGCAAGGTTTTTCACATTGCATTTACCCCCATAAAGTTTGGGCAGGATTACTCTTGTGCTCTAATTTGGGCTTGCCTTCTTTTTTGTGCAAGCATCAATGCAGAATTGTTTGTCTCTTTACAACACCTAAATTGAAAGACTAAATATGAAAGAAAAACATTAAGGCAAAATTTGCAAAAATTAATATACAAAACATCATCAAAAGGATTTGCCAACTGACCTAATTCTATATTACAGAAGGTTTAAACTTCAATCTTCAGCAAAATATCAGTAATATAATGAAAAAAACCTTAGATGAAAATACGATTGGCTTAAAAATGGATTTCTACTTCCCGAAACTTTTGCACTAAAATATACAGTAATTAGACATTTCAATGTTTTAAATTTCTTACATCCAAAAGTCTATAAACACATAAAATCATATGTACTGAAATAATTTATAAGGCTTGATTCACATTCTAATGTATATCTTAAAATAACAGGATATAACATGATACACCAAATATTCTATAAAAACAACCAAATTAAAACTAATTAACTATTTCATATTAACAAAGAAACAAAATATATTTAAAATGGGAATGAATCATATTACATACAACAAATTAAAGCATTAAATGGTAGAAAGACTCATATATTTATCAACATTATCATAATTGTTACATTTTGCTATTAAACTTTGAATTTCCTATTGCACAAACAGGTTATTAATGTTTTTCTTAATTCAAATAGATAATTACACAAACTTTGACTTGGTATTAGATGCATTAATGAGGACTAGTTTTATAATAATATATATCACATCAAGAGATCTATTTAGAATATCAATATTTAATTAATAATTTTAATATATATAAGACAAGCAAATAGAATTATATGAAGGAGTATTTAAATCATATTACATTAAAGCCTAGTTTAATATATCAAGAAAACATGCTAATTATAAATGCAGGGCTGTTCACACATATTGACAAAATGATGTCATGATACACAATAACAGGGTTTATAATTCAAAATGTCTTTTAGGTCTAAAATTACAGCCAATTTTGATATTACCAGTTAAAATGAACATGCTCTTTGTTTAAGTTGTTTGTCATTTAACATTGTGGTTTCATTGGTAGTAAGTCATGAATAATAATAAAATAAGTATAATGTAATGGAAGATTACTGTAAAGCATGTATTAGTTCTACTAATGATATAGCTCTATCATATTCTGTACTACCTTCAGGGAGATTTCCAGTCACATGACCTATTAATGTAGCTGTATCAGATAATGGTACATCTGCTTTTCTAATCTCAGTTGAATCCTACAGATTAAATATGACATGAGTTTTTTTTAAATCAATTAGTAACCATCTAATACATATGAAATCTATTTATTGCATGAGACAGTCAGCTTTTTTCATCACTAACAAGTGAAATTTGATTTGTTACAACATTGTTAAAGCAATGCTTTTAACTTTCATGTAGTCTTTGCACAGAATTCTTCACTCATGTTGCCTAAAATCCTAAATTATAAAATATATAATTACCATGGATTTCAACCAAGTTGATAGAGATGTTGATAAATCTGATAATAATTTTACAGCATCTGGTGGATTAACTTGAAATAAATGATAAGCCATTCTCTGTCCAGCTAGTGTAAGTAACTCATATCCTATTCTCTCATGGTTGTTTACACATGGTAGAATCTGTATGATAATAAACATTCATAAAGTATAATGCATTTTAGGAAGTAATAGCCATATCTTATTCAATAGTATGCACTGAAAAAAAACCTATATTCTGTTTGATATTGAAGTCTATTAACAACACAATTGATGCAGTGGATAGTTAAGTTAATCTCCCTTTTATATTCTTATAAAACCTGATGGGGTTGGTCTCAACTAGGAGACTGCTGATATATATACCAAGGGTAAAAATTGATGTATAAACAGGCCATGATATACACATAATAAAGGGCACTGGATACTGCGAACAACTCTATTTGCCTTTCTCCTTTTGGTATTTTAAGTAAAGAATTGCTTATGAGGTTATAGGCTTCTGTTAAAAATAGTGTGGTAAACTTACCTCTTCTGCTAGTTTATCATGGCCACCAGAATATAATTCAACAACATGATGTTGTTTTAATTGATCAATATCCAGACCAAAGTCTTTGCCTATTTCTATGACCATATTAGGCCATCTGATAGCAGCTGTTTTCTGTCTCTTGGTAGGAGAAGATGGTACATTGCCAGTTAATTCTAATGTCTTTACAGCTTGTGATATCACTCGACAAAAAAACTACAAAAAGAATACATTCTATAATTGTACAATGGAAAAATACATGTTCTTGATATAAAACTTGAGATTTAAAGTTGGTTGTAAAATAATGGTAATATTCACTTTCTAGTATAGTTAAACAACTCATATTGACAAAAAGTTGTTTTTACGTATTGTTTCGTGCCAACTTATATTATTAGACTATAACTAAGCCAATTGGTAATTGAGTATTGAAAACATATTTATTTACCTCCATTCTATTCTGTGATAATGTAGAATCAACATTTTGGTTAGGTAACAAGGGATGAGTATGTAAATCTTTAAAAAATGCATTTTTACCCTAAAACAATATTTCCATTTTAAAAATTTAAAAAGATGTAATGACATAAAGCCCTAAGCTATTTCTTCAGTTCGTACAAAATGATAGAATTCAATATCAATACAAGTAAAGTTTTACATCTTGCCATTCTAATTTCAATAGGTTAATATATTACACAAAATACAGAAAAGAAATTCTACAAAAACAGATTTCAATATAATACTAGATACCTACCTTAGAATCAAACAAAGATAACACTTTAATAGATTTCATATTAAAAACTAATACAGCCTGCATTATACGTGCTAAATGTAAATGATGTTTTAATAAACCATAATTAGTAGATTTCTGATCAACAGCTAGTTCTGATAGAGATGATGGTCCTCTAGCTAACTGCCATAATATCTCTAGATTAAACACTGGCACTTCATTTGCTTCACAATTAGCCTGAAAATAGTACATACATGTACCTATAATATTCTGAAACAAGTTCAATTTTCAGAAATGATTAAACATTATGCATTTAATGAACAATTCCATTTTCAAACTGCTTTTTTCAATAAAATTCATGAAAACATTCCAGTGACTGCTACTATCATAATTCTACAATGTTAATTTCCAACACTCTGGTTATTCTATAAAAATATGATTCATATTTCTTACATAAGAAATGGTATCCAAAATAACTGTTAATTACAAACAACAGAAGAACAAACTCATGTTAATCCAAATACACAATTTACATGCTCAATTCAACAGTTTTGAAAAATGTTTCAACATAGAAAATCAAACATTAATTTCAAACAATCAACAATTAACAGGGAGATTGGAAGATTCGTGTTCTCAGAAATTCTAGTTCATAACTCACTGGCTATTATAACCTATGATAGCTACTTGTAACATTTGACAGATGTTGCCTGGAGTAGTCAGAAAAAAGCAAGCTTATTTCAGGATATTTTTCCCATACTGCCTTGTTTTCTGATGGACATCTTGTACAAATGTGTGGTAGGCAGAAACCCAAAACCTTTTGATTCGGATTTGGAAAATCTCATAAAGTCTTTCTTAATTCTCTCCAAGGCTACATCTGTCAAAAATATGAATCAGTTAGAAACAGCGAGTTGTGGACTATAGTCTTTCATGCTTCTCAAACAACACTTGACATGACAAATCTTACAGGAATAGAGCGTCGTCTGGCTGGTATATTTGTAAATTCTATTAAACATTCTGCATTAGCCTATAGAATGGGATACAAAAATAAACTTAATCAAGCAGATATCATTATGTAACCTAGAGCTTCCAGCTTGTAATGTTATATTGTATTACACTGAAGTCCTCTATATTCTAGCATATAGAATATTGAAGTTATACATCATATACACTGACATCTTTGTATTTGATTGGCAGAATAGGGCAATTGTTATCTGTAATTATCTTTATCATCAAATGTCTTAACAAATAACATGATAGAATAATATGAAATACCTCCATAGTGATTTGTATAATATCAGCAGTACAGCTTATAAATAATAATATATCATTTTCTCCCATACCAACTTCCTGTAATATATACAATATTTAATCAATAACAACTATCAACTGTTATTATAAACATCAAGTCTGCTACATATTGTAAGAATATCTTTGCCAGTATCAGCCAGCAACCATTTAAAATCTTATCTAAAATGGTCACTATATTATTTAGGTCTGGAATAGATGGCTTAATATCTAATATCTGGTATGAACAGAGGAATGTTGTACTGAATACTAAATAAATTTAGATCAATAGAAAATTACCTTTCTACAGAGTCTATCTTTAGGAGGTTTTCCAACCTGTAAAATAAAATAAAAAACTTCTGAGAAGATCATTAGGAGATACAAGCCTATGAAAGATTATGCGTTTGTTCATCAGTTTAAGTTTGAACAATCATATCATCCAAAAAAGAAAATTAAATTTTTTTACAAAAATTAATATACATGTATAACTACCTTATCCATCAGGTGTGCTGCAGCTGAGAAACGTTTTAAAATAAACATATGCCATAACATACTACAAACACCTGAAATATAGGTCAGATATTACACAACAGATATGATCAAGGACATATATTTCCTGCTAAAGGTATATTTATAACTGGGACAAGTGAAAATAAAATAATATATTATCAAACAATATATACGAAAAAAGAAGAAATTGAATCATTTAAATGCACTGGAATAGAATAATGACAGGTCATTAGATGTTTGAATGTTTTAAAATCATGTCTTAGCTTCCATTAATAATGCTTAAATCAGACCATTTCATAACAAATAACATAATTATGAAATGAAAACATACCTTGTCTAAGTAGTGCATTCTGTACCAATTTCAAGTATTCTACTGATAACTCTAGTTTATTTACATGCTGAAAATCACATAGCCTTTTTTATTACTTGGCTTTTTATACATAATGATACAAACAATTACTTTAAAATGATGGAAAAATCTATTTTATATTTGATTGTTAGCAGAAGTTATATACTTATACCCATTTCTTGATAGCTTTTATTGTGAGACAGCAAAACCTAGAGTAAAACTGATTTTGCTACCCCAAAAATTCATCATTGTCAGTAAGCAACTGATTGTACGCTACACATTTTGATTTGAATGGAGAATAGAGAGTTATATGTTTAAGATTAATACAGGTAGTATAGTGGATATAATGTAAAGTTTATGTAGGTTACTAACCTCAGGTTCTCTATTCCAATAAGCAGCATACTCCCAACAACAATTAGATAACAATATATCATTCTCTAAACTGTGTGGAAATCTTAATCGTAACAGTTGTAACTGATCTGTGAATAACAACCATATGAATTCGGTTTCATTAAGCAATTAAAGAAGAGCAAAGTTGACTGTTTTGTTGCAGAAGAAAAAATGTAGTTTCTAAGACAAAGTTTTAGCTTTGATAATCATATAGGACTTTCTAAGTAACAAGGTTCAAAGATATGATTTACATTTTCTATATTCCATTTAAATGTTTTGCATCCTTGCTTGATTCTTTTAAATCTGGCAATAAGCTAGTAAATACCTTGTATAATTTCTAATGGTGTTTTAGGTTCATCTTCAGGGTCATCTATACACGTCTCTAAAACATCATTATCTTCTGGTTGTTCCATAAATGATGATTTACTAAAGAGTGATTGAGGTTTTAACTCTAATCTCATAACATATCTTGCTACTATCTCAGATATAGCTCCTAAAATAAACAGAATTTCATTAAATTTCTACAGATATAGCTCCTAAAATAAACAGAATTTCATTAAATTTCTACAGATATAGCTCCTACAATAAAAAGAATTTCATTAAATTTCTACAGAGATATAGCTCCTAGAATAAACAGAATTTCATTAAATTTCTACAGATATAGCTCCTAAAAATAAACAGAATTTCATTAAATTTCTTCAGATATAGCTCCTAAAATAAACAGAATTTCATTAAATTTCTACAGATATAGCTCCTAAAATAAACAGAATTTCATTAAATTTCTACAGATATAGCTCCTAAAATAAACAGAATTTCATTAAATTTCTACAGATATAGCTCCTAGAATAAACAGAATTTCATTAAATTTCTACAGATATAGCTCCTAAAATAAACAGAATTTCATTAAATTTCTACAGATATAGCTCCTAAAATAAACAGAATTTCATTAAATTTCTACAGATATAGCTACTAAAATAAACCGAATTTCATTAAATTTCTACAGATATAGCTCCTAAAATAAACAGAATTTCATTAAATTTCTACAGATATAGCTCCTAAAAATAAACAGAATTTCATTAAATTTCTACAGATATAGCTCCTAAAATAAACAGAATTTCATTAAATTTCTACAGATATAGCTCCTAAAATAAACAGAATTTCATCAAATTTCTACAGATATAGCTCCTATAATAAACAGAATTTCATTAAATTTCTACAGATATAGCTCCTAAAAATAAGTTGTAGCTCCATAAAACAAACAGAAGAATTTCATGAACTATCTTCATATATAGCTGCTAGAAATAAACATCGTTAGAATTTTGTTCACCTTCTTCTGTTTTTTTATTAATAAAATATAATTCTAAAAGTGATATCATTCCAAATTGAGCTGTGAACTTTATTACTGACTAATTTATCCAAATATTAGTACGATTGGTCAAACAGATGGCGAACATGTCCCTTTAAGTTGACCTTAAGTTGATCTAAGGTTTATTATAAGCCATCTATAAATACAATAATTTTTCTTACCTCTACCACCCTCTAATAATTTAGTAACAGAGACAGTGATTGGTTCTAGGTATGTTTTGTTATCTTGTTTATGATTGGTTGATAATTGTAATTGTAATAAATGATTAATAGCTAGGACATCATCTAACTGTTTAACTAAGACATTCCAATGTTCTATATCAACTGTAACCGTTTCCCAATCACCAGAAGAATCATTCTTATCAGAATTTACACTGGCTGTATCAGCATCAGGGTCCTGTAAAAATAATCAAAAATTTTATAACTTGAAAAAAGATTAAGATTTTTGCCATGCAAAACAGGAATAGAACTCACAAAAGAAGCCGATCAGATAATTGTAAATAAGGCGTTTTTAGGAAACATAATCCTTCACTCAAATTGAGTAAGTTATGACCCTAATCTAGAAAATAACACTGTCAAATCTTATTGCTGATCATGATAAGTATGAAGCAATTTCTACATCATTTCAAACTGCAAATTTCATCAACACAGCAACTGACTACATTGTTCTTAGCAAATAAATATACAGTATTATTTTTATACACCATTATGAAGACCAACCTTAGCTTTAGTCTGATTGCCCAGTAATTCAACAGCTACACCTCGACATGTTAAAGCTGCTAGATAAGCTGATAGGATATTTTCTGACTGACTACATTGGTCTCGTATTGATTGCCACCATGTTGATATAGCCGTATTATCTACTAATTCTTCACTTTTATCTACAAATAATTTAAGTCATATTAGAATTCTCTAATGAGAAATATAATGTAGAAGTATATAAGACATGGAGTGGTGATAACTTGTTCACTCTTTTCTAAATATTCAAGCTATGTATGGATTGATGTCCTATATGGGAATGAAAAACATGTTCTTTTCTCAGCCCTTCTAAATCCATGCACAAAAATGAAAAAAAATGAGTTAAAAAAGTGACATGTTTCTAATTGGCCAATTTTGATGTTGATTAGGGAGTCAGCAAACTCACAGTAAGATAAAAAAATATTGGTTTCAAGTACCTGTCATAGCTGATATAGATTTAACTATATGGTGTAGATTAGGTATTGAAGACAAACATCTATCATTACTTGATAACCAATACATTAATAATAAATTCTACAATTAAAGCATAACTTAAGTATAAGATATTTGACTATGTAAATATTACTTTAAGTTATAGCTGATTGGGTAGTTAACTGTGATTAATTTTGACATTTCAAAAACATATGGATAATTTTGATTGAAAGATATGATTTATTTTCAATTAGATAGTATATTAGATTTTGATCGAAGCATACTCTTCATTGTGATGGAAATTTGGTTAAATGTAAAATCACCAGTCAGGAATTGTAGTAATAAATGAAATGGTAGTTACTTACCATGATATGTTTTGGTGGTAAGTTACTATCTTGTAATATAATACTTAAATCACTAGCAGAAATATTATCACAAATACAACCAGCAAACATAAAATTACCTACAAGTATAATCATACAGTTGGGTTTAAAAACAAACATTGTTTATTCTATATTAACATATCATCTTAATATCTATTAAAATATCTTCTTTTATATATATATATCATGCTTGCACTATTTGAAAGTAAATTCATATCTTTGCTCCAATTATTCTGCCTATATTAAATGGTTCTTGGTTCTTACCTAATGCTAATTTTTTATCTGAAGACAAGTTTTTATTAACTGATAAATTAAATGATTTATTTATTTCATGATCAGTAGCATGTATCAGACATTCAAAACATCGTAAATATGAGGTGACAGGAAAGGATTGACTTTCTTCAAACTGAACATGTTTTCCTGTGGTGTCTTTTACCAGTTTCTTGGTGGAATCTTGGAGACTAGATTGGATAGCTTCTAATTCAGATGGAGATACTCCTAGTAGTCGACATAAAAACTGAAAAAACACCAAAACATAACTTATTTTAACTCATAGTCAAGTGGCTTTTTATATTGATTGGAAAAATAGTTCAGATCATGGTTGGATTATATTTACCCATAACATCCACCAGGTAATTCAAGATAAAAAGAGATCTTACCTCTGGTGATGTATCAACATGCTGTATATTTTCATCTGATGTTAAGCAATCTATTTGATCATAACTTTGTAATAAACAATCTTGTGCTTGACAATATTTTAAAACTAAGCGGCTATCTATATCTTGATCAATATCAGCTGAAATATCAATAAAAATTAACAAAACCATACAGAATCTAAAAAAATCACCTCACGCAAGTTGCTATAAACACATTTATATTTTTTTACAGTTGTGTTGTTTGCCATTATCAATCTAATTTATGGATCTCATTTGTAAAATGTAATGTAGAAGTCAATATCAATTGACAAGTTAGCATCACAGAATGTTGTTAACTTAATAATGCTTACAAGATATATATAGTACAACGGCAAGAAATCATATTAGAGTGTTCTCAAAGAGTGTTTTTCAAAATCAACTGAATACATAAGTAAAGTAGCCCACAGAATGATATTTTCAAGCTGTACTTTTATCAGATTGTGGATTTTTAGACTCTATCCGGCTATACAAATAAATAATGATATAACAACAACGAAGGGCAATTACCTTTGGCACTTATTTTCTTTATACAGGCTTTTACAACAGACTTCATAAATTTACATGATAAATACTTGGTAACTAGTATTCTTTCAATACCCTTAAATAAAAGGGTTATAATGTTAACAATCATAAAGATATTCTATATCAACTTATACTAACATGTCTCAATAGCTAAAACATATTGACATGCTGCAACAAAAATATAGGAAGACTATATAGGAGGATGTATAGCTGTACAACCTTCATAATAGACAAATTCTACTACAATTTAATACCAAAACATATTCTGAAGGATTCAAACAACCATACAATGGTAGTTTTCCATAGCCCGAATGTTTAAATCTATAATAAAGGTGAATATTTACCTGTTTAGCAATATTTGGTATTTTAATATCTAATATTATCTCTGATATAGATTCACAAACACTTTCTGTAAGTAAACAAAAAGCAAATCTCTTTATGTTACACATCATAATCATGTAATGTTTAAATGAAAACCAAAATAATTCATTACATGGTTAACAATCAAATGCTTATAGATTTTAAGATAGCTTTCAGGAAATAAATCAACATATCTTTTGGGTTTTATCATCAATGTTTGGTACTTAACAAGATTTTTTTTATATATATTTAAATGGCAATTTTTCAATGTTTGCACACAAGAAGATCCTAATATTTGACATATATCATAATAATAGAAATACCTGACTCTTCTGTATTTTCTTTTAATAATGACTTCAATTTCTTTAGTAAATGTAAATCTCTAGCTCTTTTACTACTCTTATCACTGAAAGATAAAAGTCGTATTTTTTGGGTCATTGTTTACACTAACAAACAAAAAATTCAGTTTTTAAAAAATATTATAAAAGCAACGATAGTTCTCAAATAGAAAAGCCTAATTTACAGTGGATAATGGCTGGTGAAAATTAGTCAATAACTGGGACATTCATGTCATTTTAGCAGCTATCTTTTAATGTAAATTCTAATACACATGATTGGATACATAATGGAAAAGAAGATAAAAATCAACATTGTAACAGTGATACAGAACATACCTTAAAGCAAGATGAAAAGGTATATCAATAATTTTGATAATACCATCTGTATCTATTAAAGCACATTGAAATGCTTTATGTTTGGTACTTTGACACGTCACATTATTTAAACCCATTACACCATATGATGGACACACTAACTTACACCATTTACTAACATTGAAGGCTGCTACACGGGGTCCATTAGCTGCTGTCCATACCTTGTGAAATAACATATCAATCAACATCAACCCAGCATGATTGATTAATGTGAAGTCAAATATGAATTATGAATAGCATCAAGGACATGTTTTATTGGGATCAAGTCCTCAAAATATGCTATTTAACAATTGTTTATTTTAATTTCAGCTACCCACAGACATGGCCATGTTTTCACAACATTATTATTCCAGGCAGATATAACAATATAATAATAATATCCCAATTTGAAAAGCATGTTAATACAAAGTTTTTATATCACAGTGTTATGAGCACTTCATATACAACAGTATGAACCTACCTCTAAAATACCTCGTCTTGGTGCATAGATAATAAGGAATTGTGCTACTCTAGAATGTTCTGGATTTCTCCCACCATGGCCATCATCTTCTCTTATCTGTATCCATCCAACTTGAGCATCTCTATAACCTAAACATTTTAAGTTATTTACAAAATTTTTAATGACTTGCGGCACAGAATTACACATTGATCCAGTTTAACTTTTAACATTACTTTAAAAATGAAACTAAAGGTCTTGAATATGTATTACCTTCTGAACTATGAGAAAAATCTATTACATGTCTAGATGATCATTAAATATCAATATCCTTAACTTTAAATGCTACATTAAGCTTGGGTCACAATAATACACATGCCCAAATTTGTATAAGGCAAAGCAGCTGAAATGCTCAAAGGAATGATAAATTACCTTTCCATATTCTAACAGCAACACCTCTTTCAACATCTAGTAATATAACACGACCAAAACTTCCTGTTACAGCAGCATAATGATTATTAGGTGATAATACTATCTTCTGTCCTGTTCTTCTTCTATCAGGTAAACTAAACCTATCATATACAACTTAACATTAGTTGACTACAATAAGCAAACACACAACAAAGTAAAAAACATAAAGTTTGGCAAGTTGAACTGGAGGCAAGGTAAGATGATATACTTTGATCTAAATAAAATATTTTAAGAACTAAAAATTCAAAGTGTTTTCCAGAACAAAGTCAATAACTCATATAAAATAATTTTGGATTTTTCTGATTTACAATAGTGTTCATCCTTGGGTAATAATAAACAATTTCACTAAAATTTGTCTAATTTCAAGAACAAGGGCGATAACTCATACTAAATATGATGGACACACAGCTATACATGGGTGATACGCCCACATGAAATATATAAATAACACATCAGAAGATGAATAAATATTCTTTGTTGAGGATAACAAAATTACATCAAATGAGACAATTTGACAGGACATATCTACCTGAGAGGAAGAGGAGTTGCTTGTTCTATTTTTGGAGCTTTATCTTTAGCTTCATCTTTTGCTTTACCTCCGAAGCCTAACCATCCACTGAAATATCAATTAGTATTTGGTAAAATTGCTAGCATTTCTACACAAAACTAAACTTCCACAACTATGAATATCTAAGCATGTAAGATAGAGTTTATAACAATAATTATGTAAAAAAAATTACCCAAAATGTAGTTAATTGGTTGATGTAGTTACTTACCTAGCAGCAGACATTAAGGCACTTTTTATCTTATGAGCCATTGCCATAGCTACCTCAGATAAAATTGGTGGAGCACTTCCCTATATAAAGAAAATATATTTATGTATTAATGGTTGATTATCTTCGTAAAATCATGATGGTTAAAATGGTTCAAAAATAATCTTCCGTTAGACAAATAGTGGAATACTAGAAACTATACAGATATATTTATTATAATACATGGTAATAATGATGACTTTGTATTATTTGAAATAACAAAATATTCAAAGAGAACAAAATACAATTTGTGACACCAAATTTTCAATCATCATACGATTTTAGAAATAAAACATACCTCAATTGCATAGAAGAAACCAACATAAGGCCCTACACCTGATGTAAGATAAAGACTAGCAGCTGGTGGACTGGTTTTAACACTAGCTTGATAACCTCCTAATAATGACGCTGTTTTCATCTGATCAAAGGGATTAGATGACTGGATTCCTGTAACAGATAAGTTGTCATTCTTTACAAAATCTTGCTTCTATTATTCATTATATTATGTCAAACTTTGCTTCATTGCCAATTTCGCTAATTATAAAATCAAATCAAGTAATCTTTGCTGGTTATATTTTTGTCGGAATCATCGATTTTCAAAATAAAAATAATTATAGTTCAAACCAACAACCTGATTCAACAAAGATGCCTTCTAGAAATAAGTTATAAGGACCTACCACAACTAACATGATCATTAATAATATCTTGATCTTGTAAACCCCATTTTTTATAGGCTAATGGTGGTACTTGTAGATTGGCTTCTCCTCCACTGGCTGTAGCTATAATACATAACAACACATATAAATTGTATTATATTTTGTGACATAGTGAATTTCAAGACAATTAAAGGTAGAATAGCCAAAGATCTTCAGTTAGGGCTTCAAAGATTTTTAACATCATAACGAATTTCTGAAAAATATTCCCTAAATCTAATACCAAACCATTGGCATTAAAGAATTTTGTAAGAAAATGATTGATCACAGAATTAAGAAATATCTTTTTAAAAATTATCGTGACTCTGTAGTTCACATTAGAATGTTACTTCATTACAGAACATTATCATCTTCTTTGAAAAAAAGTCTACCTCTTGCTACTTGATTCCTACAAGCTCTTAATGACTGCATTAAACTAAAACCATCTATAGATATGACTGCTTTTCTGTATAATATCACTAATTCTTCATGCTAAATCAACAGAGATTTTCAAGTTAAAATGTCATTTAAAATCACATAAATATAATGGAGAAAAGCTGTGCAAATAAGCATAATGCAAGTCTGCATTGAAAACATGACATTGCCCTTAATTGCATGTCTGCCATTTGGTCAACAAACCTTAATGATGGCTTTCAAATAATCCACAAAATAGAATAGACAGCCACATAAAAAATTGCTACTACACACCTGTTCAGCCATCCCTAAATATCTAGCTGGTTCATAAGTTTGTGCTTTTATCTTCTGAATAGGTTCTGTATGTAACAACTGTGACAGTAACAATACTCCTTTCTGTGGAAGATAATAAATATAACAGCCATTTTAAGTTCGAGTTTATATTGCAATAGCACTATTTTTCTTTTTTAGAATATATTTGCCTAGAGAGAAAATTCTATCATATGGCATCTTAAAGATACATAATATTAAATCTATGTATTTACACACATAATTAACTGGCTTTAACCTTTCTGAGATTAATCAACTCGAAAAAACAGCTACTAATATTATGTATGCACCAATGCACCATGCATGCAATAGTTAGCAAGTTTTTAAGATATCCATTGTCCAAGTTACAAACCTCAGTAAACATCTTAACATAACCAGTAGAATAACCAACAATAACACAGGTCCAATCTGGAGCACCATGAGTACTTCTAAAATAAATAAATTTAATTTCTTTAAAACAGGAAATTTCAATACCATTTCCATACATGTATTAGTTTTATCAGAAATGGCTAAGATTGAGGACCTAAGCAGTGTCCACTCAACATTATGTGAGGTTAAAGACAGGGGTTCTGTTTGGTATCTTACCTTTTCTGTGAAGCTAGTGGCAGACATAATATGGCAGTAATAAGTTCTGTAGTAGAAGCTGTTGATTGCCAAGCAACAGAATATCTAGATTCCATCTCTTCACCGTTATTCTTAGGGTCCCATTTTTCTGAAAGTCAAATTATCTTCAATGATAAGTTATCAAATAAAGGGCATACCTGTTGAAAGATTTCAAGCTGAATGAATTTCTCAAAAATGGGCTCCACTCTCCTTAATTTCAAAACCATACACGAATAATGTTATCTCATACCGGGTAACGTCTAATTCAAATCAAAAGATAATACATACGAGTGAGAACCACCATTCTGCTTTCATTAGCAATAGTTATCATGTCATTTGCTGGTGATAACGAAATCAAACAATCTTGTAACCATTTCAATTTACTATTATCTTCTACATCATCATTTCCTTCTAAAGATCCTACAGCAGCCTGTACAGCTTGTTCATCTTCTGTCCATCCCCAGTCATTATTCCAATCATCTAAATAAATTATAGATATTCATTTGTTCATTAGCATTAAGCTAACTCATATGAGTCGGACAGTTTGAATCATTCTAGTATCTGGCAAAAATCCTTCATATGCTCTTAAAGGCCTTAATGGAAAGAAGGCGAGTACCTGCACAACTTCATGTCTTGGCAATTTGTTCAATGACCCTGACAGTGACTACATACCAAGGCCACAGCCATGTACATTGTAAGGTAATGATTAGTCTTTGTAGCACAATTACTTAACACATTTCAATGATTGCGCCTGGGGTACTGATTAGGCGGATAATATTTTGCTTCAATGTATACATCATTTTGAAGTTTAGCGATTAACAACAAACCTTCGTCGTCATTTGTTGAGCCAGCATTTATTTCAACTTCTGGTGTGGTTTCTCTCAGAGATGGAAACAGGTACGACTTAACGGCTTTGATATCTTGAAACCCCGACAAAATAGAGAGCTGACACGACATTATGATGAACAAAATTGAAAACTTGAACAAACTATTAACAAATATTATACATAAACATTAACCAACTTCCACAACGTCAGCCATGACAGGTTCTCTGTGACGTCACTAAAGCGGAAGTGCCTGTCTGCATATTTCCAATCTATTAAAATAAAAAGATATTCACAAAAAAGAGTTTTTCTGCTGTGCTGATAATAACTGTTTTTGTATCTAACAAATTTGGAAAATAATCACTTTTACCTCATCCACCTATAATGACTGAACTAAAATTTGGCCATCAAAAAATAGTATAACCTCCTACCGAGTTATTCCCCCTTTTTAAAGTTGCTTTAAAGGGAAATCGACGTCAAGTTATTTGTTAGGCATTACAGAACGCATTTATTTCTTTTAAATCATTAGGGAATATAAGAAATAAGTTAAAGGCCACGGTTGGCCATATTCGGGGGTTGATTTGGGTCTGCACAAAAATCGCATTATCCCTTCAAATATTCCTCAAAATAAGGTGCGATTTGTCAAACGGATGGTGAATCTGTTCCTATAAGGTTGCATTTAGCAAAAAATCGAAATATATAAGTTGTCCTTAGTTTTTCAATGATCGTTTGAAAAAAAAATAAATAAATGAACCATGTACTAAGTATCCGAACCGTAAAACGGAACGAAATGTACAACCGCATTTTGGAGAAAGTTGAAAGCGTAATTCTACATAACAACATGTATATAGGTCAATATTAATAGGCTACTTAACTGTCAAAACCAATGATGAACTCCTTTTATTTGACCCCAACGTAAAATTGAAATAAATGAAAGGCTGCTCTTGAGAAAAGTTTATTTATTGGAATGATCCTTTTTTTCATGGTGGCACAAACCAATTCTAATGGGGCGGATTCACCCTCTCTGAAGTCAACAAAGATCAGCATTTTATTCCCTAGTTCATTGGGCTTGGGCAATTGCACCACCATATCTCCGGTATTTGTAACAGTCTTAAGCAGTGGCAATGCCAGTGGGCATACGGGGGAAAGTTGTAAGTCCCCTCCCAAAAAATTAGTTTGTACCCCCATTTGAAAGAAATTTGAAGACATAATATCCAAACGTTTTTGTCTCAAAATATGTTTTCAACATTTTTGCCTCATCACTAGATATGGTATAAGGTTACGCAGCTTTTCAGCTTTTAGATTCTGAAACACAGACAGTTGTCCTCTATTTGTATCCCCAGTTCTATGAGACACTTCAATTCTGCAGTTTCCATAATTAATTTACGTCATAAAGCGTTGCTGTCTTTCAACAATCAGCTGCAGGATCATAATTATAGATGCTCTCAAAGTATGTCTTGTACATACTGAAAGTCCTTGTTGCAACAATTTCATCAAATGGGGAATAGCGTTGGTGTTGACACTCATCGTACCGATAACGGGGCAGATGATGCAGATGATGCTAATATGAGAAGAACTGGACCGGCTGCACATGCTATTGATTCGGAAGATGACCTTGAAGAACTCACTGCTTTTATCATCTCTCATCCAAACAGAGCACCGGTACTGGATGAAAATATCATTGCACTTTGTTGTGTTGATCCTTCTAGTAAATCACAGAAGAGACATCCACGAAGGCAAGTTTTGATGAAGGATATATTTCCAAAAGTAAAGCGACCGCGAGTTCACAAAGATGCTGAGCAATTCTGGATAAGTCCCTTTGAACACTCTGATACCAAGGAGCCCATCTTTAAAACTAACGGCAGTTATGATCCGAGGGAACCGGGAATAAAACATTTCCCATGTTTTCTGGATAAGTTTTTGAATAAAGATTTTCATCTCCATATGAAACTGAGGTGTACCAATGCCAAACCCGAATACATGAATACATATCCAGAAATATCGTATCTAATGAGGAATATTAAATACGTGAAAGTTCATTTCAAACAAACAGCGGATCAAAGAATTCAAGTATTTATAGAGGAAAGTCATGGTAGGAGAAAAAACACATCCCCATCTCGACTCAGGAAGATGTACGTTAAACTGTTGATGTTGGATCACCTTCACCCAAGTATTATGGTATCTGGTAAGTGCAAAAACCGTCCAAAAGAGTACAGCAGAACTAATTTTTTCTTCTGTAAATTTGGTAATATTGTAAGCATGGAAATATGTCCATTTTTAAAGTAGAGCAGCTAGGCAGCTGCAGATCAATTGCGTTAACTTGTAAACTATTCCTCTTTCCAACATCACCTGAACAGCTAGACCATAACCACATAATACATTAAAGTTTATTTCACTTAAATATTAGATTAAGCACCTTATTTCTTTTTTTTTTTTTATTTCATTTGCGGTTTAGGGTGCTCGTTTAAAGGATTTTCTTCTAAAAATTACAGAAATGTAGTGATTCGAGCGGAACTTTAAAATAATATGCCGGTTTACAGAGGATCCGTTTTAATGTGTGATTGATTGATGTTTTAGATTAAAATTTTATTCGCTTCAGGTGGAGAGTTTTTATTGAATCTTTATCCTGCTGAAAAGAGTCAACACGTAGATTGGAAAGATAGTAATGGTGAATTACCCTCAATAGTTGGTCATTACTGTCGAGAGTTAGATACCAACCCCAATATTGTCCTAGAATGGTCTGTCTCACCTAAAAAATTCTTCAACAGAGATACTTTTAACTTTTAAGACACTACTCCAAGAACCTGTTATATTGGAATAGTGGTTTTTATTAAAAGAGTGTCTGAACTGGAAAACAATGTCTTTATTTTTCTGATCTTATTTTGGAATCTAATAAAAAAAACACTTAATAAATAATCATGAATTCCTCATGAGTGGGTTGTGATCTAAATGCAATCTTGATGGGTAGGCTTGTATTTCAGTCACAATTGCAATGTCCTCCTCATGCTTTTTGCGATTGAGGCTAATGGAACACCTTTGGGGTGAGTTCATAGGATGTTTTATAATTTCACACATATGCTGTATACAGAGAAGTCAACAATAGTAGATCTATGGTCATTGCCACACTAAATATACTCAAATTTAGTAGTGTTTTGAAGAGCTAGACAGTATGTCCATAATTAATCCAATATTTGACAATCCTACAAAAAGAACAAAAGATATAACATTTAAGTTTATTCAATTAAACTGAGTTTGAAATTTGAGAAAAATTCCTCAAACAGTCTCTGCAAAAGCAGGAATATAACATTAGTATAGAAATTATGACAAAAACTACAAATTAGTTGCATCATATCCCTAACTGACTTGAGGTTCCATTCATATACACATTGTTACTGAGAAACAATTCCCAAAACCTTAATTCCCAAGATTTGTGCCGTAACAATGAATGAAACCAAAATAGCCCTTTTTCTGGTTAAATAAGATAATTATAAACAATTACAATACAAGGTTTCTAAAAATTAAAATTCTCTACAAAAAACTAATATATTAACATAAATGACAACACAAGTAATAATGAATAAATATATGAATATATTAAATCTTGAATATTGCAAAGTAATAGAGTTATAATAATAATATTAATCTCAAATAGAACTTGTACAAACTTCTTGATAATGTGTAACATCCATACTGATTTACATTGTCAGCATGAAAGCAACTACTGTTCCATGTGCACCAAAGTTGAAATCCTTAATATTAAATGACTGCAAAAGTTCTTTCCCTTTATTAACAGAAACATAATTTGCAATTCATTCCATTGGGAGACTATTATATAGGCAAGACAACAACTTATTTACTACAACATCTAGTATAAAGAAGACAGAAAATAGTGCATTTCTTCAAGTCATGTCATTCCTGACTGCAGATAACCTTTTATAATATAATATAACATAAATTCAACAAGAGTTCAAAATATACCAGAGAAATGTAGATAATGCTTTACAATAGTTATATATACAGTTTAGATCTATGGCAAGTTACAACCAATGACAATGAGATTCTATAACTAATTAAGCATATGGCAGGTAGACAGCAGTTGTGTAGAGATGTATTTAGGATAAATATAAACAGCGATGCATAGACAGTGTTTCAATTTCAAACCAATAGGCATCTGTGTTCCACAATAAATTATATAAATATATTATTATATATTTGTTATCAAAAATGACCAATGGAAGGCATCATAAGAAATAAGTGAAAAATTACAAAGAATGAAATAGATTGTATAATAGAACCAGTAAAAAAGAGATGATTTTGAGTTTTTTCTGGTGTCTGTCGACCAATTTTGATGTGGTTTGTTCGTCCAAATACTAAGATGTATCTCTAAGAATACATAGTTGTCTGTATGAACTGAAAAATATAATGTAAGTTTTCATTAGAATTTATCTACTGCATAGCACTATAGTTACCATCATATAAAGTTTACTGTGGTAAAATATCAATGAAAATATCAATATTACATTTATCATATTGTCTGAAACAAAATATTAAGAAATTATAGAAATATACTTACTCCGTCAACATCAAACATGGCTACCCCTTTACCTTCATGATCAGCCATCTTGAAAGATGCTAGAAAAATAAATATATGAAATTATATCGACTGATAGAGCGTTAACCTTATTATGCATTATTTCCATTCTGAATATATTTGTACCTCAAGAATCTTTTTTTGGTTAACAATTTTTTATTATCTCCCCCTTGATTGAACCTGAAGGTTTTTTTTAAAACCACCACACTTATACAATGCCTGTACAAAAACACTTACTGAGCATAGTCTTCAATCTGATGGCACAAACGACAAAATCACCAAAATCAATTAAACCTTCTCTATTACTGTATCTCATTACAACTGAATGGAAAGTTCCATTACTTAATTTGAATCCTGAAATGAACAACAAATACTTAGTCATTATATCAAGATAGCTTGCCAGGCAAGGTAACATACGCCCACTATATATTTTCAAATAATCTTAAAATCATCCATAAGTCAAGGCAAAAACCTGAAACAGTTCATCAAGTTATCATCAAATTCAAACATGAACAATGTCTCATTGCTGTACACTCGGAAACTGTTGATTCAATTATTACCAATTTCTAACTTGACCGAGATCTCATCATGTTTCATCAAGATTGGATAAAAACTGTAGTCTTTATCGTGCCTGCAAGCCGAATTTGACAAGTTTATATTAAGTCAAGGGCCATAACTCTGAAACCCTTCATCCGATTGTTACCAATTACGAACTCGAGTGAGATTTCATCAATATATACATGCATACCTAGTTTCATCTAGGTTGGATAAAAACTGTAGTTTCTATTGTGCCTACAATCGAAATTTGATTCGATTTTACTAAGTCAAAGGCACTAACTCTGAAACAGTTCATCCGATAATTACCAATTTCGAAATTGACCGAGATCTCATCAATATATACATGCATACCAAGTTTCATCAAGATCGGATAAAAACTGTAGTCTCTATCGTGCCTACAAGGAAAATTTGACGCGTTTTACTAAGTCAAAGGCAATAACTCTAAAACCCTTCATCCGATTATTACCAATTTGGAACTTGACCGAGATCTTATCAATATGTACATGCAAACCAAGTTTCATCAAGATCGGATGAAAACTGTAGTCTCTATCAAGCTTACAAGGCAAATTTGACACATTTTTACTAAGTCAAGGGCAATATCTCTAAAACCGTTCATCTGATTATTACCAATTTCAAACTTGACCGAGATCTCATCAATATATACATGAATACCAAGTTTCATCAAGATTGGATAAAAACTGAAACCTCTATTGCGCCTACAAGAAATGTGAACGGACGGACCGACGGACAGGGGCAACGGCAATATACGTCCACATTTCCAAAAATCAACTTGCATTCAAGCTTAGCTTCATTTAAAACATTTGAAAGAAAAGCAACAATAAGCAGATTTAAACTTGATTGGCTTTCTGCTACTTTTGATAAAAGTCTGTGGTGATGTTTCCTATTTTCTTTTCGAAATCGATTATTCCAAAATAAATCTCACCACTAAGATTTCCTTAGACCAACATTCTGATTGGTAATAAGGAAACATGAAAACTTACCAACTGAATGGAGAGCGCTTCTGAGTTCATAAGAATTCAAATTACCACTTGTATCATGATCATAGGTCTTGAATACTTTCTACAATTAAAAAACAAAAAAATTCTGTCCTGATGTCTTTGCAAGAGTATAACATATTTGACATGTGTGTTCATTTAAACCATTAATCTAGTCATAAGATGGCATTTTGCATCACCAATCAGTTTCTTGTAGCTACATCCCAGTGTAACATTAAACCTTTTCTTACCTTCCATCTTCTCAAATCTTTCCATAAATCTTTAAATTCTTCATAACCAAGTTTACCAGACAAATCACCCTTAACATCAGTTAAAGAATTTAGTTGAAAACAGTAGAAAAGACATCCAAAAAACAGGTCAATAATTAAACTGCATTTAACATTATCTACTAAATATTCTGACAATCAAAATAAAAAGTTTCCCAGTCAGCAGTAGGTTGGGTGTTTGACACATGTTCTGTAAATATCTACTTTGAAACAACCCAGTTCTTAACAAGGTGTTACACATTATGTTACTCAACAAACAATTATTACTGGTTTTAAAAACAGTTATCTAATTTAAGCAATATTTCATTTAAAAGGATACATCATTCATTGCTACCATACTACGGCAAATATCAGTTCCAAATCCTTCAAACTGAAACTCTGTAAAAAAAATGAGCAAAGTTAACTTTATAATACATACCGGACGTTAAAAATCGATTAAATGGAATTAAAAATACTTGCTTGAATAAAATTTTGTTCATTATACAAACAATTTAACATGTTGCTTTATAAAATAGTAGGCTATATTGTATTAAGGGGAAAATTCAAAAAAAACCTTTCCAACCTAAAACATTCATTATTGTTAGGAGGGGAAGGAGGTGGGGTTATAAAGTATTATTCCCTTAATTTGTAATAAAACAATGACGTCCACATAAGACTACAAATTCTTATCCTAAACTACTAATAAATTATGTCAATGGCACAAGAACTATTTGCATCTCTGGAATGAATAGTATGTTCTTGAACCTGAGAGTTCTGTTGAAATATGTTTAGTCAGAACTATATGTTGAACATTGCCAAATTTTATAGTGGATACAATGAAACTATAAATTCATCAGCTAGGTGCACTTTCTAGTAAGTATTAAAATATAACTATTGTATTGATTATTATAATGTGCCAAGATAAGATGGAATTTGATTGTAAATTAGTCACATCTATACAATAGCATCAGCTAACTGCTTTATATTGACAGAAGCAGTCAAACTACATAATATTTTGGCATTAATTCATCAGCACAGTTCTACTTAAAAATCATTAAGCATAGATGATGAGCTAGTTAAAATGATGAGCTAGTTTAAATGATGTGCTAGTTTAAAGATGGGTTTTCTTGATTAAAAGTAGTCCAAAAGAGATTAAAAGAGCTTATCCATAGATTAATTGGCCTTTCTAGTGGTTAATCCAAACATTAGTTTGTCAATCAAACACATAAAGGCTTCACCAAGTTCGGGGAAGCCCTTGGTATATTTACGTTCAGGAATGTGGTAATGGCGTCATAGCTATAGACCACGTGACATGATAATTTCATTTTTTATATTGAAGAGTTTATCCACATTTTCATAATTCGAAATATTTAGTCCAGCAGATGAGAAAAGCAATATGATAAGAAGGAATATACTTAAAATGATTACAATTATTCATCTTGAACAAATGGAAATATATTTTGCACTGGCATTAGAGATAGAAAACCGAATACCCAAATATAATTGCTAGAACTGTATTCTTCGTGCCACCAATGTTGTAAGTGACAGAATTTTCTTTGTTATGATCGACTTTTTTGATGTGCATGCGCGCATTCTGTTAAAAATAATAGCCAATCAAATTAAACATTGGAAATCGGGACTATTGGAAATGTAAACACGGGATTCCCTCGGTAATTAGCTAATTACGAGTTAATTAGGGACCGCACAGATTAAGTCTTGTACTCGGAAGTCGTTAGGATAACCAGCCAATCGATTTATATAAGTGTTTGACACACAGCAATGGATTAGAAACAAAAATGAAAGACTCCATCTTTAAATGACATGCTAGTTTAAATGATGAGCTAGTTTAAATGATGAGCTAGTTTAAATGATGTACTAGTTTAAATTATGTGCTAGTTTAAATGATGTGCTAGTTCAAATGATGAGCTAGTCTAAATGATGTGCTAGTTTAAATGACGTGCTAGTTTAAATGATGCGCTAGTTTAAATGATGTGCTAGTTTAAATGATGAGCTAGTTTAAATGATGAGCTAGTTTAAATGATGAGCTAGTTTAAATGATGAGCTAGTTTAAATGATGTGCTAGTTTAAATGATGAGCTAGTTTAAATGATGAGCTAGTTTAAATGATGAGCTAGTTTAAATGACATGCTAGTTTAAATGATGAGCTAGTTTAAATGATGAGCTAGTTTAAATGATGAGCTAGTTTAAATGATGTGCTAGTTTAAATGATGTGATCAACAAAACGATATAAAGGTTCAGCCATCTGAAATAAACTATACGTAAGCATATTAAAATAGAAGTGGTTTTGAAGCAAAATAAATGAAATGAATGGAGTTTTCAGCACCTTGTGGGCTCATGAAGACGGGCAATGCCATGCAGGGTGCAATGAAGGAAATTTTGCCAGGACAGCAGCATAAGCCTGCTCTTTTTCGATTTCCAACTGTCGAGTAGCCTCGGTTTATTGTCCCATCCAAACAACTAGACGCTTTTCCATGTGGTTTGGAAGCAAGTTTTGGTAGATAAAAATATGTGGTTTTAGAAATTTTTTGTTCAGTTTTGCTGGGACAAAACTTAAAATATTTCTTTAGGCTACAGAATTTCAATAAAACAAACAATAACAAATCTGTATCAAAAGTGTGAAAATACGGAAACACTTGATATTGCACCAAATTAAATGCAGCATACTTGTTTTCCTCTAAATTTTTAAGTCTGAGAAATTATTTCTATTTAAAGAAAGGAAATAATTAGATTGAAAGCTTGACTTGTGTCAGTAACCAATATCTAGAAGAAAGTATTAAATTGAATAAATAAGAAAACAAAGCTGTTGATTTTGCCAGTCATGTCTGACTGGTGGTTTGCAAGAACAAAATATCTCATTTGGCTCTAGCATAAATACCAGAAGTGGTAAAAATTTGAAACAACAGTACTCATAGAAGCTTATCATGCAATAGTCAAAGATCAGTATCAGGACACCCCGATTTCAGGAACCCCGAAACTCAAGGTAATTTCTGTTCATATATGATAATATATATACAGATTTTGCTGAGAGCTTAAAGAATTAGAAAAGGAAAAGTAAATTTTAAAAGTTACTCTACAAAGAGTTATACATTCTAACAATTCCCTAAAAAAAGATTTTTACCCCATATCTAAATCTTTTAGTACAAAACAGATTTAGGTTAACAAAGCCTGCACATAAACTATGCCACACCTGTTAGTTGGGAGTAAAAATTCTACTGGACAGTCACATGCAAATTCTAAATTTGAGAATTAATGCTTTATACCCTGTATACAAATCTAAATTCATTTTTTTCCTCAACTATGCTTACAACTGAAACATATAACAACTTAAATATTATATCTAGAGTTGGATAGCTTAAAAATGTTCTGTGTTTTAGAGCTTAAATATCAGGTCTCGTGTTGTAGAGCTTAAATATCATGTCTTCAGTTTGACAGCTTAAATATTCTATTTCAGGTTCCAAATTGTCAAATGTCTAGTTTGAGAGCTTAAGTATCATGTATCTTATTACTGAAGTTAAATATCATGCCTAGAGTTTGAGAGCTTGAATATCATTTGTCTTGTTTTTTGTGGTTCAATATCTCAACATATAGGTCATATTATTTCTGATATGATTTTAATACAGGGTATTATTAAAGCAGTAATTAATTTCTCCCTCGTTAACTAACTAAACAATAATAAGCTAAATCTAACAACTATTCAAGGGTTATTGTGAGTGCAATAAAAAATATAAAGTTAATTATTCATATTTCATATCAAGTTCCTTACCAAAACAGCCGTCTAGGAAACAAATACGACAAAAATCAATTAAAAACATGCTTCTCATTAATATCAAATCACAAATTAATAATAGTATATAACATTTTCCATTAGTGTGACAAGAATACACAGTTAACTGGTTTCATTGGATTGTTCAACTTTGACCAGTTACAGCGAGCAAGAAATGAGTTGGCAGTGATGGTAGGTTATTTCACAGCACACATCATAAGCAGTATCTCTTATATCATTGTGTTGCAGATCAGAAAGCATTGTTCCCCAAAAACACATCTTAAAACATTCCAGAAAACAGTTCATTTCCATGCTGATCCGATAGCACAAGTTGCATTAGACTCAAATTGGTTTAAAAATTATAATTCATGCACTGTATGGTAATTATTGTTATTGTTGATATCATAAAGGGATCGTTTCTCACATAAAACTTAGAAAATTGAATCTGTGGATTTGACATGATTAAGAAAAATCTTTCCAAGAATTTGAACTATTATTACATGTCATACAAAGACAATTTTTTACTGCATATCTCAGAAAAGCCAAAATCCGAATTAAGCCTGTAGAGGAAACAATTCCTTTATGTATGTTATTCAACATGCCATTAAATTAAACAACATTTACCAATCAACAACAATCCACACTGTAATTATATCTTCATTAAATCACATAATTATTATTTTTAACTCATACACTCTATCTTACCTTTCGTAAATACAGAATTTAAAATATCTCTTAATTCATAAGCATCAATTTCCATATCATCTCCAGCTATTCTTCTAAAGGTACTCTTCAAGGCATCTTCTTGTTCCTGTTCTTCAGCACTTGGTGGTTCTTTGTCAGGCTACAAAATACAAACTGTCCATGTGAAAGATCAGGATTTATAATAATTTCTATACAATACAATGAAATAAGCCAACAGAAAGGTGTTATACTAAATCTATGATATAGAGTTTACAGTGTTTTCTATGTTAAGCTTGTGCTCATCTTCATGCCAATAAATATATATACAATAAATAGCAATTTGCCTCTAGATATGGTGCAAGTTTTATTACATTTTGGTTATGATATCATTTTCTATAAACATGACCGAATATTAATCCACAATATTACTAATAACATCAATATTGAGAAATATCGAATTTTCTAACATTTGTTATTGAAAGTTTGTTATAGTTAATGCATAACAAACTAATGGATTAATCAAAATAAAAATTTGTTATTTTTCAACAAGAAGTATTTTAACAGCTGGAGTATAATCAAGTGTTATTTTTTTTTATTTCAAATTTCAAATATTCTTTCAAGTATTTATTAAAAAAAATTTCAAATGATTTTTGCAAATATTTCAAGTATTTCTTTCAAAAAGTCAAAGAATTGTTCTAGAAGCAAGTTAAAATGTAATTTGTGCTAAATGTTACTGTTGTAACATTATAGGAGCAAGCTGCAAGACAATGATATATAATATAATAGCTAGCTTGCTAGACATAGACATAAAAGCATAAAATAATTGATTGATATGTATAACTGAATGAGAAAAATAAAATTATCATACTTGATATATTAAAATTTAAAAACTAAATTATGGTGTATTTAAAATAGAAAAACATGTTGCAAAAGAACATAAAGCATGCTTTGAATCATTTCTATCTCTTCACCAATATCTATTTAACAATCATGTTACAAAATGTTTTTTTCTACAATGTAAAAACTATTGCATACAACACCACACAATAATGTGAGCTTTATATTTTATTTACTTATGGAGTACCGAAAGGTTTTTTTTCAATAAAACTGCTGATAAGATAAAAATAATGTGGCAAAAGCTAAAAAAATGAAAACAAGAAACAAAAACTCTAATAAAATAAACAAAAAACCTCTTCATCCTCATTATCTCCATTTTCTTCAGGCTGATCAAAATCCTGTGCAATAAGCATTAGAATAAATAAACAATATCAACATGCAGGGAAAATAATACAGAATTCACTAACACCATGCAAAGATATCACAAATAGGGTGCAATAATTACAAAATGTACCAAATATACCCAAAGAGAAAGAAAATAACATTATTTTATTATTTTGGTAAAGATTGGAAATAAGTTGAATTTTTCAGAAAAGATATGCAAGAGTAATGTAAACTGCATATCATTCCTTTGTTTTAATGCACAAATGCTCACTTTCATTCACACTTCAATTGTAAAACGAAGTAAAGTAAAATTTTCAAACTCAATACAAACTACATCTAACTTACTCGACCTGCCTTTCCTGGCTAATATTGTGAAAAAAGAAAATGAGTGTGTTTTATATGTGTTTTTATTATTATATTGTGTTAGTAGTGATTTTAGTGATTTGACAACATTTATCTTATAGTTTATAAATATAAAAGAGATATCAGTTAAAGGGAGTTGAGATTATATTCAAAACTACAATTTCAAACTGCATTCATTTTAAAGAAATAAGATCGAAGGATAAAAAATGGCCTGTATCTTTCCTCAGATAGTCAGTGATAAGGCAAAAGTAGACACTTATTATTTTAAACAAAAATTACGAAGAAGAATATGAAAAGTTTTGAAATGAGAAAATGTAGAACTGTAGGCATTCAAAATATTAGGAGATAGCTAAAGTCAGACTTCCTAGTTTCATCTTAAGAAGTTCTCAAAGAGATAGTTCATGCAGTCAGTTTAGACTTTAAATTTGTCAGATTAATTCAGAAAGTATGGTCTTAAGTTATTAGTAGTGGTTCAGTCTTATTTCAGAGAGAACATGTTCACCAAAGAAGGCATCATTCTCAAGGTTTGAATAGATCATACCTGTGGTCTATAATAATGTGGCAGAGCTGACGCTACAGGTGCAACATGGGTAGGTTGAACAATATCGTTATGGAGCCACTGACCGTGATCATAACCATGTATTATCAATAGAAAATAGAAACAAGCTATACATATAGAAACAAGTTGAAAGAGAAATTTAATATCAATTTCAAGATATTTTAAAGAATATCAGAATAAAGTTTTACAAAGAGACTACAAAGATTTACAAGAAATTTTGTACACTACAGAGTACTACTATTTTAAAGAAGAATTAAAAAAATAGATATTTTGTTGTATATATCTTATCTATTGACAAACATTCATGCAAATTGAAAGTTAAATGCTTATCATGCAATATGTTATTTGATGTTTTTATTTATTGATTAATGGGTTGCTATGGAAACGGGTTTTTATTTAATATTCAAGGTCAAGTGATTTAAGATATTATGCTATAACTTCATTAGTATAATCTTAACTTCATCACATAAAATATAACTAGTTATCAAAACTATTGAAACCTGAAAAAACTCTTATATTCTGAAAGACAAACTTCAAATCAAGTTGGGCTGTAAATATGATGTGAGTTGTGTTTATTTTTTAAGCCAACAGAGCATTATTTTTTTATTAATTGCGGATCAACTTAAATGCCAATTGTCTAAGTCAGGTCAAATAATTCAGAAAGATCAAATAAAATTAAATCAAAATATGAACTCTTATTTTAACTCAATTTTAAGCAAATAAAGAAAATTAAGAGAAAATGATTTGTCTGTGTCATGTCAACAAAAATACATGAAAATCAAATAGGAAACACGAAAAAACAAAATCATAGCAGAAAAGAAGGGTGCAAACAGTGAAAGAGGTAATGATGTGGTCAAATCAGTGGTCAACAGTTCACAGCAAGTCATTGAATGGTAATGGTTGTGCAATTTGTGTTGTCACTCATTGGTCGTATACAACAAATGATCTTGTAATTTCCATTAAACGTGAAAAGTGTCATGCACAGCAATCAACCAATCGACAGACGACTTACTATTGGTTGAATAACTGGAACTGGTTCAGGTCTTCTTATACGCTAGATTTTTATTCAGGTGAAAAATGGTGTTAAAAAGAAAGAACAAAAGCTTGGAATGGTGATGAAATAACCATTGAAATAAGAGTGCATAATCCAGAATATATATCTACTTTCTATAAACAGAAAAGTGCAGCTTTTTCTTTCTTGTTTGGATGCTACTAGATCTACATTATTATTTTTTTCATATCCACCTACTCATTCATAGCAAATAATTATTCTAGATGACAATGGCCAATACACATGTGGTTTCTTTTCTAATAAGTTGAAGATATAGTATTCTTTGTAAGAAATACAACAATATTTTCAACTATAATTTTTTTCTGATTTCTAATGACTGATATGCAATACTGGTTGAAATTTATGCCATTTCTGAGGTTGTAGATGTTAATGTTACTGTACAGAAGAATATATACAACTATAAAATATATAGTCAGCCATAATATACATCATCATTCATATCAATCATACAAAAAACTTTCAACCTGTTAGCAAATTTAATCAACCTTTTTATTCCCAATTAATCAATATAATTAAATATATTTGTAGGTTGTGTAAATGATTAAAGGTTAAGATTTCAAAATTACCTTGCCAAAAACATTTTTATAAAAAGATTTCACCCAAATGAAAGAAAAATATAGAAATATAATAATAATCTTCGTACCTGTTCATCAGAATAAGACGTCTGTTCATCCATTTCCCTGAAAAAAAAATCATAGAATATCAAACCACTGCAAATGTATCCAAAATATTAACAGCATGCAAAGACAACTGACAAAACCAGTAGTCACCCGAAAGGTTATACTCAAATATAGCAACCTCAAAAAATTCATGACAGCTTTTTGTAGAGCAATTTCCTTGATTGGGACGACCAATTCTACTCAATGCCAAAAAACTAAACTAACATTTCATTCAAATTAGATCGGATCACAATAATTCAAGGGCAAGGATGCCTCTTCTTTATGAATTACAAAACATATACATTAACATACACCTATTGGTGAAATAGATCATTTTCAGTTGTCTCCTTTATACTTGAATTAAATATATAATCTACTTACCCTCCTTCAAACTGTTTCTCTGTGAAGATACGTAACAAGAAGTTTCCTTCTTCTTGAGGTTCGAAAGTTGATGGTACAATAACATATGATCCTGGTGGTAATTTATGACGTCCACACATCTCACGTAGGTTAATAAATGATGGAGATTTAGCACATGATGCATTGTATTTGAAGAAATTAACATCTAATGGTCCTGCAGATTGACCTTCCTTCAACTGAAAACAAACAGATTTCAATATTACTTCTTGCACTATAAAATTGTTAATATTGCTAGCAAATACTACAGTAACTTTACTCCAATAACTTAAGTCACGTAAATAGAATTGCCAGATTTGTCAAAAATATGTTTGTTGCTTTACTTTAGCAGTCTACTTCTGTTGCAGACAAATCATCTATTTCGCTCTTTATATTGCAAAGGATAACTTACATTATAGATGACATAACCAATAGTTAATAGATCTAATCCTTCCTTTCTTTTCTTTCTACGATCTTTTTGTAAGAGAGCCACAATCATGGTACAGTTATTGTCTTCATCATCCTCATCAGGATCAGTCAATGTTACACGGAATTGAGGATTTGTCCAGAAAGTATCTAAAAATTTTAACAATCAAAAGCTTTTCCAACTTAAAATTCATTTACACAAAAATACTATATTTATCTGAATGAAGGTGGAAATAGACAAGGAATGGTGTCCCGTGAAGTGTTCGTTGCAGGATTATCAATACAGTAGAAAATGGCAAAAACAAACGTGTGTATTCACCTTTGTATCAATTATCTAGTACAGGATACTATACTTTGTCTATTTACAGTTTGATTATTCAAAGATCCTGCATCAACTAGAATGAATGCACATTTTGTCTCAGAATTGATCAGAAAAACAGTTATTTAGTACAAATTCCCCTGATTATTAAAACCATAGTGGCTGATTTATTTTTCTATTTGTTTTAATTTGTAAACAATTACCTAAATAATTTCTACAGCCACCAGCATTGACTCTTCGACTCCAGCCACCATGTTCAGATATAGCACTAAAACATTTCTGTTCATCTTCCCCACCTTCTCCAACCATTGAATCAGGTCCCAAATTACAAATTTCTAATTTCTCAAAGTTACTAATAAAATCTTTAAATGACATCCTGAAAAAATGGTATTAGAGTTACTAAACAAACAATAATTAATAATATTAAAAAAATATATACCGGTATGGATAATTTACACTATTTGTGAGACCCTATTTCTAACAGGACACAAGTGGGTTTTTAATTCTTTGTTGGAAATATGAGTCAAATCCACAACTTTTAGCTCATTTAAAAAGAATAATACATCTTAATCAATAGAACTATTGGAAATTTTGTCAAATGTGTATACTGAAATTCTTATTCTGATAAGCCATTCGACAAGAGAACACATGCGAATTTGATAATGATTTAAGAGCAACTGGATCATTCATTCATTGTAATATTTAGAAATTTAATGAAATTTACCAGAATTCACCATCATCATTAAATGTTAATCCAATTTCTGTTCTAGCATCATCACCAATCAAGGACCATTCCTCAGATCTACATAATAAACACAGAAAAATAATCAATTGTAAGATACTTGAACATGCACAGATATATATTTTGTATTCACTTTTTGTCAAATACTAAGTCTTTTTTAGTAACGTCAAAAAATCCAATCTGTCAAAGGAAATGACAATTATTTATTCAGGTTTTATAACATTTCCATAACAAGACATATTTTGCTGTGAGCAATATCTCAGGTTTAACATCATAAATTCCTATGTGCCAAAGAAAACTTCCTAAATATTGAATAACTGGAGACATGTGTAGAAATATCATAAACAGAACATAGAAAAAAGCTCTGCATTTCCTCCATTGTTTATAAGTAATAAAGATGACAATTTGAAAATAAATAATCTTACGAATCACTCCAAGCTCCCTTCCATTCAGCTTCATTACCCCAGGGATTACGAACTCTCACCATTCCTATTTTACCAGATGTTCTTGGGGTCTCAATATCAATCTAAAAGTAACAAAGTTATAAACTCTAAATTTTAATTGAAGAGGGCATTAGAACAGCAGAAAATTTTTAATATCTGAGCTAGTTTTACTACAGCTTGTAAAATATTTCTAACAAAGTTATTTAATAAGAAAATGTGATTCTCACCATTTTAACTGAGGTAACACTGTATGCATGACCCATAATCAGTCCATTAGCCAATTCAGCTTCCAGTTGGTTGGGGTCAGCCTGAAAATAACAACAATAGAATCAGAATATCAGTTTGACCAAACATCAGGTAAAATTCTCTAGTCAAAACATCTATGCTTTCTTTACTCATGTACAGTCAACTAGAACAACAAGACAAGATTTTCTCATACATTCTCATTAAGCTCCAACCTATTCTAGGTCCATTGTTAACCTTTGTTAAAACTGGTTCAGGACTTACATCAATAGAACAACCCATTAGAGAATTTCTCTCTACAGCCTTCAACATGATTGTTAACAAATTTCCAGGTGCTTTACGTAAATCAAACATTTCAGTAACACCACCAGTGAAATCTTCCATAGCTTCAGATGTACTTCCTCCTTTTAGAGATTCATATGATCCACTTAACCTGTAATTTTAACATAGAGATTAGGGTTTATTTTGTTGATGGGAAGCGATCATCATCATCACTGAGAGTCACAAATTAAGTGAAAATGCCAAGGCTTTATAAATCATTTCACATCATATGGTATTGTGTTTTATAGAAGATACTCTCCTAGAGAAACACTGGCCAAGGACATACATCTTTTACATATCTGTAAATGTAGGCTTCATAACATCACTATTTAAAGTATTGTAAATTAAAAACGAGCTAACAAAATGGATCACTTACTTGGCATAAGCCTTTTCCAGAAGAGCACTCCAGAACTCATTCTTTTCTGTTGAATGCATAAAAACAAGCTGTCCATTATAAGTTGGTAATCTGTCATCCACAACCACTTCAACCCATTCTCCTTGATGCCAGAAGTTAAATTTAAACAGTCCACAGTATTCATCAGAGAAATTTTGTTCCGGTGATACCACTTTAGCAAATAATTTCTCATTGCATGTCAGGGAGGCCACAGCAGCCAACAACCAACAATCACCTGGAAAATATATTGAAATTGTGAAAAATAAAAATTTATTATAAAGGATTGCCTTATATAGGTCTCTTTTACTAATTTACCATCATACATTCTTAGGTATTGTCTTCCAATATATATAACAATAAATATCATCATTTATATCAGTTAGGATGCTATCTGTCACAGAGTCTTATCAAATACACACCACATTAACTATTCCACAGGAGTATACTATTATGATTTTATCAGATTAAGATATGCATAAGCTTAAAAAAAATTCAGTATTTATTTTCTCAGATCCATGAAAGAAGGTAAATTAAACTGAAAAACTTTGTATTCGGCTATGCTTTCAGCACTCATGGAGTTTTTAGTCAAAATTCAATGACAGGAAAATACAGAAAATGGGAAACTGAACATCACAAGCAAGCTAGCTTTGACATTGGCGTAATATTAGGAAATGATTTTCTCTATGTGCTTTGACCTTTTGATCATCATTGTATATCTATTTTAAATTGTTGATATATAAGTTCAAGTTCAATATGATGGTAAATTTGACTTGTTAACTATAATAAAGTTCTACATCAATAACTGTAAAGTAGGACAACTATATTGATCTATAAATAGTTTCTCAATGAATCATTCTACAAGCTGAAACTAACTTTAACCTTGACTCAATGTAAGAATTGAGTCCTGGGCTATCTATTTGATGTCATGACTTTGTGACACTCTGGGCATGCTATCCCAGAGTTCGATTTCGGCATTTATCACAATAGTTCTATTCTAAATCTGGTTTATATGAAATGAAATGAATGGAGTTTTACGTCCTACTTTTCTCCACCATGTGAGCTAATAAAGATGTGCAACGCCATGCAAGGTGCAATGAGGGAAATTTTGCCAGAACAGCTGCTCTTTATAATTTTCCAATTGTCTAGGGATCTTTAACATGCTCAGCTTGTCCTATTCCAACAGCTAGACTCTTTTTCCATGTCAGCCCCTCTTACCTCCATCACTGGCAGGAGGAAACAGGGTTGAAAAATCCGAAGGTATTACCTCAACATATGCCGGGATTGAACCCTGGACGCAACAAGCGTCTAACTCACTGAGTCACCATGGCTGCATATATCTGGTTTAAGCTGCGAATAGATGAGGTACGGAATAATCAATACAAACGAAAATAGAAGAAGTGAACACATGAGGTACATGTCCTGACACAGTGCGGATAACATTCGTTTCCTCTATTTTCTACTATATCAATAATCCACACCAGACACTGTACCTATTCGCACCTTAAGGCTGCCCTAATCAGTGATACAGATCAAGAGGGATCAAACATTAGAGGCATTGTATTTTTTCTCTAAATGCTTTGTATGATATTAGTTGTTTTCCATAGTCCAATATGGTTAATAGGACATAATGCTGATAGTTAATGCATTTAAAATCTGGAAAGTCAGATTTGGGTAGAAGTTCATGTGAATTAATTTCATTTTTTAAAAGATTCATAAGACAAACTTGTTTAAGAACTGAAGATAAATTCTAGATTATAAATATTAGTCAATTTTCTGTATAGATTCATTTTAATTATACGTGTACCATTATGTAATATCATTAGCTCCTTTTTTTAAGCCGTTTCTTATCAAAATCTTCTTAAGGTAATTGGCAAGAGAAAATGATTTAAGAGAAGAATACATGATAAGATAATAGAGAATGCATAGAATGTCTATTATATTTAGTTTGAAGCTGTATTCCATTAAGCCACTGTCACCGTTTAAAGGTTTCAGTTTCATCAGAAAGGGGCAGAGGAAAGCACATGGAGTTTAGGTCATGATGCAACTGTTTTGTAAAAGAAGACCATGAAGTGCATCATATGAAAAAGTAAATTTAAAACAACACAGTCATCATTTTATATTATATAATATACCTTCAAACTTTCACAGAGTAGGTATAGATTGACTAGATTTCCTAAGTCCTAGGTTTCTTTAGGTACAATAGAATATTATACAGAATGTCATGGTCAAGCTCATATTAATACAATATATTTGATAGATAATACAATCGCCTAGAGCATTGAATACAACATCAGAATATCAATATGTTATTTAGGTTGTTTGGTATTTCAATGTGAATAATATTTATTATGGCTATGAAATTCATACATTGACCTTGAGAACTGGATAACTGGCCATTATTCAAATGAGAATGCCTAGTTATGAATATTGATTAATTAATCTAATGATAGTGCTAGTCATGTGACCTACATTGATAAACAACATGATTTGTTTGTATTGATTGATCGTATTAGTAGTAACCTCTAGAAATTGCTGATAAGGACATTTTATGTGCAAATTTTCAACAGTTATACAGGCAATATGTTTTATCTAAATGTTTCACTCCTAACATGTTGTATTATTCATAGAAAAAAGATATGTAAATGATATGTAAATTTATAACGCAGGTAAAAATAATACGCAGAATTTAAATTTCTTGAAAAAAGTTGTGATAATCTGATTTTAATTAGAACTATATATCTATAACATGATCAATGTCAAATACAAGGGAATCTAAGCCTAAATCGTTTTTGAATAGAGACTATTTAAGATTAAATGACTAGGAAATATTTGATCTTTCATTTTTCATATTAATGCATGAGAACGGTGCATCCCCAAATATGTCAAGATTAAGAAATATGAAACTTGTCCATGATATCATTGATAAACATAATGCAATACAATCCCTTATGGAAATTGACTATTATTGAAAATGAAAGGCTGAATTAATAGCAGTTGACAGTCTTGTTGGAGAGGTTCTCTTACTAGAATATATAGTTCATTTTAAATTGAAACATAATTGGTCAAATTGCAGTAGGAAACCAAAAAACTTTAATTTGACTGAATCCCACTGTAATCATTATGATGCATAAAACTAAACTTTAATTTAACCTCATATGACAAACCACAAAGCAATGTAAATAAAATGTTAATTTAATATTTTCAACATCTGGTATGAGTAAACCGTCTGAAATAGCTTAAGGACCATGCTGACATTTTTAATATTTCTAAACATAGCCTATAAGAGTTTTCTAACTATATATAATCTTAGGCCACAAGAGTAACATCTAGAACAGAACTGCTTGTTTTTTTTTCCAGACGCAAAATTAGGAAGAATTAATAAGATGAAGCAACCATAGATTTTTAATTCTCATGTAAATCTTTAAATAAAATCCTTCTTGACCGACAACATAGATTAATAAATTTAAAATAAATTCTCTTTATTTCTTGGCTTGTTGTATTGCTCTAGTTATTGCAAATAGGTCCGAATGACTTATATATAGCATAATTTTCAGTAACTCTGTATCAAAGTGTTTATTTATTAATAAGAGAATTGTTAATTAACTTTGTTTGCCAAGTCAATTAAGCTTAAGTACGCATTGCTACTAAACATATCACTCATTATTTCTATAAGAACTAGAAACACTTACCTAATTCACCCTGTCGGACATCAAATCTACTGGCACCTTCAGTAATCCATTGTGGGTCATCACAGATTTCCTGAAAGTATCAAAAATTAAATATAAGAAAGTGTTTCATGGAGCAGGTAGTGAAGAGAGAAAAGGTTTGATTGTTTTCTCAAAGTTATTTTTTCTGCAAATATTATTCATATATATCTGTGTAACTATTCCAATTTGGATGATTGGCTGATGTTTTATTAAGAGCATACATTCCAGAACCAAGAGATATCTTAATAACAATTTCTAAAAATCTTATACACTGGCGTCTTATCAAAGAAATGAAATCAAAGCTTCAGTGAAAATATATGATTTAATTGTAAAATTTTTTCAGATAAGAATTTTCAAGGGTAATTTCTTGCAGTGAGAAGTTGTTTTTGATTCAAATGAAGAATAATCAAAGCATGTATTTCTAATAATAAATGAAATGTATTCCAAATATTATTTTGAATTTTGTCAAATTCAGAAAATAGTTTGAATAACTATAGTACATAGTAATATGATTGAAGATACTAAAGTGCATATAGTTCTAATGATGAGGCTACATGGTATCCAAATCTTTACCCGTCTTATATATATATATATATCTTATCTGATAGTAAAACTGTTAGGTTTTTGTTCTATTTATTTACCTAACATTTGACTTCCTCCTACTGAAGAACAAATAAGATATTATAATGTGGGTGATAGTACATTATAAAATAGTTGAAAGTAGGACATATTTTAACTTTTTATATCAAGTGAGAAGGAGTATGACTTGGCTATACAATACATACACCTTCAGTATTTACAAATACATAGAATTCCTAGATTAAAATTATATTTTACAACTTTTTTTATCAATAACTTTATAGTCTGTTTTGATCATTCAAAGGCCTCGTTCAATTAGCACAATATGAGGACAAGCTTATCTCAATCTCTAGCTCAAGTTTTCTGTGTTTATGTTAAACAGACAAACTTGGCAACCATTGTTTTATTAACTTTTATGCCAAGTGAGTTATAATTTCTAAAATCTTACAATATTTTCAGCAGTTTATAGCTAGTAACTTTTTTGAAATTTAACCATCATATACACATATCTTATCATCTATGTGTATTTTTGATAAGAGACACATTCATAAAGTTTCATATTTCAAACCCTGAAATTTAATCATCAATATTGGAATAGTCTTTTATCTTAGATTTCATTATGTTTATAAATGGTATGATTTGTTTATGGTGGTTTACAGGATTTATATTGATATAAGAATACAATTACACTGAAATGTAAAGAGTCATAAACCTTGTAGATTTATCTTGGCAACCAGATTATTCTAATATTATCAGACCTAATAGCCTGACTAATACTTCAATCATACTTCTTCAAGCTGACTTAATTTGAAAAATCTCTGCTGATTTAATCCAATCCTTACAACCCAGAGTTGTCAAGAGATGGAGTAGACCTTAATCATTTTATTGACAAGAAATATTCTCATGCATGCAGACACAACTTCCATAAAAAGTGACAGTTTATGTCTGGCTCTAAACGTGCTGATATCCCCTCCATATGTCAGGTCCAAGGAACAGTTGGACCAATTTCTGATTAAAAATCTAAATTTTTAGGTCATCCTAAGGGGTAGTAGCAGATGTCTACAGATCTTTTGAATTCCTGATGTAGTGCATTCTTCCGGTCTTGGAAGTAAACAGGAAGATGATTTCAACAGGCAGAATAACACATACACCATCATTTCATCAAAAGCCATTCATCTTTGTTTTGGCAAATAAAAATGGCCACCTTGTGTTCAATGTCTAAACTCTACAACATAGTTCTGGCTTATATTTCAGTCAAATAGTTCTACAGAGAGAAACTTGCTGGAATGGTGCCAATTATGAAGGCAATCAAAGTGTGTTGAGCTATATTAAACCTTGAAATACTTTACCAGTATTGTAGACTTCCAGAAAATAGACTACATTTTTTTACTTATTGGTGCAAGAACTTTCATGATATTCAAAAAAGTTCCTCCCATTTATACAGCAAGAATATCCTCTGTCAGATGAAATGAAAGAGTGACAGAAGTTTTTTGATTTAAGTGGCAAATTTACTGAATTTCTAGTTCCATTGCTCTATCTTCAAAATTCAGGTCAAAACATGTAGTCTAATTTATAGAAGGGGGCTTTCATTTGAACAAAATAAATGAACTATATCTGGCTTAATATAACATTACATTTCAGTCATCTATTCTTTGCAACAGATAAGAATGATCTATTCAATAATCAATATTGATTAGTCAGCATTTTGCACAATTTGCTTGTCAGCCATTTGTTGATAAATGAGTCATGTTCCTTGGTAGTATCAATATATTTATTGCAGTGCAACAGATAAGAATGATCTATTCAATAATCAATATTGATTAGTCAGCATTTTGCACAATTTGCTTGTCAGCCATTTGTTGATAAATGAGTCATGATGTCAAAAGAATTAATGTTCCTTGGTAGTATCAATATATTTATTGCAGTTTTCAGTTCAGAGGTAAGAGATGCAACAAGACACAATCTATGACATGGTGAATTTGAAATTACATATTCACGACTAGATTTTGAATTCCCATCGCCCTAATGATATTGTTATTAATCCTAGCTACTATATATCAACAGGTAAATAAGAAATTTTAGGAAAAGTATGATTTAAAATCCTATTGAGATTAAGATTAACAATTGGATATTAACAGATTATTTGTGAATAAAACCTTGTACTCAATGACCAATCATTACACTCAACAAGTATAGGTTTATTTGATTAGAAGTAAAAAGGTAAACAATGTCATTTGTCATGATATATATGGTCTATACTTAATTTACTGTCACTACCTGAATCAGCTCATTTCAACATGGTCATCACCGGCCAGTATACAGTCTTAATATCAATACCTGTATCTGTATTAATTTAAAGGCACAGGATCATCATTCATTTGTCCAATAGTACTGTAGTATCAAAAACGAGAATATTTAAGCTAAGCTAATCAGTATTTATAATGTCAAATCCATGTTTAGATGAATTACTGGCGTTTGAATGTTAAAATGGCGACTCGTCATTTCTTGAGCCATATATAGAAAAGACATACGTGTATATAGAAATAGAAAATGAAATTCCCAGTTTGAGGTATTTTTGAAGGAATTGTGTGATTTTTTTTACATTTCTAGTACTTCTATGAATATTCAAGACCCAAATCAACTCCCTAAAATGGTGAATCTGTTCCTTTAACACAGGCAAGTATCAATGTAGTGATCTGGTCAAAGATTAAAGGTCCGATTCCAAACCTTTTGCAATCCAAGATATTCTCCTAACCTTACTGTATTAAATATGCATCAGATTCAAAATATGAACGAAAAATAATGGTTGCTGACAGCCTTTTTACAAAAAAAGTAAATTGTTGTCCTGTTTTCTAAAAATATTCTATTTCAATGCTTATCATAAATATATATATACTCATTATAATATACTAGATCAATAACATTCAATTAATGTTAAAACCTCATGATTGTACCAGAATAAATTATATTTTAATTTGAATATTCATATTGACTTATCAAAACAACTGCATTATGGTCTTTACAGATTAATCATTGGACCAAACCTGGAACAGATCACACTTATTTTTCAAATTCCAGCCAAGAAAACAATTTCTACCTGTTAAAATTAAGTGAGAATAAAAAATATGCCAGAAGTAATTCAGTTTCTGCTTTAATATCTCTAGCTCTATGAACTAAGTTCATAATATTACTTTAGTCATCTCTTTTATCCATTTATTCTATGGGTTGGATAAGGATGTGTTGTTTGTATATTATGATGATGTTTTACTTTTTGCTCTGTCTTAATGCAAGCCTCTAAGTGCATCATCTTGATGTTTGTATCTATCATAATGAGAATAACATGGGTAAGTTAGAGAACAATAATTCCACATTATAGCTATTTATCAGATTGTGTTACATAAATAGTACCAGAACCAGTACTTGGCACCAGTTTCAGCCATCTTAATGATCTGCTGGCTGACTAAGGACTTTTTCTCTATAACAACAACATAAAAACTTACATGAGGTCTTAACCAATCAAATCTTCTAGTAGGTTGACTAAAATATATATTAGAATCAATAGCTAGAAATTCACTATCCTCAAATAATGCTCCTCGTTTCAGACATTCAGCTTTAATTTCAGCATAACTTTGATGGTAGACTTGACTAAAAGGATCTTTTCTTGAGCTGTTACATGATCTACCACCTATTCCTTTATCTTTATTAGAATAGGGATCTGGAGTACGAATAGTGTAAGGTTTTCTTGCTGGGGGCTTGGGTTTTCCTCCTCCTCCGCCTGAAGAAAATCTAGTTCCGAAACCACTTCCAAATCCACCCATACCTCCAAATGAGTTATCTCCATCTGAGGACCAATCTCCACTTCTATTGATTACAATATGGCTACCTCCTCCTCCTCCTGAACTGGATCCAAATCCTGTATCTCTCAAGAAATCATCAAAATTACTTCCAAATGAGTGAGATCCTCCCCCGAAAGCAGATGGTAAATTAACAGAGAACATTTTGATAATTTGTTACAATGTTCCTGTTTATTTTTTGTTCTGTTCCTCCACAAAACAAAAAATTAAATCCAAAACACAAAGTTTAAAATGTTTCAAAACTGGAATCTTTTCAGCAGAAAAAAACCAATAACCTCCACACCTTGGTGAAACTAAAATCAAGTACCATCCAACTTGGCTAAAAATACCTCTACACTGTTGAAATTAGTAGAGAAAAGTGAACTTTCACCCTGGCCTTGTCAGATATATAGACAATATCAATAAGCACCTGGTATCCTAGTAGAAATGGAATTCACACCTTATCTACACACCAGGGTTGGAGAGTTTCACTCACTATCACTGGCTAACGTTGAACAGAAGGTTGCTATAACAGGAAAGGAAGGTCGAAATACTATGATAATACCTCTTATCAGATGTTTAACAACTTCAAGAATGGCAGATTCATTGGCAGCAAAATGGCTGAAAGTTATTAACCAATAGATGAATAGAAGAGGTAAGATGATGGGTAATGATAATTAATAAAGTGTTATAATACAGTCGCAGCAGACAGCAATGGAATGCATTCCTCCATGAAGTTATAATATTAATAATAAACAGCTGTTACAGTAATATCCTATTACCTACATTTATTACAAATAGGTAAAGTCAATTTTATTTATCTTGTTTGTCAAAAGAATAATATACATATATTGTACAACTTGTAAATTATTGAAATATGATATCTTCTTCATTCATAGTTGCAATATTAAAGAATGTAATGGAGAATGTTTGCACTGCTACAAACAGTTTATTACTGACTTTCAATGATTTTAAATGTTTAACACAGACCAACAGCTTAGATCATTGCAGATGGTTAACATTCACTTATTGGCCTGATATTCTAGATTATTGTGGTGTAGACTATAAAGAACATGACCTAGGTATGATGAATTCACTTGATCAATACTTATGTTTACAATCATCAAAATTTCAAATGCTTCTGCCACTTTTTCAAACAATAGTGTCTAGTGAGTTTGCACTCACAGTCTTTATTTGGTAAAAAGTTTAATGTTGTGCCAAACAAATGAAAAAGAAAATGGTTTTTTGGAGAAAAACAAGTCATGATTACTGCAGTATTTTCATTAAACGAGTTTGAATATCTTGTTTTAGTGTTCAGTTTCAGGAAAATATCTGCAGTAGAATTAAGTATTTTAATCATGCCAAAGCTGATTCAGCACTATTCACAAAACAAGTTATATGGTCATAAACATTGAATCAGAGTAGCTATCAGAGGAAACCAGGTTTATTGAGATTCTATTGATGCTCTGTTGCTAGCTTTAATAACCCAGGGAAAGTAATTCAACATTAACAGCTACCTTCTTTTATCTTCTGCCAGCAATTGCGAAGTCAAGGTCAATTACATATGGCCAATTCAAAGTGACTACATGATATACTTTGAACTAATTCAATCAAAATCATAATGAAGAGTTGAGTATAGGGCTAAAGGTAAAAATTGAACTGTTTTGGAGAAAGTTACAACTTTATGAGGTTTATAAAACAAGGATTCAATCAATGCAAAAACAAAAGTTACTTCACAATAATTGTATCACGAATACGGGTTTGTTTATAAGCATGCAACATTTTGTAAGATAAAGACACATTCTTTCCAAATAAATATTCCAAAGTAAGGTTTCATTTTCTCTTGCCTTCAATTCTTTAACAAAAATCTTACTAAATTCTGTACTGTACATATTCATGAAAATATGTAATGGCACGCTGCTTTCGTTTTGTTTATGCACATACAACATAATGAGTAATTTGATTTGATTGGCTGAGATTTCCTGGAAAGACATCAGGGCCAATTTTGATTGGACCATATTTAGATACGGATAGTTTCTCACTTGTATTACTACGGTCTCAATGAGGACAGGGTTTGGATACAATGCTTCACAATATTAATTACAATTGGTCATTGAGAGACAAGATTTTGTCATAATTCAAAACCTCCATGAAAATTAATAATTTACTTATATCCAATAACAACCCAAAGACATGTTCTATAATGTATTCAAAGAGAAATCTTTTATTTTCTAACCTGACAGTCACATACCTAAAGGGAAGTCATGCATAATATTGTCTTTGTAATAATGGAAGAAAACAATATGACTCAAAAGGACAAAAAAAGAGTGTACCTGAATTGAGGTCATTTAAAAGGGTTTAAAGTAAATCTAACATGGATAAAATGTTCAATACCCCCAATGGACCCATTCTCACACATAATATTTTCCTTCGTTTGAGAAAGGTACATTATTAAGCTTGTTTATGTCTAACACTGTTCACAAAATGAAATCCACCTACAGGCCTAGATATGTTTGTCTTCTATCAGTCATTTATATTTCTAGCCTCTGGCTACAAATATATAAGTTATATATTTATCTTTGATCACAGATATATTAAGTCTGGAAAGTTTTCATACATAAAAATCATTCAAAATAATAGTCAATATAAAAGGGATATAAAATTCATAAGGGTCAAGTGAAGTCCCTCTCCAAGCTTCACTACTTTACTTTGTCACACTGAATGTCAATAGAACTATTAAATATTGTCTCTTTTATTTTATGAAGGGGTGCACGAACTTTGTCAGAATGTTATGGTGTTTACTTGTGAATTCATGAAAGAGATTTTGCATAGTGGCATATATCAATACTTCAAAGCCTGGAATATGTTTATGATACAGTAGCACATGAATTTTGCTGGTTGACTAACCAAAGAGCAGATCTTAGTAAAGTAATAATTGAAATTTCAAACAAAACTAAGCCGTTCTCAAAACTTTCCTTAATGTTTGTGACTTTAACAAGTTTGTATTTGTCAAGGGGATCCAAATTAGTACTCTTTAGTATTATGTAGTATATTATGTAAGTAAATGTAATAATTGAGGTATATAATACTATGATAATTTGTCTTAAACCATACTAGGTGAGAAAACAGTGATATTACATAATTATACTTATCACATACAACTGTTTAAGTTATGTAATAAGCAATAATAACTAATATCTAGGTATATTTCTTTGTAATATTTTGCACTTATCAAATAAAAAGTAGTCAACCATATTTTTCGCAAATACTTTCAGGATAAGTTTAATTACAAATAATATAAATTGTTTAAACATTCTGATTGTATCTATAAAAAAAACTATTTATATTTTCCTAACTATCAAAACACAGCAAAACTGAAGATTGGGTATATAAAAATCATTGTTCCATTAAAACATTGAAAAACTAATGAGTTTAGATACTTACAACCCTCTTATAATGAAATGTCTATTAATGATTACCTCCATTTCAGAAACATTAATTTTTCAATTTGCTTAATTTGCAAATAATAACATAGCTTTTATATTTATATATGTGAGGCAATGATTCTACTAATAGTGTAAATCTTCAACAGCAGAAAGCCTTCTCTAAGGGATTTGTTTTGAATTTTTAGTGATCTCAAGGTCGCAGATGTACTATTGACATTATTGTATCATTTTCAGATATGTGTTTTGATATTTTCACATAACTTTACAAGGTTCATTTTATGCAATTTCAACTATGGTTTGTCTATGAAAATATTCAAATAATCATCCTGATAAATTTTCATAATTCATTTAAAACACCATAACAACTTTCTGTTTGAGCTATTGATGGGAAATATGAGAAAAGGAAACAAGGAAAATGCACCTTTACTCTATGAAAATAAACTTAATTTTATAAAATGATCATTTGACTGAGCTGTTAACCTGAATATTCAGTGAGCTGGAACTTTCATAACACTAACTACTCTGATAACTATCAATACAACTTTTATATCATAGATCAATGAATATTCAAAATATTACTTGACAATATTGACAAGACAAAATCCTTGTCAAATTAATGAGCTCTTTTATATATATCTCTTGAAAAGTTTTATCTGATCTTTCAATGATTATATTTTAAGACAAATATGGTTTATTCTGAAATATAAGAGGTGACAATAAAGGTCATCTCATGTGTTCATAGTTGGGTGACTTGAATTTTAATGGTTATGTCCCTATTAAAGGAAATATGTTTCATTCCACATAAAACATTAATTTCTCTATCAACTTAATTTGTATGGTAATTATGAGTAACTGTGTGAAGGACACATTAGACAAATCAGACTATTATCCTCTCAACTTTTATTGTTTATTTTATAAGTGCAGTATAAGCATTTAATTCACATTGTTTTGAACAATGATAATATATTGATTGTAAAAGACATGGAGGGCTAGTGTCTGCTTTAACAAGCATATCAATTTAGCAATGCAATTAGCTTCTATTTAGAGATAAGTGATTGTAGTGTGTGTATCTCATCATTTTTTGCACCAAATAGCACCATTTATATCTTATGCTAATATGCTAAAAAAATTAACCTACCAGTATCAAATAAAGTCTTAACAATATAATTAGACTGACCTAATCTAGAACTAGTACAAGAACTTGAGAACTACTAATATATGAAAAAATTCACCTACATCATGTGTTTTTATTTACCACTAAATCATACTAATACTATATACTATACTGATTGATGATTAACCTAATTAAAAGTTCTGGTGTAATTTCTTACAGAAATTCAACAACCTTTTGCAAGCTTGTTTATATGTGGCAAAAAGCTAAATAGCTTCTTTTTGCACCATTACAATTTTTATTTTGATCTCAAAAGGTTTCCTTCGGTAGTTCGGGATAGACTTAATCAGATTATGATGTCACTATCACAAATAACATTTGCTTGCATAGTAAAAGACAATGATCTGGTCAAATTTCTCATAATTACTATTACTGGAAAGCCTGGCTGGAAATCGATATTGTGCTGATGCAAGATTTGAGGGACCTCAATACACAATAAATATGATACAAAATCTCTTGAAATATTAAAATGTTTCTGCCTATTTTAAAAATAAGTTTAAACAAGATAGTATGCTATTTGAGGTGTGAATATTTTGATTAGGTAATAACCACACCTCCACACTGAATCATTCAGTGTTGTTATCTTGATAATAAATACTTATTATGTCCTGTATAATGTTACACAGTGTGTTAATAATATGACACAGTGTTGTACTTTTAACTACTTAAAAAATTATATATTATGTGTGTATTCTCTGAGTATAGAGAGGCTGTATACCCCCCATTATAAAAAATAAATGTTTCTGATGAGTCTTGAGGCTGATGCATGACCCGTTGGTTGTGGAATAAGTAGGTTACTTACCCCAGGGCGTAACCATTCAAAAGATCTGGGTGGACTGCGACTGAAAAATATGGACTCGTCTTCTGCAAGAAATTCTGGATCTTCAAACAAAATTCCTTCTTCAAGACATCTCTTCTTGGTATCATCATAACTTTGGTTAACTACACCAGCAAAAGGATTGCTCCGAGCTGCTTTGGAGGGTCTTCCGCCTATGCTCTTTCTGCCACTTCCAAAGGCACCCTTGCTACCAAATCCAGTGAACTTGAAAGCATCTCCTCCACCAATCTTAAAACCCATAAATTTGGATCCAAATCCTAAGTTAAAGGTTCCATCAGAGCCAAACCCAATGTTGGGACCAGTGGAACTGCCAAACGTGTGAAGTTTGGATGAATGAGATTGTTGTATGCTGTCATCCCCGTCTCCAGAAGAATAGGTTTTAGTTTCACTTCTTGCATCATTGATTCCATCAGAAACAAATGACTTCACTGTCTTAGTTGCCTTAGAAAAGAAATTCATGATGAATTTCGGGTGCACTGATCCCAAATACCTGAGTTAAATGTGTTTAGTTGTAAATGGTGGTGGATATCAGTGATATAAGCCGGGTCGTTCCACGCCTACAACTCAATAATACACATTCCTATGTCAACCTTTTCATTATGAACCTGTACTGTCAATTAGTCTCGATCATAATTCATGTCCAAACAATTTTACATAAAAAATACGTCTGGTAAATCACGATACACTTCACAGGATTAGTCCATTGTATAGCCAGGGGTGTGAATTATGGTCGGTCAGAACTGACCCGTCCAGTTGACAATTATTCAAGAATGGCGTGAATATAATTAGCCTACTTATCATTAACATTCTTAATGACATCATATTATACTAAAGACTGTGTAAATGCTCGAGATCAAAACTTGTATTATGATAGTCAGGTGACCTACTAATTCTCATAATAATCTCAATAAATTATGGGAAAAGATTTGTCTTAGGATTACTTACAATATAAGCCTTTAGATTTTACAAATGTTATGTTGTTGGGGGATCATTTACCTGAATATGTATATAACATTAACGGCGTCAATATCATGCAGGTCAAAATGCGAAAAACAAGATCGACCTCTCTATCTTTGTTGTAGTAAAAAGGTATAGGCAAAACAGAGTTGTCTCCCATCCATTGATAATGACTATTTTCGTTAGGGCTATACCGTCTACGTATTGAAAACTAGCCACATAATGTTCAAGAAAACATGAGATTTTATACACTGTGGTAAGTGATAGAGATGACATATTCACAGGTTTATAATTTATATGTGAAAACAGTTTTGTGTGCACATGATTTATGATTTAAACATGAGAAGACTTCCACATCCCGACATAACCTATACCTAATCCACACACTAAGATCGGACAAAACATGACCGATATTTCATCAAAACATTTTGGTAAAGAGATATTAATATATCAGCAGCACTGAATAGTATAATTACAAAAGAATGTACCAAATTCAATAACATACTAAGAAATAGAATTGACAACAGAATCTACCAACATATAACCCTGTTCTAATACTCACAACTCTGTCAAATGTGTTCAAGACAACTTCTTGATACAGCATATCACAGAGACTACCAGATTTCGACTGTCAGATCAACCATCAACTCTAGATCTACAGTTTTAACCCAAGAAGAGAACCTAATTACCAACCAGACCATACTACCACCCTATTCGAAGCCGCCCAAAACTACGAAAGACACAGGATGTCCAGAAACCAAGACAGCAAGGTCCAACAACATGCCCCCAAAGATTATGAAAAGAAAATTGCTAAGGACATCAAAGATAATCCAAAAGGATTCTGGACGTATGTAGGCTCCAAAAACCCAATCAAGAACCTAATAACAGAAGATGGTAGAACCATAGCAGAGAACCTTGATAAAGCCATAGAGTTCAACCCCTTCTTCCCTTCTTTGGTAGAGTTTTACAAAGGAAGATATCAACAGCATACCGAATATTTACACGTCCCAGACTGCCCAATTAGAGTGGATTGACATTACAGAGAGTATAACCAACAAATTTGATAAACTCAACCCAAACAAGACAGTGTGCTTGGACCTATTTTGTTTCTGGTCTACGTCAATGACATATGCCAAGTGGTGTTAAATCCATGATTGTGTTATTTGCAGATTACACTAACCTTGTGTACCAGAATAGAAGACAGAAACAGAATCCAGCAGGACCCCAATAACTTTATGGAATGGTCAAACAATTGGCAGATCAGTATATGGTCAAAAAGTTCGTCATACCATCCAAATTATGTGTTCTGGTTTTTTCTAGCTTCTTCAAAAACTTTCCAAATCGAATGCAAATGTATACTTATTATAAGAGATTCGATGGGACATCCATTTCAACCTTTTGTACCTTTCAGTTTCTTTTACTCGTTTACCAGAAAAACAGATAGTCTTATTATTATGCTCATTACATACCCAACATATATGTAGAATTTTCCTGAGGAATACACAGAAATTGTAAGTTGTAACCTGGGAGACATCCTTCAAGAATGACTATTATAGTCTTGATTACAGATGCTTTAATTTAATAATCTTTGGGCTGGATACAGATTATATTATACGACAGGCTTGGATTCACTCTTTCTTCAAGACACAGTGCATTATATTCAATAGATTTTATACAAATTGATTATTGCAATGGTCAAAGCACTATAAGATTACAGTAGAGTATTATACCTTTACAGAAGGACAAGCTGTTGTCGGCAGATCGAAATACAACATTTCTGAAGCATTTCATTGGCCATTATCACACATGAATTATCAATTTACCACAAAATCTTTACAAAAATACCAGAAAATAATTTCTTAACAAATCAATTTTGACTTGGAGACTTGATACGTGTTCAATTTTAATGGTGGAATCAAGCTAAAAAAAAAAAACTGGTTAGTGAACTTTTGCGGTTGTTTTTGTTTGCAGTAATATTTTCATAAGATGGCAATTACAAGACCTTACGTATTAATATACCATCTATTTATTCTATTGAATATACTTCCATTTTCTTGTGGTTTTGGATATGATTTTACATTTGAACTTGAAGACAATGCCAAGACGTGTTTTTCTGAAATATACGATGAATCTGAGCTGATTATATTTGAATATAGGGTGATTCGAGGAGGAAAAATGGACGTTGATGCTAAAGTTGTGTCTCCAAATGGTAAAATTCTGTATAAACAAAAACAAAGGCAAGCAGACACGTATGAATTGGAGCCACAAAATGGAGAATTTAAATTTTGCTTCAGTAACGAGTTTTCCACCATTAGTCATAAAGTAGTGTTTTTCAGTATCAGACCTAAAAATGTGAAATCTCTGTCTGGCCAATTAGGAATTAAAATTCCAACAGTCAAGTCTGCAACAGAAACCTCCTTCGATACTATTAATGAATATATGAACACAGTTTACGATTTCCAAAGAGTGTATCGACTGAAAGAAGCAATCGGTCGCCATCTTGCTGAAAATCTCAGTACTGGAGTGTTATATTGGTCAATTTTTCAGACTATCATTGTTGTTTCTACAGGATTCGGACAAGTTTTAATTTTAAAATTTTTATTCACTGAAAAGCGGACAAATAATGCGAAGGTGGACAAATAGTTTGTTTGTATCACAACGTCATCATTATAGTAGTGTCGTAATCATTTTGTTTATTACATTGTATATTAATATAGTTATGATTATTATATTTCTATAGAGTAATTTCCGTCTTATATTGCATCAGCTAATAAAATGAGTTTTTACACTAGATAGCAAACGGTCTACGTCCGTGAAAGTTACGATAGCGCTTTGCAACATATTCAGATTCAGCTTTACTCCCTTTATGGAAACTGCTGAGGATTGTCGAATGACTATAGATAGTTGACACAACAACACAACGTGTGTCCTTTCCCAAAATCTCTTAACCATTATACAGAGTTAAATTTAAAGTAGTACACTCGTCTAAATCAGGGGTTTCTAAATTAACATTAAAAAATATATCGAATCGTCTTTTTCAGTCACGCTTTATTCTCCCACATGGAAAACCTGAGAGGGGGGGGGGGGGATTTTCAATTTGACATCATCAAGCACTTAGTTTTACTGGAATAGCAGGAACCACAGACATCTGATTAAAAATTGGCATGGTGCACATAAATGCTGTCAGTGTCACCGATAAAATTTTAGAATAGGCTATACCTCTTTAAAATCCCTTGTCGGATCACCACTTTGGAAGTGTTAAAAACCATGAGTAATTATATCCCATGGCAGCATGATATCGGCAATAAGTGTCCATGTGAATGTTAATTTAATTCCGTATAAGTGACGATACTGTAATCTTTCACGGTATCACAACTAATATTTATGATTAAAGGCACACTTGTATTGTCCACGCAATGTCCCATTCATATCTAACAGTATCTTTCCTTTATTGAGTATCCATATCGCAACTGGTAAGAAAGACCACTACATATGCTCTTGAAAACTTCTTTCAGGAACCAATAGCCAAGGCCTATACAAACAAAATAAATTCTGGCTGCAAGGCTAGATTAATATATTTTACAGGGGTTAGACAGAAAAAAAAATTATATCTCCAAAAAAGACACAATTTCAATCAAGCTTCAATGTATTAAACAAAATATACAAAAACACTGTAAGGAATGGTGATTTAAACAAACTACATGTATAATAATCACAATGACTTGATTGATAATCAACAATTTAACAATAACCACCCCCCACCCCCACCCCCCTTTCCACACACACACTCAAATCCTTTCATATGGTATTCACTTTAAAATACATAAAATTAAAAAATAATCTAATATAAAGATAATACTGAATGTAAGCTTTCAGACAATATTAATTTTTATCACGATCACGAGGCTACTTGTAAAGTTTTATCATTCGACCACCATCACTAATAATCGTGTTTAATATTTACGTGATAAAATTGATACAGCATAATTATTGAAGATTCTAGATATACAGAGAAATTATACGGTACTTGAAACTTGATATAAAGATATATGTTAATATAACAAAGGTCAATTAATAATCGGGTTAACAGATTATCTACAATGGTTATTAGAACATACTAATAATAGAGGGCTAATAATCCTACTTGAAGTCAAACAGGGACCAAGTTCGTGATCATGAACATTGTTTCCACAATAAATAATCATTTGAAATCTTGATAAACCACTGAGATTATTCAGCGAAATAAATAAACTTTAAAGAACGTAATTACAGAATATAAACCTTGCAAAATGCTAAACAACTCAACAGGCGTACGTCGTATATTGGTAATGGTAACATATCAGGTCAGAAAATAAATGGCAAAGAGGAGATTTGACATCTCTTTCTACATAACATTTTGAATACAATTTAAGATCTAAAATCAGCTAAAAATCAATATATGAAGTATATGCAAATCCCGCAATGCAACATTAAACTCATGATAAAATAGAACATTAAATTAAAAACAGCAACGTGAAAATACATGTACAACATAACAAAGTTAATATGAAACATATGATAGCCTATTGGAAAGTCGTGTTATTTCATAATCCAGAACCCTCTTGGTATGGTTATAGCGATTTAAGACCATACAAATATGTGGTCATGATAACTGGTCTACTAATAATGAATTTAAAGGCTGCTCATGATTTCATTCTCCATATCCATTACAATCAATAAAGCGTAAACAATGGGTTGGTTTTATGCATATCATCTACATATCTGAAACAGATCAATTTTCATAATATAATGTATGTCCATAGAGTAGTTGGCGACATAGTAAAATTATGAATAAGTGAGGAGACACATATGGTATATATGGTATATACACCATTAACACCAATATCGAATGCGTACGGTTTTAAGATGAAACCCTGAGGTCGAGGTGATACAAGTCTAAGAAGAGTAACCGCGTGCATCTTTGCAAAGTTTGCAAAAATAGTCCCTGTCAAATAGCAGGAAAATAGTTCGAGAATCGGGCCATGTAGGTCTATTGTTTTTTTTAAGAAGATTAACCAAATTAGAAATAAATGTGTATTACCAATTTCATCGTATGTCGACATTAGGACTAGGACAATATCAAAAAGGTATATGTTGATAGATGCTCAAACCTACCTGGTCATTGGACTGTTGACTAAAGGAAACCTCTTCGGCCTGTTCCCAGAAAATGATGATGTCCCACTGTATCCGGATCCCCAGTTGGGTGGGTTTGGTTTAAACATGGTGCCACGGGACGGCAAGGATTGTCTCAATGTTGACCATTCTTCACTTCTGGTGCTTGGATGAGATAGATAAACTCTGTCATCTCTTCTTTCAAAAGACCTCAAAGATTGGTCACTAGCAATTTTCCAATTTCTGTCTAAAGGTGGCAACTCTGATGTAACAATTTTGCGTCTAGGAACTGGTGCAGAGACCCTCAGGTCAGTTGGAATATATCTCTTTGTAACCCATACCAACGATGAATCCTGGTTCTTCTTTTCAAGGGGATTTGTTTTTTCGCCATTAGTTTGTCTGTTGTAGCTATATTTATATCCGGCGTATGAACCAATACATTCTGAAGCCATTTTCAAAACTGTTTACGGGTGACCGACAAGTGTAATGAATAACCAACTAAATCGATCTTCTGTACTTACAAATCTCTAAGGTAGAAGTGACGTTGTCAAGAAGGCCAACACACGTGGGTAAAAGTGGATTATAACAATAGGAAATTATATTGTTACGTAATTGCCTTATGAAATAGACTATAGACAGTTCTTATATGGTGACTTAATGAGTGGCATAATTAATAACAAGCTAATAACCAATATGTATTAATGATTTACTTCATGTGAAAGCATGTCTGTAGACAAGGCACTTGATTATTCTATTAGTCTGCTGACTAATTAAAAGTACAATTAATATAATATTTTAGCCTACTCGTTGAACCTTGTCCATTCAATTAACTTTTAGAGGCCGCCAAAGATTTGTTTATCTTCCAAATCCATTCAGTCCTAGGCCTTTAAGCAATGAGAAAAATATTAAATAGGCCTAATACCTAATACCATGGCATAATAAGGGGTTTTTGTTCAAATACACCAGTAGACTAAATATTGCAAAACTTAGCCCATAATTGTCTGCCTCAGCAAAAGAAAATCAAAATATTTCCAAAGAAATGACTAACTATATCGTGTGCATGGCCTTCTCAGAAACAATAAAATGAAATGAAATCAATGGAGTTTTACGTACTACTTTTCTGCACTGTGTGGGCTAATGAAGACGGGCAACGCCATGCAGGGTGCCATGAGGGAAATTTTGCCGGGACAGCGGCATTAACCTGCTCTTTTTCGATTTCCAACTGTCGAGGGATCTTTAACGTGCACAGTCTCAGCCACAATAAAGCTACCAACCCAATGAAACCATATCATCCTATCTCATATTATTTTCTTTTGCTCATTTTATTGGATAGCAAGCTGTTTATTAGGCCCAATATGGTTATGGGCTCAAGAGGATATGAGGATATGGCCCGGAATGTGGACTGTGACTTCTTCCCGTTGAAATTATACACGCCCAAAATAGACCCCGAGACAACCCCTTAAAAAATGACGTGCTAAATGTAAACAAAATAACACGTGACAAAAGGAAATCCCGTTATGCAAGCTGACGTCATAAATGAAAATGTACCCTTGCGTGACCTATGAACTTTAACCCGGATATCATCACAATCAAGCCTCGATCTCAGTTGCAAAATAAACCAGCTGGATCGAGTGTCATTCCTTCGCAATAGTCGTCCAGCTGCCTCAAAATTGCCAAAATCAGGCGTTTGTGGCCTCGCTGATGGAAGAATCGAATAGTAGTCAACCGCCACGTTGTCCGTGTGGCTTTTGGGGGTAAGATTTTTATTCAGATCCTTATTAAATTGATGAAATTGAAAGGAAAATATTGACCGATATTTGGTCTACCCATTTCTAAAATGGTTGCTTTGTCGTCCGTTGTGTGCGTGGTGAATCAAGTATTTCTATGACTTTGGTTTGTTGCTATGGGTTAGGATAAAGGGCGTTTACTTCTAGCAAGTTTTTTCTAAGATATTTTTGAATCTTAACGGTTTAATTTGGGGTTGTACGTGAAGGGATTTATGACTGAAATTTGTGATTTTGAATGACTAAGCGTGTTGAACCAAAGAAAGGTGAATGTGTTGATGACTAGCCTATCAGAGGATTGACGTAGCAATAATGGCCGTATTGCGATTGAAAGGCTTATTAGTGCGTAACAGACGGGCGTGCTGAGGCCAATCTGCCTATGTTCATTTTCGTAATATAGATACAGTTTTTTTGATATATCTCTTGATATATATATAACTTTTTGTCTCTCTTTCTGTGTCTTCCAATACTTAATAAGATAAGGCCTGTAAAACTGTATTATTGAACACAAGACAGTGTTAGTAGAGTTGAGGCCTGAGGGAGGGCCAATTCATAAAACTATGTTTTCTTTCTCCATCTTTCACCAAAAGAAGAGATTTTGTAAGAGATCAATTTATTTTCCAAGTAATTTTCGTTTGAAAAAAACAATTGAGTCAGATCTCGATTACAATTTAAAATGCATTCAGTTAACCTACTTTCAGTTTTAATTTTTGAAGACATGGGGAATTTCTTATTTTACTTCCTGAAATTCAGCAAATATTCAGAAAATTAATAAATAGACTCGAGACAGTAGAGGTTCTATATTATTGGTAAAATGGGTTTTTCTTAGTTTAAATACTAAACCAAACCTTTTCATAAGAAATATTGTATGAATTGAAGAATGCTTGTGAAATTGATTGTAATATGTTGAGGATTTTGGTTTAAGTCCAGGATTAGTTTACAATATCCTTGAAACTGAGTTATTCCGATATATAGGATTGTTCCACAAAATTTTTATATTGAAATTTCTAGACTTTTGTCCTGAGGCTTAAACAATATTCTTGATGCTCCAGAATAGCGAAAAGCATCTAAATCAGTATCAGTAACAAGAACTCTTATGTCTTGTCGAAACAGATTATGTCCAGATCCATGTAGATGGGTACTTATTTGACAGAAAGCTTGATCATTTTCATTGATTTGCCTTGGTATTAAGTCTTACATTATATTGTTAAAAATTAAGTTTTAGTCATTCCCAAAGAATAAAGGTGTGATAGATGATGTAGTATTTATTTGAGTTTGTGATTGTTGATGTCATATCTCTTTGTTATATTAATTGGGTTTTATGTTCAATGTAAGACTGATTTATTTTTATCATTATGATTAATGGGTAGAAAAAGATCCTGAAAAAGTTCATAGAAAGTAAGGGTTACGTTTGACAGGTACATTCAGAAACTATAGGCTATAGACTTGAACATTTAGTTATTTTGAAATAGTCCCTTAAATCTATAATCAATGTTCTTGTGAAGACATGAACTGAGTGCAGTTTTCAATTTCTATAACAAAATGTTTTGATTAAGTGTGAAATGCATATATGATCTCAATTCTATATCAATTATATTTCTATAGGGTGCAAAAACCTGATTACTTTTTCATTAAAATCTAATTTCGTGTCAAGCTTGTCACACTATTCAGAGTTATGTGTTTCTTTAGGATTTGATTTCAAACAGAAACGTACACCGGTAATCATTTGGTAGTTTCAGGACAACATGAAGTGGTTTTCCCCCTCTTTTTTATTTTGATTCCAGTGGTTTCCATCTCAATCAAGACTACTCCGGAAGGAGATTGTAATGTGGGAAATCAGGACAGCATATCATTTTTCTGTCAGAAAGAAGTTGTTTAATAAATTGTACACTATTTTGTTCATTTCAGCTCTGCCAAAACACTCGGATTATGTTCGAAATGTTACCAAGGTAAGTTTTTTCAATAGCATTCCTATTTATAAAAGTTTACTCAACTTATTGTTTTGTATGTGCAATAAATTCATTAGATGGGTAATCTGAGTAAAGAAAGAACTAACTAACAGATTTTCTCAATAAGCTTATAGGTCTACATTCAGAAGGCTTAATTAGTGAATATTATCAAGTTGTAAAGATAGATGAAATAAACAGGATTCTTTGTATTCAACATTCAGTGTTCTAATAGGCTAGGCTCATAGAAAAGTTTTAAATCTTTTTTGGATCAGAACTTTAAGTCTGGACAAAGTTTATGGTTGTTAACAGACCATTGTCTTTGTACTTAATTGGTACAGAGCGAGAGTATACACTTTACATGATAAGGTTTATAATAAACTGACAAAACTTGGCACACTTACATTAATACATATGGCGTGGCACAGCCAGCAAGTGTGTAATAATGTGAAGCTGTTCACTGTACTATCAAATTTCGTGTCTATCTTTGAAAGTGGCTGCTATGTTACTTCTATTATTTAGTTTTTCATTCCATATCTTTTTCAACTTATCAGGTTCAGCAAATCTTTTTGCCCACTGCACTAACTTTTTTTTTTGTGGAGAATGCCAACTAAGTCAATTTCAATGATATTTATTGAAAGTTTAGTCATGTATTAAGCTGGCTATACATGAAATACAACTTATTTGTTGTCAAGAATCCTAGAATATTACTTAAGTCATGAGTCATGCCTTATTTATTATTTCATGTTTATCTCCAAAGATAACAAAACTGTTACTGAAATACACCATAAACTTTGTTTTGTTTGATTTTAGATCGTGAAAAGGCTAAAAATGCAAGAGATGCAGGTGAGTGGAGCTAGGATGAGTAATTTTATTTACATTTGATTCTTGTGTAACATACACTGAAATACAAAATTGATCTGATATTGATGCAAGTTATTTTGACCATTAAATGGATAGTGAAAAGTAACTTTTACAAACCTTTTTCTTTCAGAAATAGTGAGAAATAAATCTGGACAAGGAAGTTCATCTAAAGCTTCATCCATGGATTCCCAAGGGGCACGTTCTGATCCTTCAAAACTTCCAAGTTCACTTAATAAGGATCGTGGTTTAAATCGAGACAACAGTGATACCTTACTTGTGTCTAGTGATACTAAAAACAGTGCTTTATGTTCGGCATTAGAACAACCTTCAGATTCCCTTCCTCGTAAAGACAATTCCCAATTATCAGGATCTACTGACCCCTCACCAGAGTCATGTGAAGTTGATGGTGCCAGTGCCCTGTCTTCAGTGTTAGGTGATGATAAAGATGGCAAGAATGGTGAAAGAGGAGCCAAAAGGTAAAAACGTGACATTTGAATCGATTACTGTCTATGAGGTATCAGCTCTGATATCTTTTATCTCTTTCTCTCTTTATCTTATCTTTTTATTTCACCACTTATAACTTCAACTCTGTCCATTACCATGCTCGTAATTGAATGAAAAGGACAGTCTGCATAAAAATGCACTCATGTTCTCTATGGAGAAATTTTCAATTTGTCTAAAAAGTAAAAAACCCATTGAATGCTGTGGTACATTTATCCATTATTTCAGATAAAACCCTCATATACTCGTTATATAAGTTTTAATGGTGTTTGTAATAAGTACATCAATTTACTTTACAATAATAATAATGGGTTGCAGGTCAAATACAGTCCATTATCTCAATTACAGAAAGAGTGGCCAAATTATTTTTGAATATAATCATGAGAAAATCATTTAAGGAGACAAAATGAAATGAATGGAGTTTTACGTCCTAGTTTTCTGCACCATGTGGGCTAATGAAGACGGGCAACGCCATGCAGGGTGCAATGAGAGAAATTTTGCCAGGATAGCGGCATTAGCCTGCTCTTTATCGATTTCTAACTGTCGAGGGATCTGTAACGTGCACAGCCTGTAGCACACGGGGCCTCGGTTTATTGTCCCATCCGAACGACTAGACGCTTTTTCCACGTCAGCCCCACTTACCTGCATCACTGACAGGGGGAAACCGGGTTGAAAAATCCGAAGGTATTACCTCGACCTATGCCGGGATCGAACCCTGGACCTTCAGGTTAGTGAGCAAGCGTCTAACTCACTGAGCCACTGCGGCTTCCTAAGGAGACAACGAAACTGAATCTTTTCTGAAAGTTTGACATCAGAACATTTTATGTATTTTATATATCCACACGGTGCTTTAAGTGTTAATTTGTTTTAGGGACTGTAGTGTATTGGAAGAAGAGCCAACTAAAATCGTTCAGAAAAATAAAAAGCGATGTTATAAGTGTAGCTGTAAATTAGAACTTGCTCAGAGAGAAATAGGAAGATGCAGATGTGGTATGTACATATTTTAATTACTCTTTAGGTTTATTGTTTCATAGAGTGGAAATGCTATTGATTTGATAGTTAGAATATGGAAAAATTTATCATGAATAACTTCTGTTATGATATTTGTTCAACAGTTACAACTGAGATTGTGCGATAGTGACTAGGTGAAATATTACCTTTGATGGGAGTGAAACCTTTTAAAGAGCAAAGTGACATTTATTATACTTAAATTGACAATTCAATAATTATGCCTTTTAGTAGAAATTGTGTAAGTAATTGCCTTTAAAAGTGCAGAAAAAGTCATTTATTTCAAATTAGAATGGAAAAAGCCATCAATTCACAATGGCAGACAAAGAGAGAGAACACATTGATTATGTTTTTTTTTTTCATTTTGTTTGAAAGTTTGTTTTTATTTTACATGAATCACTGTCTGTATAGTGTAGTCCCTTGTTTGAAGTAAAGTCAATAAGAATTTAAAGTAATAAAATTAGACTTTTAAAAGTTCTAGATTAACCATCTAAACAGGATTTGAACTCGGGATAGGGCTAGGTTCCGGTACCGGTATATATTGAAATAAAATTTATTTAGTATGGCTTTTATTGTTTTTGAAAAAAAAAAATATATATATATTTTTAAAAAAACAAAATAACTCATGAAATAACATCTGTTTCAAATATTAAGTTCGGCCTACTTGTTAATATTATGTAGATGGTCTTGGATGACAAAAAATTGATAGTATATCATGACAGCTACCATAAGTTGGTTCAAGTGGATATCACAATATTAAGCAATAACATGATATTGATATAAAGTTAGAAAACAAATAAATATCTCTTTAAAACACCCCAGTCTTGAATATCATGAAATGACATCTGTTTTGATATTAAGTTATTAGTTGATATTGTGTAGATGATCTTATCTGCAATAATTTGACAGTATATCATAACTTTGTGGCAATATTTAATCAGGCCATATTCCTATAAGGGTGACATGGAAAGAAACATATTCTCAGGGTGTCAGCTTTTTGTTGCAAATTTTCATAACACTTTGATTTTGTGTCATATAACGCCAAAACAATTTTAAATATTATTTTGTATTGTATATTTCAGGACTGATATTTTGTTCATTACATAGATTACCTGAACAACATCATTGTGAATTTGATCATAAAGAAGATGGTCGACAAGCAGCTCGTCTAAAGATGATTAAACCTACACGACATTTGGGTACCACACAAAAACGCATCGATTCTGATAAATCTTGATGATATTATTTAAATAAACTATTTAATATCATGTTGATAAATATCAACATGGAAACTTTAATAAAATAAACACCAACATTAAAGAGGACATAGAATGATTTTACAAACATTTTCCTCCAAAGATATTGAAATATAGACAATTTTGTTAATATATAAATATATAAACTATGTACCTTTTGTATACTGGGTACAAACAATGAATCGCGGAAATAATTTTTATGGATGTAGCATATCTGAATTGGAAAATAAAAAATGGAAAATAACTTTTAAAAAAAAATGTATCCTGGTATCAATATCTGGATTGTTGCTATGATAAATCATGATAAATTTTTTCATCTACCTCTTGAAGGATCAGTGTTATTACAGAGTTACTCCCCTTGATATCTTACCAAGGGTTCGCTAAGGGATTTAAATTGTGATCGGCTGGGGGAAATAATTATGGTGATCTATAGGCCCGGCTATTCATCTAATGAGTGATTTGTGTTGATGTATGGATGTATGCTAGACCTGTGTTCCTGTGGCTACTTTACATGGTTCATGTACTTTAGCAGTATATGCGTGTGACTTTATCTTTAAGATGGATTTTCTTATATTTTTTTTTCTATTGTTTTAACCGTAATGTGACAAGAAAAGATTGTCAAAGATTTTATTTGAAGATGTATAATATTAATATATATAGCCTTTTTTTTCCTTTTCATGGATTTGTGTATGTTTATTTAATATAGTATAAAAACACGATATATAAACACAGTATTTTCCCCTTCTGTCTTGGTGTATGGTTTTTAATAATCAAACATGCTGGTATATATATATAGGTTAAATTGATTTTAATAAACAATATGTACCAATTTCAAAGGGCTTCATGCTTAAACAAAATTGACCAAACAAACGTTAAAATCTTTCAGTCAAGCAAAGACATTCAAAACATAAATACGAGTGGTCTACCGGTTTTTGAGGTAAAACAAATAGTATATAATGTCTGCAAAAAAAATTTTTTTGTTTCGGAGGATCAAAAGGAAACCTTTGGCCAGGTGGTAGTATTTGGTATTGATTAACATGGGTAATGCACTCATTACCACTGGATATTGCCAGTTATGGCTTTTGTGTCATAAACAAGACAAGGGGTGCGTGTCACAAAAAATAGTGAAAATTGTGAATTAGTGATATTATGAAAATGCACTTGACTGTATCCTTATTAAATTAATACCTACATTGACATAACCAACATTGTTTCCAGGGTTTAATGAAACTGTGATTGATTCTGGTCACAATATAGACCATAAGATTTCTGAATCATAAGAACGGGTCATACCTTTGTCAGTAAGTTCCTCGTTGGTGGCAATGAATAAGGGTTGGTAACTTCAGTCTAAACATTTTGAACTAGAACACTAAAAGGGCATATTAAAAAGGCTATAATTGTATTAATTAAAGAGCAATATAAGAAATGCTTCAAGTTAACTTGTGTTGCATTCACTAAGAATCAGATGTGTGGTGGATGATATATTATTTGTAAAAATACTTGATTATAGTAGTAGCATTTGAATAACTATTGGTGTTCTACAACAATTGTATGATCTTGCTTGCAGGCCCAATCACATCCTTTATTTAATATTCTTTTACTATAGATATTTTATTTAGACAGGTAAACTGTTTAAAATTATTATTTATTTTAATTTTATAATTTATGCACCATTTGAAGAAATTTGTTACAAATTATATATAGAGGTAATGATAATAGGCAATCTAGCTAAATATTGATTGGATAAACCATGGCATTGGATAATCAGAAAATATTGTGTACTAAAACTTTCATGGGTTTATTATTTCATAATGGATATTCTATAAATATTGGCAGAAATGAAGGGATCTTTGAGGTTTTCTAAAAAAAATACAAGTGTTAGGGACACTGATAGCATCAATTTGCATCATTCCAATTTCCAAACAAACGTCAGTGGTTCCTGAAATTAAACTAAAACTAAGTGTTTAATCACTATTTGCATAAGGCCTGATGTGATAAAGCACATGTTGTGACTAGTAATCGAACACTTACTTTTTTTGGAATTGCACTTACTACAAACATCTGATTGAAAAATGAAATGGTTTAAATTGATGCTAACAGTGTCCCTGGTACACATGCAAAAATTAGAAAACCTTTTTACAATCCCTTAAAGTTCATTCCCAATGTTTTCTTATTTGCAGTCATGAATTGAACTTCCAGCACTTCACCTTTGTTTTGGAATTCGAGTTAAACTTGATTTTCAGTATAGAATTCATAACAATATAAAGTAACTATTTCTTCTGTGTTTCTTTTTTTAATAATTCACTTTGTGATTGTATAATATTGCTGTGGAATTGCTTGAAATAGTGCAGGATATTTTCTGAAATAGGTACCATCATTTATGACGTGAATTGTATTCTAGAAATAAAGACAAACTGTACTATAATGAGCACCTTTTTTCCCCCTACTTCGTTGTACAAACTTGTGCAGAAAGCCTTACAAAAAACACTTAGTTTGACGGCACATAAAGAGTTCTTAGACATAACTGTTAAGTTGATATTAAGTGTGATATTTGCCATCTCTGGCCTAGCCCTTTTATATCCAAATAACAGAACAGTTATTTTATTTCCCCACTAATCTGCTATGATCTCACATAGTATCACATGGCTAAAATTTATGGCTTCAAAGTGGTAATGATAGCCTTAAAAATGTTGTCTGTCTAGCTCAGATGGGTTGACATGGAAATAGACCATGCTGCATATTCTCGAAACGATCTTAGCAAAAGGATGTCCTAGTATCTTAACTTCTTGCACTGTTTCTAGGATATCCTAGGGCTGAGATTGTTTCAAGAATTCCTGGCCAGTATTTTTGATGGGCCAGGCAAGACAATATACGCACACTGGCAGCTTTGATTTTAAATAAAAATATCTGGCAGTACAGTAACAATTACCAGTATAAAATATTCAACCTTCAGTCATACACTTCTTTTGAACTCTTTAGGGCCATACTGAATAATATTGAGTATGTGTTATTGCCCTTGTTCTTGAAATGTATTCAATTTTGCCTATACAATATTTAATCCATCCATTGACAAACAAAATGAAAATAACCTGAAAAGAATTGTCGCCTGTGGATTGAACATGAGTTGCACAATATAGCTAATTGAGTGAAATGTCAAGTCAGACACGATATTTCGGTAAAAAATTATCCGATCATCACGAAAGTCGATAGGGGTCATCTTCCAAATGACATTGACAAACAAAATCAAAATCAAAAGAATCTGTTAAGAATTGTAGCCTGTAGAGTGAGCACGAACCAAATGAAAACGGACGGACAGTTGATTACAATATACGCCCATCTTTTGTGTGGGCATATAAAAATCCTGTGTGCTGCAGACTGGACACCTTTAATGATCTCCTTGCAGTTGAAATGCGCAAGAAACAAATGAAGCTGTCCAAGTAAAATTTTCATCTATGCACATTCTATGTATTGCCCGTCTTCCATGGCCCTATCAAATGCAGAAATAGGTAGTTGAACCTTCTTTCATATCAGGTAGCTTTAGAATCCAATTCCTACATCTGGTTCATACGCCATGAATCAATAAGGTAGGAGAGGAAGTGGTATCACACTAATATGTTTAATCCCATGCTGATGAGGTGTCAGACTGTTAGTGTCCTGGAAACTTTTTGTCATCACATTTGAAATCAAAGACATTTGATTGGCATTCTGAAAATATTCTAAACAACATCCAAGTAGAGAGATGTTGTTCGGGCCTATAACCGCGTATAAAACTATCAACAGGACAAGGAAATGATGATGTTTTTTTACTTCCTTCTCTTCAGCACTAAGCCAACTTCCTAATATCTAACATACATGCTCTAAACTACAGAGATTGTGCTTCACAGTTTTATTGAGACAATAATATGGCATGGTATTTCATTGCATATACTTTATGAAATAAGTGATGATAGTAGTTGTGAATTTTTTTTATATTTTCATAGGTCAGTTTTTTTGTCTGAGTTAATCTTCAATAATTCTACTTCAAATGTTAATGTTGCCAGAGCTGAAAAAAATTTGTAAAATTAGTATTAACAATTCTGGGGCATGAAATGATTTTCACCAAAAAAGAGCTTAGATTTTAGTCAGTCTTAGAACATTACAAAACCAAATCTTCATATCATTTCTGCCACTGTTAATGTGCTGAAGACTAAGCAACTAAAAACAGAGGTCAATAATTGCCAACTTTTTCTAAACCTTTAAAATCAAAATATTAAAACAGAAATCAGGAATGTGTTGTCATGATCTGTGATCTTTAGACAACTGACCTGTTTTGACAATAAGTACTTGTTCTCGTGTTGCACACTGATACAAGTTTAGAGAAGTCTGAGGTTGGGGCATTTATCATGGAAAGCTTTTTCATTTCTATATGGATGTATTGAACACTATTTTAACCGTTATTGTAGCTACATAAACATTATATTCATTATTAAAAGAGTGACTTTCTAGGCCACTGGACCCATTGGAATAGGTTTAATCTTCTACTTGACAAAAAATATTCAAGACAGATCTACTTTTTTTCAATATCCATCAAAAATAGATTTATAGAAAGATTCCCCAACCTTTAGAGCTTGTACTTTGTATGAAAGAAAACTTACGTGGAATTTTTGGAGGAGCACCTCTTGCACCATAAGCTAGTTCTGATGGTATAACTAATTTTCTTTTTTCACCAACACACATACTTCAAAACAAAAAATTTAAACCTGTTGAATAGCTAATATCTTTGAATTCTGTCACAAAATGTTCATGAAACACGCTGGTCAATGATAGCAAATATGTATTGATACATATGTATCATTCTTATCTCATAGTAATCTGAAACCAACACCAGCAAAATAAAACTTACTTTAATAAACCTTGATCCCAACCTTTAATAACTTGACCAGAACCAAGTGTAAAGGTAAACGGCTGACTTCTACTATAACTGCTATCAAATTCTGTTCCATCTTCTAATTTACCCTGAAATATAAGGTTTTGAGATTAATGAACTGAATTCTATCAAGGAACAAGAAATTTATATACTGTGTAAATAGTGCCCAAAGTACCAAAGGCTCATATTATAAAACAATTTTAACAATAATCAAATCCATTCAATTTTTTCAAATTGTATCTCTATGGACTGGCCACCTAAAATATCAAACTTACAGAATAATGCATAGATAAAACATCTCCTTTTGTTGATTTTTCGTTACAAACTTCAGGTCTTTTCTTCACACCAATTTGTAATTTTTTTGATGAAGACACTGCAGAAACAGAAGCAGCAATCACAGCTGATATATAATAAAACCAAGATAGATTCATCTTTGATTTCTAATCAGCTGAAATAAAATTGTCATTCCATCAGACTTTTCATTGGTTGTCACTTTCATCAATCCAAATTCATCTTATCTAAGATTCTAAGACTTTTAATTCAAATGGCCATGAAACACAACTGACACAAATATTGAAATATTTTGGTGCAAATGATATTGGTTCATTGGTTATAGTGTTAGTAGGACCATCTCAAAAATGGTTCGACGGCTTATAAAAAGAGTTATCTCCCTTGATCAGATACTTGACAATGAAACATAAAATACGCCCATAGAATAGGGTATGTATTAATGTGAATGATAATGTCAATGATACATGTTATAAATTGACGGGCAAATGTAATTGTATGCAAAGAAATAAAAGAAATTGGCATTTGTATTCTTCGGTATTTCTTACATTTTTTCGTCAACAAAAAGAAGCTGGTATCGGTTGATTAAAAACAAATATATAGAAATATTAAGAAACGAAATAATTTCAAGAGGACCTCGACTATTAATGAAGATTTGACACTGTCTTCTTCGTATTTTTTATAATTATCAATTTTTAGTTTTTTATCATAAAATTGTGCTACTTTAGGAATTGATTTAGAACAATAAATTAAATGATATTTTCGGTTGTCATTACCAAAAATTGGAATTTGGAACTACCAGAACGCACTTGCGCATTAGTATATTTCCGCCGGCATCGACAGAATAGCGGCAAGAAACGAAAATACACCGAAAATTATCCACAGCAATCTGTACAATCTGTTAATTTTATAATGGCGTAAGTTATGCTCAGGTTTAATTAGATTACTCAGCGACTATGAAATGTAATTTTGATATGTTAGGAAATAGAATTACGACGTAAAGACATATATTTCGAATGTAAACAAAGCTGGATCAATGTTTTCTTTTTTTGTTACTTTTCAATGAGATTTATCTGATGCCAATATGATCTGTTCAACTCTTTTGCCTTAGTATTATTCAAGTGCAGGCAAATGATAAATATCTGTAGAATTCTCTAAATTGCATGTCAAGGACAAACATTTTCCAAATTTTACTATTACTTCCATTTAAATCTTATTCTTTCTTTTCAGAGCTCCTAAACCAAAAAGTGAGATGACGCCAGAGGATATGGCAGCAAGGGAACAAGAAGAATTTAATACTGGTCCATTGTCAGTCCTTACTCAGTCTGTTAAAAATAATACACAGGTTCTCATAAATTGTAGAAATAACAAGAAATTGTTGTGTCGTGTGAAGGCTTTTGATAGGCATGTACAAATTTTTTTCTTTATTTTTGTGCTTCAACTTCCTTAAAGGGATTGTAAAGAGTGACATCTTAAAATGCATCAGTTTTAGTGGAATTGCAAGAACCACAGATGTCAAAATGAAAATTGGAATGGTGCAAACCGATGCTATCAGTGTCCCTGGTACACATAAAAAGGATAGATAACCTCTTTTAAATCCCTTTTAGGGGTATTAGTTATCTAAGTGTTTATGGAACTATTTGAACAAAAAGTTACCATTGAAGTAATTTCCTGTTCTTATTACTATTTGAAAGTTTCGTGGTAATGAATTTCCTGACTATACTATACCGTACATCTTTTAGTTTGTGTGGTATGTTTGTATAATTTGAAGGGTAATGGTGTGATGGATGACCATTGGTTTGACAGGTAGAATATGTGGCAACAGATTTCTTTTTATGCCAACTAGAGCTAATATTTGGCTATCCTATGGTGAAAAATCCTTTTTTGTTGTGTACTGTGAGAACTGGATGCATTTGAATTTGTCTTTGATATTAATTGTTTTTATTCTATTTTATAGGCATTGTAATATGGTTTTAGAAAATGTGAAAGAAATGTGGACCGAAGTTCCCAAAACCGGAAAAGGAAAGAAAAAATCTAAACCTGTGAATAAAGACAGATATATATCAAAAATGTTTTTACGTGGAGACTCTGTTATTCTGGTGTTAAGAAATCCATTGGCAACAGCAAAGTGAAGTGTAATTTGAGGGGTTCTAATACCCATAACAGACATGTGTATACTTGATGTAAATACTGATTCACATGGCTTTCATCTTTGATCATGATTATTGGTGAAAGAATTGTCATAAAATGGCATGTATTACAGTTAACACCAGCTGTGTTATTTGAAAAGTCTGGCTTTGATACTTCATGAAAGTTTCTGTGGCTTTGATTCAATACTTCTGTTAATGATAGAGGTGAATTTTGGTTTAAAAGAACACAACAGTCCAATATATTTACTTCATTTATAAAACAAGGCAGATATGTCCTGGTTGGCACAGTTCAAAACATTATTACCTGCTGTCTTCATTCAAATTGTAATAGAAAATATTCAAGCCAGACTTGTATTGTGATTCATTTTATTTTTGTATATCCACTTTAAATCAAAGCAAACCAGAGCTGGTTGTTTTTTTTTTGGTATAAAAAAAACCATCCAGGACCATTTGATTTAGTTCAATTACCATGGGTTCTAACCAAAAATAACATGTTTATGATTTGCATTGGATCCAAATGGGCAGAAATATCTTTGCTTGACTTGGCCAAAATGTATTTTATTATATACAATCACAAATTCCTTGTAAAATGCCTTTATTCCATTAATGTACAGTATATATCTCAGTCAGTTTTATATAAATATTGTGTAGTTTACAAAGTGTTAATACAATACTACAGACTCTTAAATATCATCTTCATCACATTACTGGTTGGTTTTATATAGGAGTGAATTCTACTGTTGAAACCCTGAAAGAAATGTAAAACCCAAGTATAAGATGTTGAAATGAAGTTTTTCAGTAGATCAAAGGTTGTATAACTCCCAAGTGAGAGTTTAAGTTAAGAGTACATCTTTTTGACTAATTAGGTAAAAAAAAAGAATTATATCTGATGCCTTTTGAGTTTGTGTAGTCCTGTGCACCCCAAGAGTCCATAACAGAAACAGATATCAAGGCAGAGACATTAGCTGTGAGTATTAGTGTGGGAAATTCATAGTTAATGATAAAATGGTTAATAATTAGATCACCTCTAAGATTATAAAAACAGATATCATGTTATTTAGAAACAGCAGGAAGACAGACGCCAGCAACTCCATTCCATCTTGATTTAGCACCAAACGAAGCCTTCATTGTATCTGGCAAAATGATAAGCAAGTAAATATGTGTAAGCAAAAAATGATGATATTGGTTCACCCCAAGGAAAGGTTCCCATTTAATGAACAATTGTGTTAAGGGCTATGGGGAAAAGTGTTATGGATAGTTAAGTCTTAGCTTCATAAGTTAGCAAAGCATTGAATTAGAAACCTATAACTTTAAATTCAGAGATATATTGTGTAGGCCTATGGACAAAAAGAAGCATTAAATATTAATTGCTGGAAAGTTAAACAGTATTAATAATTAAAATGGTTAAAAGTTAGAGACTAAATACTTTCAGGATAGTTAAAGGATGAGTTCTATCAGCTACATATTTTAATGCAAAATAATTAGGAATTCCAAGATTAGCATGTGTATTAGGATATAATATGCATACACAATAAATTCTCACATTTTTCGCTAGGTTTTAGAATTTGGCTAGAGTAGCTTGTCTTTGTAATTCATAAGCTAGAAGAAAGTAGGAAAAAAACATCATGCAACAGGTTATATAAAATACATTCAACTACCTTAGTCTAAAAGGTAAATGTTTTGCCTGAAATAAAATTGATATTAGTTATATGAGCTTATACCATATAAATTATGGTCTTGAGGAAAGGCAGAAGTAAATAATATAAACCAATAGGACATAATTTTTGTCTTAAAACTTGCAAAGATAAGGATTCCATTGGATTCATGTCTCATTTTCTTTGTCAAAAAACTGAAATTTAATGAAATGCAATTGAGACTGACAAATCATAATACATATACTTACAGCTAATAGGTTTAGGTTCCTGATACCAATATCTAAAACCTTGTTTAGCTTTACTGTTAAAAGATGTTTGGTATTTTGATTGTTTAGGACTAGTTGTTGAAATGTTACAGTAAGTCTGTGGAACTATTTTTGAGAAATCTGGTGGTTGATACATTAGTTCTGGTGGATAGAAATAATTCTCTTCCTCTTTGACAATACCTAAAATAACAATGTGATACACCTGAAGCCCTAGAGTAACTACCACATATCAAAATGCATCATAGATCATACGTATTGAATATGTTCTTAAGCTAAAGAGCAAATGTCTTCATTAGCCCACATGGTGCAGAAAAGTAGGACGTAAAACCCAATTTATTTCATTTTAAAGAGCAAATGCAGATAGTATCAGTGACACAAAATATTTTTTTTACATTTCTTGCATGTGACTTTCTAGATCCAATGTTGATCTCTGCAATGGTGATTTTCTACCATGAAAAGCTGTTGAATGGTGTATCAAACTAGCTGGCAGATTATTAGTGGTGGAAATGAAAAGGCGGAGAATATCTTGAATATTGATGTTAACAACTACTAAAACTGTTCTTGGTATGATGGATAGTTTTTGTTTTTGGTGGCTTTCAATGTTCAAACGTATGTGCACTATTCGGATAATGTGTCCTGAACATATCTGGTAAAATTTTAGAACTTACCATCTATAAATGCAATGTTGGCGCCATTGGGATTGAGGGTTGTCTTAACATGTCTCCAACTACTACCTAATCTACCAGATCGATTTCTGAAATATATTAAGAAATTTCTACTGAATCCATGCGATTGTCAGACGTCTTAATTTAGACACACAAAGTTGCCATCCGATGTCATGGACTCTTGCCTAGCGTTATCACCGTTTACAATTTAAACTACCACCCATAAATGAAGCGTGAGCCGTATTCTTGTGTCGATCTTCACCAGAAAATTACAGTATACTGTTCTTTGACGTTTTGCTCTTCAACACTGAACGGTTTTTGTTATACCAATATGTTACTGAAGGCAAGACTAAGCGTTTCATACAAGCGGACAACTGAATACAGGATACGTGAGATTTGTACAATAAAGTCGGCGACAATGGCTCAAAATACATGACTTCGGGGCCCGTGGACTTATGCGAGTTTGGGCCCCTCCCCCGAGAACATTTTACGGGCCCGTAGAATTAGTTGAACCAGTCCTTGTGGTTGTTGAGCCACTGTTCGGTGAACGTTGAAGTGTAAAGAAAAAGACTATAAGCTTTCTATACAGAAAATAATTTAAAAGTTTAATACTTACTGTGGCATTTGAGGTTTTGGTGGATTTCTACACCATTCTCTGTAGTAATAGTGTCTTGTGACAGGATCCATGGGTCCACTGTATGGGTGACTATCTTGATCTGTCTGTAAGAAAAACAGAATGATGTAAGTAATCTATCCAAGAGAATACTTAGAAATTTACATGTTGCTTTTTTGAACCAATGCTCGTCCGTTCACATTCGTTTGTAAACGCTTTTACATTTCCAGGTTTGACCGGATGTAATAAAACTTTTTAAGGAAACTATGACACATTCCTCGTCAAATAAAAAGATACTGGTTTCACAAGGCAAGTATTGTCATGGCGTTACATTAAATATAATTACATTCTAATATACTGTACCTGCAATCCGTTCTCTTCCACAAGAGATTGTCTGGTTTTTGGTCTCTGCATTGGTGTTATTCTTCCTTCGTCTGTTATTAGAGATTGTCGAGTTTTCGGTCTCTGCATTGGAGTTATTCTACCAGAAGCAGAAGTTGGTGGTCTTAAAGGAGGTGACTGGCAAGAGACAAGCGCCGTGACACCATAACTGGAACCTGGAGGATGTCTGTAATAAAGTTATGTGTAAGATATGGTTGCCAGTATCCGAGAAGAGTGCATAATTATTTTTGTTTCACAGTGCAGTTATTGTGGTTACAGCACACAGGCTGTGTTTGAGAACATGATTTTGCTATGCAACGCGCGTGGGGAAATAGCCCCCACACTATGTTTATATGCAATAATGTAATTCAACTTCAATGTGAAAAAATTATTAACGCCTTTAGAAAATATTTTAATATTCTAAAAACTAACAGATGCCCCTTGTTATGTGTGATTGTGACTGGTGGCATCTGTCAGAATCTGATTTATTCCTGGATATTGAATGTCGAGTGAATCGACTACTGAAAAGATAATTGTTTTTTGAGCAGTTACCCTACGTTTTTAACAGGTCAGAAATGTGCCTGCGCCATAGAGTTATTATAACTCTATGGTCTGCGCCTACGCATGCAACGTCAAATTAAACAACCTATGACGTCCAGATTACTTATCAGTCGAATGTTTATTAAAATCATAACAAAAATCAATAAAATAAACCCTTCAGACTAATCTCAAGTAGGCGAGCCATTCCTTTTTATTACCAGAATAAGAGGGAGCGACGAAAAGAATTTGTAGAGTTTAAATACCATGTTGTGTAACAGGATAAGTTATTGGGAATGTCTTGATACTTCATAGTGCTCTTTATTCTAGAATTTCAAAACAGTTTAATACATGATCGATTTGAATTCCGCACAGAAATGTATTCTGATCAATGCGTCGAAAAAGAAATTGTTCGTATTTGTAACCAAGATTGCCAAGAAAGGTGATAACTATAAAGTGGGCATGGATGAAAAAACTTAAATCTTTCGGTTAAAGTTAGTAAATTACCCATCAAATTAACTTACAGTTCGTGACCAGGAGGTCCTGACGACTTACGGGTAATAATTATACTAATCCCATTATAAAGCATGCAAAGTTGTAAGGTGAAGGAATAAGGACTAAATAGGTCGGATAAAACATATTTCCAACAATAAAAGCGTCATAAGTCAGGGCATTAGATTGAAGGTTTTGTATACGGGTATTGTGTAGGAGACTTAATAAGATTATTGTATACATGAATTATGATTATATGATTATCTTTCACTATACAACACACAGACCCGCTTTTTATTACACTTTAACCCCAAAGAAATAAGTGTTTGTTCCTTCTAGAAAATTAATTATATACAATGAGTTAAGTGTGGTTTTGTTTTGGTGCCCAACGCGAGAAACCTTACTGGAAAGTACAAAAGGTTTTCGTCTAGAGCACATCTTCTAGAGAGCTTTAATAAGACGGTCGATATAAGTTCCAAAGTTTAAGTATTCATTTTAAAATCAGAAAGATACCCCTCGGTTCCTCGAAGAGGTTTTCAATTTTTATAATCGCAGACTAGTTTCCAGCAGTCTGTTTTTTTTAGATTTGCTTGATAGAAACTAGCACTAAAGGGGCCCTCGCACCAGTTACGTATTGTTAATAATAGTGGTATATATAGACACAGCTTTATGGAACAACAATCACTGGTTTAAGTTTTATGCAATGTTTCGACGTGTTTCTCCCGTCAGGCACATAATGATAAGAGGTGATGGGCAAACTATATATGACCACTTTCATTATACGCAATCGGTAATCGCTGTGGTGTGGGCACCTTAAATTAGACCCTTGAGACTGACATTTTAAAGAACTGTCTTTACTTTTTCACACATTATTTATAAGAGATAAAAAAAGTACTCACTCTCCATAAAGGTCATAAGATGTGTGAGATCTTCTCTGCATGATGTGAACCGATAGTTGAGAAATAACCTAATAGAGCTTAATCTTGTTAATCCAAAATGAATGAGAGTTCAGTAGTTACCAGTAGTATATATATTAAATACAAGTTGGTTTATAACACCATGTCATATCAGTGATCAATATTCAATATTATGACTAGAGCAAACACTGTACACTTGGTTATACCTGTCAAAAACTCTTTATAGCTGATTAACCAGTCTCACAGGTAGATAGTCACGTTGTCGTTCGAACTAATAGATTTATTACAGCTCTCATGACGACCCCCAGAAACATTCACATAAGGCAAATACGATGTCACCAACTTTGGATAATCTAACAATCTCAGATAGTTACCTTTCAGGGAAGCATGACGTACCTTATTTTCATTTTCTTGTACATGCATGTAGGCCAATGCATTTTTTGGCATATTAATTGATGATAAAATGGTTTTAATAATTTCGATTTAAAGGTTTGGTGAAGTTATCTTTAATTATATATCAAACATTAGTGAATGAATAGTGAAGTATCAGAAAAAAGATGTTACAATGTTACATTCATACAATTGCTATGTTGCACAATGAGTGAATGACACAGATACTCTTCCATATACATTCAGTTCATTTGTTCATTTCCAACTTCCAGATCCATCTCTTGGGTCGTTGCAAAATGTATTATGTAGGCTAAGACACAACCCACGTGAATGGGAAAATTTTGGGTTTGATTTTGAGGAGTCGAGTAAATTTTATAATAAATGATAATATTCTTGATAGAGATAGTTGTTGAATTGGTGACATACTACTATTAAACACTTTTAATACAGACCTTACTATATAAAATTTCGTATTAAGTAACAAACCGTGAAACGAGTCGTCATGGCACTAAATGCAATTTATAAATTCCTTAAGGCATTATATTAAAAGTCTTTGACACATATTTTCTTGTCGTACAGCGTGTAAACAAGTGAGTGAAGAGCAGAAGATCTCGAACATACTGCATGGTGCCACAGAGGTAACCATTGTGACTCTTTTACTAGATATCCCAGACATGCCAATCGTACAATTATTTAATATGATCTCTTGCCCTAAATGTCGCTTAAGGATTATTTACATCATACATGTGTGTATAGTATTCAGTATTGATACAGAAACCCCGACATGCATATTTTAAAAATTTGTCACTTTTATGGATGTATGCTTCAATGAAACATTTCAATCCCCATTGAAGTTGAGTGTAATTAAAAACAATAAAACTAATGGCAGTAATTTAGTCATTAAGTCGTGCTGACCCTCCCTATTCATACTTTATGGCTAAGCAACAGTGGGTCTATAGATAAGGAGAGGTTGGAGTTCATCTAAAGTTGAAGGTCACCTTCAGTCTTCTCCATACTCCAATAGATATAAAATGTTTTAAAACAAGTATTCAGTATCAGAGAAGCTACGTACATTATTAATGTTGTGATAAGGTTGAAAGGTATGTTTATGTTAGTTTTTAGTCTATCACAATGCATGTCAGTTTGTTCGTATTTATAACAAGAAGATTACCAGACAATATCTAGCTAGATACCTGACCTAGTACCCTGTATACTAAATGAATAAGCATTTCTATAATAAATACTAGGCAATGTAAGCTGAAGATTGTAATGATGAAGTGAATTTCTAAAACTGTGCCGTCTATTTGTCATGGTATACATAGTTATAGTTTACTGTGGGGTAGATCAATGGCAGCTGTAGAACTTTAGAATGGGGGTGAAATTTTATTTTATTTTACAAAGGGCTTGATTTTATGCAATTTCTAAGAGTATTCTTTCTATATTAAAACATTGTTTCAATGAAAAAATGAATATTTCACACAGTGGGGGGGCAGAAGGGGCAGTAGATGCCCCCACACCCCCCTCGCAGATCCCAAAGAGAGTTTTTCGCACACAAAGCTCATAAATAGGTTCGAAATTCGGACAATCTTGGATATTTTGCCTCCCCTCTCAGACGTAAACCTGGCTCCACCACTATTTTAAACAAATAGAGAGGCCACAAGGGCAGATGCTAGTTTAAAGCAGCTATGTGAAGTATCAGTTGTAGTTTGTCTAAGATATTTAATAATAACATGGTAATATCATTTAGTTTCCTCTTTAAGTTATATGAATAATGATATTACTTCCCAGTTTACAATTCCTCTAAAAATGTTATTTTTGGTTAGAATATTAACATTGAAACTAAAAAAACAAGACTTATATATCATTAATTTTATAAATTCTTACACCTGTTCACTCTTAATGCTACCTAAAAATAGTGGACTGATTGTGTTTATGTTTAGAGCAAAAATATCTTTGCCTGCCACCAACATTATGATGAACACAGAAATTTGCACATCCCAAATTACTCATCATGAAAAAAAAATGTCTGACATAGATACTTGTAACATTGTTTGTAACATATCAGTAAGTGAAGAAACATCTGTAGAATATTTGATGTATTATATATTAAAATTGTATTATTTAGATGACAGTTGGAAGAATTGGTAATATTTTATCAACAAATGTCCTTAGAGAACATATAAAAACTATATCAGTTGTTAAAACTGGTGGTATACGCGTTATAGAAACAACTTGGTCACCAGATACACAAATAGATGTCTATAAACATCATTTCTTACCGTAAGTATGATATCTAACCATAGGGCTGTAATAGGGTCTTTTTTGATAAGACTGAAATCCTGGTGTTTTTTGGAGAGGGGTGTGGGAGACACCTAAGGAAGCTTTGGCCTAAATGATGCTTAATGCACAATGCAAAATAAACAGATATCAAATTTTTAAACATAATTTCTTTATTTATATTTGTCAAATTTGGAATTGGGCATTTACCTCATTTGTAGTTAAAACAAACTGAACAAAAAGAAACTACAAACATCAAAAGTCATGGTTTTATGTGAAAGCCATACATATAGTTCGTGAGTATGTGTTTTAGTATAGTTTTATTGTTAGAAATATTAAAACAGAACCTGAAACATGTTGTCACTCAAAGTTTCAGGCTGTCTGAAGATCACAGAGCATGAAATTCTGAGTAACAACATGTTTCATGTTCTGTTTTTTTAACTATTTCTTCATCGCTCTTGCAAATATTTTGTTATTTTAGAATGATTGTTATAATATTCCATATTAAAGTTAAAAAATGTATGTGTCCTTTTATGTCTCATCATGTTCTTTTACAGGAGTCATATACCAACTTCACAATATTTTGACTTTATCAACTGTGCCCCTAGGAGTGAATATTTTCGAAGAAGTGTACCAGATATAAATAAATTTACAGATATAGCTCAAAGTCTAGGAATTAATAATGATACACATATAATAACATATGATAGAACTAATTCATTATCATCTATTAGAACATGGTGGTTATTGAGGGTAGGTAAATATATTATTCAGTTATATCAGACAATATGTATTTCCTACTCAACGATCCTAACACTTTATGAATAAGCTAGATAACTAGGTAAGTTGACTGTATAGGCAGAGAAAGATATCATTCAAGGTGATACATTCAAAAAATCAAATAGTTGCATTGTCCAAATTCCTTAATTTCTACAAATTTATATTTTTTTGTATTTAATCTTGTAAATTGTTGAGGGCACTTCAAAATGGAGGTCAATATATTGTGCACTCACTTAATAATTCTAGTTATATGGTCATAGAAAAGTATCAGTATTAGATGGTGGTTTTAAAAAATGGTTGAATGATGGTTTTGAAGTATCAGATGAAAGTGCAAACTATAAGGTATTTTAGCCAAAAACTCAAAAAAAGTTAAATTCTTTAGTTCTGATAGATTTATTCCATTATTTTGAATACTATTGAGGTCCACAGAATTAAATATTAAATATTGACTGGGCAATAATAATAATCACTTGAAATAGTGCTCAATGATAAATCACATTGTTATACAAATTCCCTTTTTTGATACTTTTAGATAGGTAATTTTGAAGGTAAACTAGATAAAACATTAATAAGAGATTATGAAGATATGTGTGAAAATGTAGTCAATAAAAAAGAACAAGTAGTAGATGCTAGAAATAGTCTCAGTTTTCAAGGTGAAGATGACATGCCATCAGGTAGTTACTTTAAATACACACCAAACATCACTTTCACTCTCTTGAATAGCTACGTAAAAATTATCCAGCAGTGACATTGTATCCCACAGTGACATTGTATGACATAGTATCCAGCTGTCATATTAATTGACATTATATCCAGCAGTGACAATGTATGACATTGTATCCAGCATTGTACCTAACTGTAACATCTGACAGTGACATTGTATCCAGCAGTGCTATTGAATCCAGCATTAACATTCTATCCAGCAGTGTATGCTATTGTATCCAGCAGTTACATTGTACATATGACATTGTATCCAACAGTAATATTGTGTATGACATTGTTTCAAACAGAAACATTGTATATGACATTGTATCCAACAGAAACATTGTATATGACATTGTATCCAACAGATACATTGTATATGGCATTGTATCCAACAGTGACATTGTAAGACATTGTATCCAGTAGTGTATATCAAACAGTAATATTGTGTATGACATTGTTTCAAACAGAAAAATTGTATATGACATTGTATCCAACAGTAACATTGTATATGACATTGTATCCAACAGTGACATTGTAAGACATTGTATCCACCAATGACATTGTATCCACTAATGACATTGTTTCCAACATTGACATTGTATCCACCAATGACATTGTATCCAATCGTATCCAACAGTGACATTGTAAGACATTGTATCCAACAGTGACATTGTATCCAGCAGTTACATTGTATTCGACAGCACAGTGGTGATTATTTATCATATACATAATCCTAATGGTTGATATCATATTTTGTTATTATTATTAAATTATCAATAATATTATAATTTCTGTATTTAACAGAAGCTAAGAAGGGTCACATTCCTGGAGCTAAGAATATTCCATACAGTTCTTTATTCAACTCAGATGGTACTTATAAATCACAACATGAGCTGAAATTATGTAAGTATCCTCCATGTATCATTCTATAATCAATGCTTTGAGTACAGTTTTTACACTGGGAAATCTCTTCTTGTTATGTTATTATTAGTAGACTGAGTTTGCAATCTACCTTTGATACATTTTTATTACAACTGGTAATATTTGTTAAAAAAAGATCTGATTAACATTTAAATATAATTGAAAAGTAAACATAGTTCTTCACAGAGTTTTCAGATTCAAAGGCAATCATTGAATATGATACAAACCTTAAGGAAATTGTTATTTGAAATATGATTTTCCAGTATTTGATGGAGCCTCAATAGATCTAGGACAACCAGTAACAGCTATGTGTGAAACAGGATTAACTGCTTGTGGTTTGGTAATGGCTGGGAACATGCTGGGCAAAGAGACAATACCAGTTTATGCTGTGAGTAATCTTTCTTCTTCATAAACATAATATTCAGATGCTGTGAAAAATGTTCTCAGGACTAATATCAAAATTCTTAGCTTTATTAAATTCTCACAGTAATATAGCTATTGCCAATAATTATTTGTGTTCTGAAATTAAATGTACTTACCTACCTTTAACTAGGTCCACCTGCATTTAAATTGTCAATTATTTTTCAGGGTTCAATGTATGAATGGGGTCAAAGAGCACCAGAAGATCTGTGTGTGAAAGGGAATTCGTAATACTCTACTACAGACAATTTAAATTCCTATGCAAAACTTTGAGACCCCTGACCACTGTGCTTTCTAAATTTAATATTGTTATAAATCTTTGGTTCTAATTTTACATTAAATTGAATGTGTCTATGAGTTAAACTCTATAAAAACAGGAAAGGAAATACATATAAGGACTTCAACAATTCTTTTTTTACTAACCTCAAGATAACTGAGGTTGAGAGTTTTCAGGACCTTCACCATCAAACCGAATTCAGATTTGTGACTGAGCAATCTTAAGTTTTTGTGAGATTTTGCATGAATGTGAATAGAAATAGTAGTTATGATCCAAACAGTTTTGATGTAAGGTATATCATGTTCTATAATACTGATCAACATACAAGGGTACAATATAACAATAAATTTGACCCATGCCTCATTATAGAAATTCTTGGTTGTTCAGAAGTGTATTCTCAACACAATTGGACTTAAATTTTTACAGATTGATTATTAGGTATGTAAGGTTTTGCCATATTGGTAAACATTTTAATAGGCTGACTGACTCTGATTCAGAGTGTAAAGGTTTTTGTTTTACAATTCAACAAATTTTTATCAAAATTATATTGTGCCTTAAACTATATTGTAATATTTGGTTGTAAAAGTAGAGGAATTTTTTTGTTTTTTATTAAGATGAAATTTATTATGTTTTCTTCATACTTTAATAAACTAATTATAAACATTATATATAAAAAATTACTGTTATCAACGTTTCAAGCAAATGAACTAATTCTTGGCTACTTCAGTATTGGACACCAGAAGCTTCAGACAATTTATCAGAGTATTGGTCATGTGAAACTTCTGTGTATCCAGATTGGCCATGTGCTAAATCAGTGAATCCAGGTATTGGTAAAGTGATACATCAGTGAATCCAAATATTGGTCATGTGAAACTTCAGTGTATCCAGGTATTGGTCATGTGAAACTTCAGTGTATCCAGGTATTGGTCATGTGATATTTAGTGTCTCAAAGTGTTGGTCATGTGATACTTCTGTGTATCCAGGTATTGGTCAAGTGATACTTCAGTGTATCTAGATAGGCCATGTGATACATCAGTGTATCCAGGTATTGGTCATATACTTTAGTGTCTCATACTAAAGTGTTGGTCATATGATACTTTAGTGTCTCAAAGTGTTGGTCGTGTGGAACTTCAGTGTCTCAAAGTGTTGGTCGTGTGGAACTTCAGTGTATCAAGGTACTGGTCATGTGAAACTTCAGTGAATCAGGATTTTCGATGTGCTAAATCAGTGAATCCCAATATTGGTCATGTGATACATCAGTGAATCCAGATATTGGTCATGTGATACTTCAGTGTATCCAGATATTGGTCATGTGATACTTCAGTGTATCCAGATATTGGTCATGTGATACTTCAGTGTATCCAGATTTACGATGTGCTAAATCAGTGAATCCCAAGATTGGTACATGTGCTAAATCAGTGAATCCCAATATTGGTCATGTGATACTTCAGTGTACCTAGATAAAATGATAATTTTAGTGTTTGCAAGGTGTAGTGATATCCTGAGTGTGCATAGCACATCACTGCACTTACCTATAGACACATGCATGTAGAAGGAACATTGAACTACATTGCCTAGTATGGGGTATATGATACATAAGTGTATTGCACTTAAAATACTTCAAACTCCCTGGAAAAATATCTAGATTATACTGAACTTGTAACAGAACAAGATGCGATGAAATAAAACAAGCTAAATAGATGATAATATATTTTATATACACCATTGGTTCATCATTTATGACAATGATAGTTAACATATAAAATTAGACAGAATCTTGAGCTCTATATGGATGATTAATTACAAAATGACATATGATGTTCATGAACATTGACATATTCTCTTCTTGAGAATTTTTCAAAATAAAATGTAATTTACATAAAAACAAAAATCAGGACTATTAATTTAATTATTTCTGCTACTCATACGCAGCCAAAAATTTGTTAACTTATTTTTGGATTTATTTCTTGAAAAACTTAATTTTTATTTACTTTCTTGTCCATAAAATCAAACATGTCAGAAACAGATGGCAAAAAATCACCATGGCAACACTGTCTTGAAAACAGAAAGGGGTAGCCTACATATACAGATATAAAATATACAAATTGATCATTATATACAAATTAAAATATGTTAAATCAATCTTACATTCCCATTTCTAAAATCATAACACATCACATATTAATATAAGCATAACTCACACCCCTCAACCAAATAAAAAAAAAATCATTTATCAAAATTGTTTATAGTATGTCAACATCTTTAAGGGAATTTGTTGATTTTCCAAATTTTGAACAAGTGAAAATTTCTTCTTTTCCACTGAAAATTATGTCGAGCCAATTTTTTCATATCTTAAATCCTACCTTGTACACTTGTACAGTGGGAGGCAATTACATCCACTAGGGTAGGAAAAGACAGCATAGAGGCGGGACTCTGGATAATTATAGATGATAAACAAGATGTAGAGAAAATAAATATGTAGATTAAAATTATATAATTATTTATCTAATGCTGGTTATCTTAACATTATATTTGGAATGTATCATTTATACAATACTGAGCCATTGACATGGTTTTTATTATACTGGTATCTCCAATGTTATTTTAAAATTTATTTCTGTTAGAGTGTTTAATTCTTTCATCCATATTATTTAAAAACACATTTGATGACGATATTTTAGAAAGTTTCTAAGGAATGCTGGTATACATGACCTTACTTTAAAAATATAATAATTGTAAAATTGAGATACAATAAGTATGCTGCCTTCTACCTATAACATATGCATTTTCTGTCAAATATGCCAATCTGTCTCTAATTCATCATAAAAATGTATTGAAAACCGGATGGTTTGTTCAGTAGTTTTCAGCATGCAACAAAAGTCAGTAAAGAACTTCCAACCTATCACAATGTCTCTTTAATTTTAGAGTTCTCTTTTATTACCAATTAATATGAAAAGAGGATATTTCCATAGGTTTCAGTTCAACACTGGCCTGAATTTTCTTCTTGTCATAAAGATGTGTTAGAGTTGTCTCCCTTACACTGTGTGCTGGTGAAACTTTGAGCAGATTTCTAATAAAAAGTTTCTGATCATTCACTGAACATTGCAGTCCATCTTTTGGAAAGTCACAATCATATCCTCTTCGGTGCAGCACTAAACTTGTACCATTATGAATAAAATTAGCAGTTGTTAAACTTCTAAATGTCACTAATGAAATATCACATGGCATCGGTACCGCCAGTGACGTCACTGTGGTATGGAAGATAGTGGAATCAATAGTACTATAATATTTTACAATAGGTTGCTGTAAAAAGTCATTAGTTGAAATACTTAGTAATGATGGTAATGCATAATCTGAATGTCTATTTGCCTTTAAGGTGTTACGTTTTTCTAACAACAGTATAAAACTACTTGTAATAATTTTAATATCTCTGACACCTTGCCCTAATCCTCTATTATCATCATATATTAATTGTCTGTCTAACATAACCTCTAACCAACCCTTCTCGATTCCGGCACAACCATGAGATTGAGCTGACAATAAAGTTAATCGTCTTTCATCATCCTCGAGCATTGCTGCTGAAGTCATTGGATAATAGTTTGCTTCAATTCGTTGATTGGGATTAGTTTTTCTGCGAATTAACTGGAATCCATTTTGGTCGGTAAAATAGGAGCCATCTTTATTGTCAATGTTAGTTTTAAATCGCATCACAAATTCACGATCTGTCAATGGACGAATATCTAAAGTGTTTTCTATATGAATTCCTTGTGCTTGTAATGATGGCACATGATACAGAGTCACAGAAAATTTCAAGTAATGATCAAATTCGACTTCTATTTTAGAATAAATGGGTCCAACTATTTTTCTGATAATAGGAATGTTAAAAAGAACCTTAACTTCTCCAGAATTAGATGGGTAGAATATGTAAGCACCACTACCCTGTGATCTGTAGGTAAAATATTCCTGGGATATATTGGTCACATGTCCTGTAATCTTGTCTTTTACACTTTCTATTGTACCAGTTTTACTGTTAAACAACACAACCATGTTATCGTTTTCAAGTTCAATTTGAGATTCTGGATTTAAAACTGGTGGATTGGTGTAAAATTTCGTTTTCTTTGGAATTTCAAACTCTTCTGTATTGAAGAGGGAAATTCTAGATGGAAATACATTATGTAAATCAATTTCTTGAACTTTATGCAGCATGTAGGGAACAATTCCAAATGGAGGTAAGGTAACAACAAATGAAATTTCAAACACTTTGAGATCTACTGAAGTTTTATCCGACCATGTTGGGCTAATTTGACACGGAACATATTCATACTTCTCATTTCTTATTTGCACAAATTCTGTATCTGTTAAAACACGAACAACTTCTTGTCTATATTTTGGTAAAGGATTAAACAAGAGAATACAGTTGCTACTTTTCTGTAGATTTAGTATTTGTTTAACTGGTTCCTTGTTGTATTTGGGGCGAAATGTTTCTGGTTTAAAGACAAGCGGTGACATTAAGTTACCCTTTGAAGCTAGAATTTGTAATGCTGTTCTTATTACAAGTTGGGTCTTATTATAAGCTTCAGCCATTTGTCTTTCATAGTCAACTACCACAAAATCTTTGGCAGTGCCAGTTATAGCATCATGGTGGAGAAATAAACCAAGAGCGCGTCTGGCCTGCTGCAACAGAGTGGAAAACTGGAAGAATTTCCCTTTGTTATCAAGATTCCAGTTCTTGAGGTTAACATATGTTAATGTGTTAAGAATATCTGCTGCCTGAAGATTAGCTTGCAAATCACGACTGAATTTTTTATCAAATGGTCGGGTACTGAAATATCCAGTCCAATAAGCACTGTCTTTATCTGAATATGGAAAGAAATCCCCACTTAAAGTTGGGAAACCATTTTCAGGATACCTCTCCATATGGTGTCTATTTTCTTCATTAGCTAACTTAAAATAATCCTTCAATGTTCCAAATTTAACATTTATTTTCCATTTTCTTTGATCATTCATGTAATCCATTAACATTTCATAATTTTTATATTGTTGATCCCATTCTATTTCTCGATCAAAACGAAAATCATCACCTAATGGAACAAGTATGGTGTTATATTTATACAAATACGACTTCCTACGATATTGTTCATAAAGATATTTAGCCTGTTGGTGAATATTGTTAGCATTTATTGTGTAAGACCTCGATTCAGAAACTTCATTTTCAATTTTTCTAAAATCAAACATAAGGCATATGAATCGATTTGGGCCACAAGTAAATTTGATATTATACAACATATATGGCATCACATGACACAGAATATCATTAGATCCTTTAGAATCCCACATCTGTCGCCATTGAAATTCCAGAGCCTGTTTTGAAGCCAACGATCCTTTAATGGCTTGATGCACACGTTGGATAACCATGTTCTCCATTCCAGCTTTTTTCCAAATATATGGCATAGTTCCAGAATATCCAAAAGGGTCAATGGACCAACTATTTTCTGGTTTGACACCCAGATTTTCCCAAAGCCACTGATGACCTTCAATCAACTGATCTATGACCGATACATAATGGGTTGTAGCTTCATCAGGCATTACCCAACCACCCAAAACAATCTCCAGCTGACCTCTACGTATTAAACGTCTGACATGAACTTTAACATCATCATCTAATTCATTCCACCACATACTAAAAAATACTGTTTCTGACCAGATAAATGTCATATTAGGATATTCACTAAGTTTGTTTACCATATTATTTAGAATGTGTTTTGTTTGGTCCACATAATATTCATCTACAGTTTTCAACCAGCCAGGATCGTTGTGGGAATGTGGTACAATTATCACATTAAGAGGTTCAAGGTCATCTTCAGAATTATTTGGGTAATCAGGGGGTGGTGTTTTCATTTCGTAAGAGCCATCAGAACCCAGATTAAATTCTGTCTTCTGGTAAATATCTACTGTTGATAGTTGAGAATGTGACTGTCCTGTTTCTAACAGTTGACAAACTTCTATATTATCATTCACATTAAAGGATTTATTTCCTCGTATTGGCCAAAGTCGTGATTCTATGAGGTATTTTTTCTGGATGTGTTGATCTTCCCAGGTCTTTTCTTCACTCATGATCAGATAAACAGACATGGTAAAGAACAATGTTCCAAACACCATCAATAAACGCTGCCAAAACTTCATTGTTAGAGACATTTGTAATTCTACAGTGTAAAACAGACTTCAATCATACTCTGCTGTTTAATTCATTACCAACCTGAAATGATAAATAACAATTCTTTTAATACATTGTAAGCATTTCAACATATTTCTAAGGAAAGGGTGTTATGCCAATTTTGTGGAAGGCTTTTCATGCAATCTATTCAGTAGGTAGCTTTTACCAATCGCAAGAAAGTGTTTCATCAGATTTACTTTTGGCTTTTTTTTTTTTTATCAATTTTTCATAATTGCCAAGTAATCAAAATAGATATAAGTGAGAAAAATTCTTAAAGAAATTTTGAACACAGGTGCAATTTTTCTTTTCATCTTTAAACCAGCATAACACTTCAAATGTGATATATTTCATTTGAATTTTTATATGTTAACACTTGTTCCGTTCAAAAATTTCATCAACACTTCTGTTTATATAACTACCTAAATTAGCAACCTATAAACATAAGAAATAAACATTATTAAAATTTTAAAACATTATAAATGATTAATAGAATAAACTATGTCATGAAGCAATAATATAAAGCATGTAGTAAGTGGCACTTATCCAAGTTTAAACTTTCAATAAATGAAGATGAATGAGTATTACTTCCGTCAGTTGTGAATCTTAACTAATGAAGATGTACAACACCATTGCTGTGTGTACAATGAAAATTTGCCATAATAGAAGTTAAAACTTGAATTTGGAAAAGTTAACATCTCAACATTTACTGGCCAAGATCCCTGACCCTCAAGTTAGCTTGTATGTATCTTGATGATCCACAATAGATGCCTAATATTGTCCATGACAATACATGCAAATAAAATACAGAAAATGCTCAAATCAAAGTAGATTTTACTCCAAATATCAGCTCACATTTTCCATGACATGTTCTGCATTTTCATCTCACTGCAAATCATTTATTCACTACAAATGAAATGATCAGTTAAGAATTGATGCTTGAAGTAAGAATTTAGAATAGTATCTGGTACATTCAGACAATCACGCTACTAAAATTATCTACTAAAATTATCCTCGAAATCAACCTTTTTGTGTCAAAATGTCCCTTTTTGAAATCAAATATTTCACGTGATTAGCTCAATTAAACTTCATCACGACCTGCGAATCAAATTGCATATTTTTCATGTGAATTGTCTGCCAAATCTAGAAACATACAGCAACTCTCAGCTGTTTCTAAAGTAATTGGCAAGATCAATGTGAAATTCTATAACTGAAATATTTTGAATTGTTATCAAAACTTTATGAAATGCAAATCAAAAGGGCAAATAAAATTATGCTTATCAACTTGTATTTTGTTGGGTTTAATATTTAGAAACAATTTCACAGTATCAGAAAAATTTGCTCTCTAATGTAAAGGAACAAGAAACATCATCAAGGTAGAATTGTTATTTTGGTCATGGTATCTGGATGTACTGAAAAACTAGAACAGACTTTTGAATCATTGTTTAATGACAAAAGTCTGTCATGTGTTGGCAAAAAACATGTATTTGAAAATCAAACTTGTTGGAATTGTGAACAAATGTTTTGAGTCTGTCTAGTGTGTTGAATCAAAACATTTTCACGAAACATTTTCTGTCCTCGGCCGATCAAAATATACTATCTCATCAAATGAAATAAATTTATATATCAACCTTGTTGTCACATGAGACAAAGCGGCATATGCGTTGAACCTTCAGATCTATGTCCATCATGTGTGGTTACTGAAAACTTGAACGCATAACACAAGACAAAATCTGTCCTTTCAGGCAGGTTTTAATCCTTTTAAGAATGCCATGATTAACTTTCATGCTCAGTTTCTAGTCATACTTAAGTGTGTTAAAATGATTAATATTTTAAAAATACCATGTATATATGATAGTAGTATTGAGTATTTATAATAGATAGTTATCATTCTACTATGATAATATCAAAACATGATAATCTCTTCCCCAGCTATACTGCTGGCCAGAATGTGTTTTTGATAACTTTCAACAATGTAAACAGTACACTTGACAAAATATCTTGTGTTTATGTAAGAAATATAAGACTGTTATTTATCAGCCTTACCAACAGATAATAGAACGCAGCTTCAATTAGAAAACTTTTCAGACAAAAGAAATATCACTGGCATTTGAGTTAAGTGCTGATACCCTCCTGGTGAAATCATTCCTATGGTAGCACATCTTAAGTTGACTGACAATTCAAAGATACTCTTAGGATTTGTTGCAGTCAACTTTAGTCAAAACACCCATATCAAGAAAATGAAAGACTACTGCAAACTACAATCAACTGGATTACAATTACTCTTATTAACAATATAATTCAATTTTATTAGAAAGAAGAATATCAGCAACTGATTGCAACTGGAGGTAGCATTCTTTTAAGTCTTTGGTGCTCTCAAACTAGGTTAATCTAGCAATTGATCAAGCAACCTTTGTAAATCCAGTTGCTACCAGATTCTGCCAAGTTGCAAGCTCTATTCATTAGCCCCTTTTGGAGTTAAGATGTAGCTGAAATCTAACTTAATACATCTTAGATCATAATAAACTAACCTACTAAATATCATATACCAATTACTCTTATATTTATAGTAAATTGTTTATTTGTAATTGTATATAGGTATATTCTATTACAATTTTACCAAATAGATTTATCTGGTTTACTCATCAATTAGTGAAAATAAAATGTGTCACAGGCAATTGAGAACAATTTATGGAATATTAGGTAATGCATCACTAACAGAAGGCAACCAGGATGGTTAATTCCCAAGCAAAGATCCTGTTAGAACTCTAAATTAGCCCCAATGATTCAGATTGAATTTCATAGGAACTTTGATTATGAAATTAATTTTGTTGCATTTTTACCTAAACTATTAAGCCGGGTGCAATAAGCATTAACACACAAATCGGTTATTGAAAAATTACATTGGAGATCATGCATGATCTGATCAATATATATCAGCATACCAAGATTTATCTATTCGATCAAAACTGCAACTATTGTTCATTTTGACATATATGGCTATCACTGTATAACTTTTCATCAAAAGTGGATCAAAATGAAAGCCAATTTTGACAAATTTTGGTTGAGTCAACACAATAACTTATTAAGACCCTTTGCAAATATCACACTTGTCCACAATCTCACCAATATACATGTACATACCCAGTTTCATCAAATCAATTGTGGACATACAGACAGGAGTTACTAACCATAGATGTGATGTCACAATATGATGCCAAAAGTATAAGAAAACCATGCAGATTAGAAAAGTAACATTTGGTATACCATATTCCACTAGAGTACTTGCACAGTAGTATTACAGTGGAGCTTAATAATATTAAACCATAGCTGATCAGGTAATGGCATCAATTTTCTACTGATGTAACTAACAGAGTGAGACAATTTAAAACATAGGTATCGTGATAAGAAATAGATTTACTGCCAAATTACCTGCTGTTTCTAAATGAACCACCAAGTATTATAATAGGCTTTCAACAGATGGTATACTATCATGGCCTTTTATACTAGGATTTGATATTTTAATATAACAATTGATAATGCATTATAATCTGTGACTGTGAAAATAATTCTGAGATATTCTGTAAACATTAAACAGGCTCATTTGAAATGTTATAGACATGCTTATTTAGTCTTTAATGAAGAAAATCACTGAAGTAAATTACATGAAAATTATCAGTAAACAATGGGAAAAACCAATTTTGGAATCTGACCTCCAAATCAATCCTGGAAATTTTTCCTGGAAGTCATTTTTTGGTTTTTGGTGATTTCTGATCTTTACTTAGAATCCATAATAGATCTAATCAGTTTTTGAACAAATTTACCAATTGAAGTCGTTGAATTTGGAGATTTGTTACAACAGACATCAATGCAAAAGTTACCAATTTATTATTATTCTGTGTAAATTCAATTAAAATTCATTCTTATCTAGAATTACAATTTTATAAAGGTTAACAGACTCCTAACAGGATACTAGAAATAAATATGCTTTTAAAAGAAAAAATAAACATTAAATAAATTGGGTTGGTAGACAATTATTACATGAAAACTTCTATAACTTTTTATTTTAACACTTTTTACTAAGATTCTCTCAAATTTAAAATATTCTAAAGAAATAAACTTTTATATAAATTCTAGCTAGATCAAGTCTTATCATAGTTAAGACATCATAAAAAGAAAAGCTTTTAAAGAGAGTTGTCTTAGTTTGATCTTAGTAAAGAAATAAACAAGTAGGAGAGATAATAAAAACTGTATTTCAACGGCAACTGAAATAATGTCATAATTTATACAGATTCATTATTAATAAAAAAAAAGATGGCATGGGAACAAGCTTGATTTCTAAAGGAATACTGTCCTCTAAATATTCTTTCATACCAGGTAAGCATCCCAAACATGTGGCTATTCAGTCCAAGAATTGTAAACACCAGAGGTAGTGATCCATTTTGATCTTGTCCCATAATTTTATGAATATGAATTTGGTTTTAATTATTGTTAAGTGGACTGTCTAGTAGTGGTCTGATGATTTGACCATCAGACTCTGAAGATGCTTTGAGGGCAGCATAAAGAGCAAACCATTTTGAAATATAACAAAGCTTTCATGTATTCATCAAAAATAATCTCCTTGGACCTTGTATGTATGGTATGAATTCTGTCAAGTTTTTAGCAGGAGACAGAATGTAGTTAGTAG